AAGCCCTTGCTTTTACCCGTAACTGTTTTAAAAGCTCTTGTTAAAATTTTGCCAAAGCTTTGGATTTGATAAGAGTTAGATAGAGTAAGTCCAGTTTTAATCGACCCTTGGAGATTTGTAGTGTTTAACTTACTCTTTGAAATGTAGCCATATACTAAACATGGAAAATTCCATCTTCGTTATTCTGGCAGATAGTTTTGAAATTGTGTCTATATATAGGCATTTAACCATAGCTTGTGGTTAGTCTCTTCATGAATATCTTTCTTTTCTCCCCTTCCCCATTTCCCAACACTAAAGTCCAATCATTTTGTCTTCTTATTTGCCCTCTTCCACATGACCAATCGAATATTCTCACGCTTCTCCTGAAAGATTAGAAGCGTTTCAAGAAAAAATATTGATCTAACCACGTTCGTGCCTGAAAAATTCTGAAATCATTGTGAAATTCTAGACTTTAGACAGAGTTACCCAATTTTTTGTGCTAAAAGATGTTCATTCACGGAATGAGAAGTGGGAATGAGGAAACTTTTTCCATTCTTTGACCTCAATATCTCTAAATAGACAGCCTCTAAGTAAACACTGAAATCCGAGAAAATTGCAAGAATTTTAATCTTATTTCAGTCTTGCACAAGGAATCTCGGCCTCGAGATCTATGGCTTCAATGTCGTCAAAACGGTCACCACAATCAATTTTATTTTTTGGTGAGTTTAAAGTAGAGATGATAAAGGTGAAATATACAACAAAGCACAAGAGTTATAACGAAATTGAATCTAAACTTACATGTAGCACTAATTTTGTAGCTGGGTGGAGAGAACAGATTTTCCTAGGTAACAGAAAAATGAGCCCATGGTTTGTTGCTAACTATTAGGTTGTCTTTAGACCTTCCATTTAAAAAGGTATTTAGAACTAAATAATTTCCCTTTTGACCTAGGGTTTGCTTTATTAGAAAGGCCTAATATTTTTCTATAAAGATCGTTGAAACCTTGAAATATTTTGTTTCTGGACTTTTGTTCGGAGATGCGAACTCGGGTAGTCATAAAGAACAACGACTCGATTACGCGCTTTAGACACTTTATCAAAAGAAACCAATTTTGGTGTCAATAGAAAAAAGAAAGAGCGCAAAAAGTTAGGTTTATAGCCAAATTTTCAGAACAATCTTGCCTGGCTTACAGGCTCTATGAACATCATAGTTTTTTTGTTTTTCAAATTTATAGAAAATCAATACAAGCATTGGATGATCTTATAAAAGCCAAGTAGGTAATCACATTTCAGGTATGCAATACCGCTCATTACTCTGCTCATCATTTATGCAACGATTTTCGCGGTGATTCGCCGCGCCGAGACCTGTCCCCAGAATAACAAGCTGATCCCAGAGAATACGAAAGCCGGTAAATATTTGAAACTTTCCAGTTCATTCGTATTTCTATCTAATCCACTAATCATCCTTTCTAAGTTCTTCCACAAATTCCCCAAGAAGGTCAAGAGGAATTCCGGACTCGAGGTAACTCGCCCCATCTCGTTGTCATTTTTGGCTAAAATTTTCCCGATTCGGTGTAGTCAATATCCAAACACTAATCAAAAGCTAAGAATAACAATTTTAGACTCTTGCCAAAGTTAAATACTAATTTTTAGATTGGAGAAGTGGAAGTACGGTGACAGTGGAGAAGAGGAGGAGGGTTGGACGGTTGGCGTTTGGAATTGTGCTCTCATTTGCCCTCCTCTCACTCCCGAGATATGCTTATCTCATTTGGACGACATTCAGGGATAGAAATGGTTTGTGTTACGAATGATATTAGGAAAACCAAGCAAAAACCTTAAACTTTTAAATCGGAGAACTAGTGTCAAGGAAAAAAAGTGTTTGACTGACAAGACAAGTGATAGAAAGAAATATTCAGCTAATTTTATTCTAGTTACTGTAATGAGTAACTGTAATGAGTCAGAATGGCAAGATTTTACAGTACTTTAGCTCAAGTAATCTATTCCAGCTTGGTAATCTGTAAGTACTATTACTGTAATACTAATGTAGTTGCTAAAAAGTTCTATTGAGATTAAAGGAGAGTTAAAATAATTAAATAAAAAGTTAAATATACCAGAGAAGTTGTGTTTGTTTTTACTTTTGATCCAATGGGTTAAACGAAATCTGAAAAACCATCGCAAATTCAGAGCCCCGTTGCCTTGGTTGCTGGTTCAATTTGGCCCAGCCGATCACTTTTCTTCTTCTCTTTCTCAACTCAGCAATCAATCCATTTCTCTACGCTTTTCTCTCGGCTCGTTTCCGCGAATCAATCAAGGATACATTCTATTGTAGACGAGAGATCGACAAGGTAATTTCCCATTTCTCACATCAAACTGACACCTTTTCTCCAGCGTGTTTTCATGCGTCAAATCACTGTCAAAAGAGAAGTCTATTAAAGTGAATTTTTTTGAGATTTTGCATGCGATTTGCTAGTTTTTCTGGGTTCTTTTTGGAATAGAATAGTGACTCAATGTGATAAACTAGCAAAAATATAGAAATTTCTACTGGTTCATCATTTTTGAGTCAAATTTTGATAAGGTTTGAAGCGCTAGACAATTTTTTTTCATCTTCCCGTTTGAAATCCAATCTAACAGAAATCCGTTTTCTCATAGAATTTTTTTTCATAGACATGTATAATTTGACTTGTTTATCAACAGATCGATTGAGGAAATTTACATTACAAGCGTTTCGTCTAGGAACCGTCTAAATTTAACTGAGACTTGATTTTAAGACAAGGCGGAAAATTATTCAATGACTTTGGTATTGAGTGATTGGATTGAACCTATTCAATGCTAAAATTTGTTTTGTGCTTATGTCATAACCACGTTTGCCAAATAGGCATTTGCTTATCGTCACGTTGATAACCAAGTCTAAGTGGGAAACAATCAAAAGTTCGGGATAAACATTGAAAATTTCAGCGCCGAGACCTTGCCATCGAAATGTCGTGTCGTTTGAATCGACAACGACGTAAGAATTCCGAGTACGACACATTGAACGATTCCACTCTTCCACAACAGTCATTTTCCGTTGATCGATCGAAATCCTATGAAAGAGGCAAAGTGTCGCCTGATATTTCTGATTAATTTCTGGTCATTCGCATTTTACTTGTAACTTTTCCCAAACCGTTGACTACCTAACGGGTAGCTGAAAAAAAATAACGGCTTTCGTGTACATTTCTGTAAAAGTATCTTTTTTTGTGAAACTCGTGTACAGAATAAAACTTGTTTATTCTGATTGATCAGAGTGACCATTCAATTATTCAATTGGAGATAAAAGAGAGCTTTCTAGGGAAGGGGAGGGGGAGAAGTTACAGTAAGATTGCAACCAAAATAAAGCTTGGAGCCAGGATCCCAGACATGGACAACATACTACTAAGTGCTCTAACTGATCGAATATCACTGCACACTGAATTGCAAGATTCGCGCATTTCTTGATGAACTCTGGCATGTGTGGATTCTGGAATGTATAAGTGGGACTTCTTTACGTTTTCTATTTGTCTTTATGAAAATAAAATAATTTATTTATAAACATTTAGCTTTGACCCTAAATAAAGTACAAAGACAATCTCAATAGAAGAGACAACAATTACCACACATAAAATATACAATTTTACCGAAATTTTAGATTAAAATTTAGGAAGCAAAGAAGGCTAAAATTTTACCTAAGTTTTCTAGCGGCTGAATGTACCTGTGTTTTTAGTTAACACAACCAATTTATTGGGTTGAGGCATAAGTCTTTTCGTTCCTTTTCATACTCCCGTTTTAAACCAACAAATGCACCAATTGAACTACGATTTGTTTCAGTAGAAAGGCCAATTAATTTTCTGCAAAATAACATTAAAACGGGTTTTAAATGTGTTATGTCTGGATTATTTTCGGAGCGTGAATTCGGGTAGTCAAAAAGGGCGATGGCTTGATAATGCGGTTTAGAAACTTTAGCTAAGGAAACCAATTTTTGTGTCAATAGATAAAAGATAGAACACAAAAAGTTAGGTATATAGCCAAATTTTCAGCGAAATTTATTCAGCCAATTTCTTCATAGAGGTTTTTACAGATTTTTACGAAACATACATTTTTTCACTCTCGAATTTGCTTGTAAGTGAACCCAAATTAACTTAAAAAGATGGAAATTGAACGAAAAACACTTTTTATTTAGAGCAAACCATAGGTTAATTGGAGTATTTTTTGGTTTTAAACGGAAGTACGAAAAGGACCGAAAAGAACCCAATAAAAACCCTCAACTCAATCCATTTTCCTCAACCCAATAAAATGTAGAAAGCAAAAACGTTACTCACTCATTATTTCGATTTAAAGTATTTGTCAAAACTGACGGAAGCTTCGGTGAACGTCATTAAATTGTGCTCTCCTAAAAACCATAATAATTTGTGTCCAAAATTTCAAAAACTTACACCAAAAATCGCTTGTAAATTCTAAATTTAGTTCTAACTTATGCCAAAAATGGTTCTAAACCAGTCGATTTCCGCAAATTTGTCTCGAACCCTATGAAAAGCTTCCAAATCGTTTTCCACCCTAGTCATTTGAGGCAGAGAAGGCTGAATGTGATTTGTACAACTTTGATCAACTCAAGAACAAACCTCTGGATGAATGACGGCAAAATTTTTGCTTCAAAAATATCTTCTTGAGTATATCTTTATTTAGAGTTAAATTCTCAAGATGTTACGGTTAAAACGAAAAAATTCACTGATTCATCTTTATTTCCGTTAAACCCAGAGAATTACAGACTTTCAAACAATGTGAGGCCATCAAATTTCCATCTCTCGTTGCACTACCACACTCACATTCGTTTAAATAACTGAATTAATTCAATGATATTTTTAAAAAGTTCAACACCGTCCATTAGTGACGATGTAACGTACAGGGGTTTTCTTTGGAAAGCTAAATTTTGAAAGATGCAGGACAATATCTTTGCAAACCAACTTTTTCAAGTTCCAAAAATCGATTCTTCAGAAGCGACGATTTTACATTTAGCACATCGCGTCACTGAAGCCGTTAACAATGCACGCATCACAATTGGCAGTACCCTTAAAAAGTAAATGAAACAAATCCTGGCGACATGTTTTCTACCTTCGCGCAAATTGGCCCAATTTTTCGTTGTCGGAACGTGTTTGCAGGCTAAAAGAAATTTTAACAACTAGAAATATTATAAAGTTTACCAATTGCTTGATGGTTCATTTAGGGGAGACGTTTATTTTGTGATCACTAGCACAGTGTCTTGTCGCCGCGACTCAAAAAGCATAAGCTTAATCGGAGCAACGATATGTTGCCAAAAGAAAACGGTTAAACTTCACCATTAAGTTTCACCGTACCTGTTCTGCCATACGATCGACAGTTTTTACAAGTGATGACATCTTTAGTCCGAAGTTGAGATCGTGAAAGCAAGTCAGTGTATGCACAGAACGGACACCATAAATACATGGAGTTGGCGTGGTGCTAAAGTTTGCGGTTGATGACTGAGAATGATAAGTCCAACCTGCATCTAGTGATTGAAGAGAACCGTTCGTTGAGTACTTCGATATTTACAACATTTGACTTGGCAAGCATATGGAACAACCTGAGAAACATATATAATTAGAACATTTCAATAAAACCCACCTTTGGAGGATGCAGAGTAAGGTGTTTAAGTAAAACGGGCACTTCCTTCTTGCAAATCTGACAAGCCGCGTTAATGTTAGCCTCACTGATCCTTGAATGACATTTCGTATAAAAAACCTAAAGATTAAACTTTATCAGCTACAACTATTAAGAAGCCACTTATCAGACATGGGAAAATTCCAACCCGAACCTAATTCCACCTTCGTTTTCTCGGCTGTTTCTTGGCCGATTGCTCTGTAATTTTGTCTACAAGTTGAAAGTGTCGATTTCTATCTGTAGACAAAATTTCAGAACAATCGATCCAGAAAATGAAGTTAGAATTAGGGTTGGAATTTTCCCATGTCTACCACTTGTGTAAAAAAATTATCTACCTGCAACTTGTACGGTGACTCAAAAGACAATAAACATACTTGGCAAGTAAATAAATATCTAATGTCTTTTGATAGCCCTTACTTTAACCGATCGATACAGCCCGCTTTCAGATGAGTGCGACACAGCCCCCACGGCGCTGCGCTTCGATTCTCAGACAATAGGCGATCGCAACAATAGGTGACCAAGTTTTTTTCCCTTAATCGACTAACTAGGTATAGTGTTGGATCTAGCAAAATCAGTAAGCAACGTATTTGCGTCATCTGCTAAAGTCGAAAGGTTGCGCGTTGTTTGGCTTTTGTGGGCGCTGCCTATCTACGTTGGCCTAACGGTCAACATTGAGAGGCGTTACATACACAAAAAACCGACGCGTTCCGGGGTGCTGTAGTTCGAAGATCCCTTTGCCATCAGGCGATATTAAGGTGTGAACCCATAGCTTAGGTAAATTAATAATGCATCCAGGAAGGTAGGAGCTACGAAAGGAGCTGCAAAGGAGCTACGGAAGGAGCTGCAAAGTGGGAGCTACGAAAGGAGGCTAATTTTATATGTTGGGCCCGCTATGGAATTTCATCCGGTTTTGAATCAAGGCTTGATTTTTTTAGTTAATAGCTACAAGGTGGTGAGGTGTCGAGTAGTGCTTTTTTTTGTGAGTTTATTATCTCACAAAATGGGCTTCACTTTTTAACATGTACCCGAAACTTCAGTGGCCGGGTACAAGATGCCAAAAGTTTGAACTTTTCACAAATTTTTTAACTACATGCAAAAATAGAAACCTTTTTCCGCTAAACTTTGTAAAAAAATCTTATTTGTACCGCAAGGTTTCCCAATTTTTTTCTCAACAGGAACCACCCATAAATCATGAAAGAAAATAGATTTAGTTGAGTCCAAAATGTTTTTTTTTTCCTTTCAGACCGCTAATTACTTTGAATATAGGATGTGAGGCTAGCCTTTTGCTTTTCGCAAATGTCACTGGGAAAGTTTGAGCTGAATGAAAAGTTGTTTAGAGATTTGATTCATATCAGTTGCTAACATGACCAAATACAAGCTTCTATCAAATGGCACCTGCATCTATCCACCGGATCAATATTTGGACCGCAACTTTTACTATGATTGCATATTATAGTAAGCTTTTGTTTACGGAAAGTGTACAAATTTTTAGCTATAACGAATATGGAGTCAGCATAGTGAATTCACGGACTCTTCATGGGTATAAACCGAGTATATACATGCTGATAATGGCATTGGTAGGTGATCAACTAGTTACAGGCCATGATAACTCTGTAGATAGGGTTATAATATACTTGTTATATATAGGCATATATGTAGACAATTGTTAGATTCAGCTACTGTGTAAACTAGTCGAAATCAGAGATGTCTCAATCTCAAGCCTGCTGAAAAGACAATACCATACTGGAATTGGCTTTCCTAGCCCTGGCTTTGCGTGAACTAATCCGAAAAATGATCTTTAAAATAATCCTAATCGAAATGATCTGACCGTAGCCCTTGGTCTATCGAAAATTTCTCTGAAAGGACAAGATTGCACATTCGAAAAGTAGTAGTTGAAGATTTTCAATCAAGTGTAGTGCATTTCGATGAAAATAAGAATAGTTTTTGGAGACAAAAGGTATATCCAAATCGTATACATAAACATGTCTCATCATTTCCTCTTCCAGGCTTCAGCGATCATTTTCGTCATTTCCTTAATGAGCGTCTATTTGGTCAAGAAAAACCGAGCGCTCATGATTCCATCCAAAATTTTTCTCTTTGCCGGTGCCTTTCTATCAATTTTCAAAGGATTTCAAATGTTCTTCCAATTATTATGCTCGATGACATTTAACAAAAAGGCTAGTCGGCCAACATTTACAAGGTTTGGAAATTTTAGGGAAATATCTTTATTAGTTCAGGTTTTTCTGTTTGAATACTGACGGTTATCCGGTGTGCGGCTTTTTTCTAAACCAAATGATCTCTGCCTATGCTTTGGCTGCAGTGACAAGTTATCGATTGTTGCACTGGGTGTTTTCTATGAATAGGTGAGATAAACTTTAGGAAAAGAGGCACAAAAATATCACAAGCAGGTAATAACTAGCTTGCCCATTCATCTGGGGCAGCAACACATGCAACTAGAGCTGATCGTGAGGTTCTACCCAAGCTTTGTAAGTCAGGTTAGACCAGCTCTAACCTGACTTCTGACGGATACAGAGACTTTTGTGGGCAAGCTTGCCAGACCAGGCTTGTAGCAAAGCCAGGCCATGTCAGAAGTAAAGCCAAAAGCTAGGTTGAGCTGTCCTTGCTTGACCTGATCTGGCCCGGAAAATTTCCTTTGGATCAATCCTTGAGCTAATCAACTGGATATGTTAAGACTTGATGTAATGGCTTCTTACTCCGGTCTAGTGAATCAAGAAAATTAATTGAATCTTGGCTATCAAAATCTAAGTTTTTTTCTAAAACTTATCTTCTTATATTCTCAGATTCCTTTCTGTCTACTTCGATGGTCAATTCTATCTCCACATTGGCTCAGTGGTGAGCATGCAAGCAGTGTTCGCCTTGACACTTGCAGCTCTGCCCTTTGTCATGCTTACGGGAAATGGTATTGAAAAATGATTAGCAATCTAATATAGGATTTAGCATTTATTTACAATGGAGTCGGAAAAACGAGGACCCATGTAATCACCGGTTTTTATTATCATCCGATAAGTTTTGCGGTTCGAGAACACTGGCAACTCGACGAGGTGAAATGGGCCTTCAAAGTGGCGCCATGTGAGTACTCGAAAAGCTCAGAATCTTGCTTTGGCACTTCAATTTTTACTAAAGAATATGCAATGGTATGCTTTTGATCTTTTGACATAAGCAATTTCAGTAATGAACCGCTGCTCGGCTGTCGTTGATCTCGTGTTTTTCGTCGTGCAAGCATTGACTTATTTGAAGATACAGAAATTGGTACAAAGCTCAAGCTTTTACAAAATGAATAAACTTTAGAAAATCACCAATGCCATAACGAGACGTGCAAATCTTAAGCTGCAATATCAGGTAGGCTTCCATTTACACTGTTAACTTCATCAAAACAATTGGCCAAAGTCATCTATAAATCTTAAGTTGCAACTGGTTATATCGTATTTTGATACCCCAAAAAATATTCCATAATTATGTCCCCGACGATTTCGACGAAAGCTCGTAAAACTCAAATTGCTTATTTCGTAATTGATAACTGACAAGAATGAAACTCAACTCCTTAATGGGATTATTGAAGAACAAATTTGATTTCGAAAGTTGAGTATCAAGCAACCATAGTCTCACTAGGCAACTAGAGTTTAAAATCTTAATGTAGCATCTTCTTCCAGATATTAATCATTCATTTCGTTCTCCTCTTCGCCTGGATTGTCGACAGCTTTTATTCAACCTTTTTCTATAAAGCCACATATCAACATGCTAAAATGAGCCTCTTTATCTTGGAAAATGCTCCTGGATGGATCATTGGCATTTTGGCTCCGTAAGTAACTGACCATAAAACGAAACTAAAAGCAATTAAATAATCCCTAAGCAAGCTGAAAACTTTTAGATTAATGGTTTGCATTTTCAATGAGCCAATGAAACGACTCAGCAGAGCGATTTCAAAACCGAGACCAAAGCAACGACTTCTCACAGTCACTCAAACAACCCAAGCAAGCTCAACCACTTTTTCATCACGAAAAACGAAATAAATTTTGATATTGTGCTTAAACTTTATATCATTTCGATAAAATAAACTATTTTGGTACTTTCACTAATTGGAGTTCCAGTAGTCACATTCGTCATGCTACTCTAGTCAGAGTAGGAATATTGTAGTGTGAGAAATCAACAATCAGGTCTTAAGACCTCTAAACCACGTCAGATTAAGCCAGAATCCTACCAGAAGCCAGTTCCAGGTCTTACTCTAGGTTTTTGACCTAAACAGCAGCCATATTGAACTACTTGGGTATAATGGGAGCTTGAATTAAATCAAAAATATTCTAAACGAAGTAGTATTTGTAAAGTAGTATGGAAAAGTCTTGGTGGGATCTTCTGGTAACTGTTGAATCTATTGTGATCTCTATTCTGAACTGAAGCTCCTATTTTAAACCAATGTCATGACAGCATAAATGAATTGTTTCCTGCATCATTCTACATGTTGTTTTCTCCATTCAAACTTTGACCTACAAAAATTTTGTTTTTGGTGACAAACTTTTCGACACTATTATTAGTCGAAAAGGTTACAATTTTCGATTTTTTACCTTATTTTTCGTTTTCGATTTTAAACTTTTAGAGAAAACAAATCATTTATCCCAGTAAACTTTACAAAATTCATCATTCTGTCGATAAAGTAGCTTTCATTCAAAAATCCTAACCCTTTATTATGTTAATTGGAAGCAATTTCGATTCCGAAATGTCAAAAAATGTACAGTACCAGCTAATAGCATTCTTTTTCAAAAATAATTTGTGCCATTTAGCCCAAGCAAACAACTCAAATTATAATTGCTCTTGAAAGGGCACAGTTTCGAGTTAGAGCCCATAATTTGTAAAAAGGAAAAGGTTATTACCGTGTCTTTCGCTCAGAAAAATCTAGAAGCACCTTACACGTTTCATGTTTTGATTCAAACGATGACGAAGGACCATACTCCACCACCAAACGATTCATACGCAATTCGTGCCGATGGAAAATGTGAATACCCGGATACGACAGTCGTCTTCACCGATCAATATTACTATGATTGCTCTTGGTGGTAAGCAAAACAGATCTTCGTTTACGCTTTGTTGTTCGTGAAAATAAGTGTGTACTCATTCAGTCTATGCAAATGTATTGGGCTGGTGAATATTCTCCATTGTTTTGGATGACTTGGGCCCATTTTACTGACAAAGACTAAAAAACGGCTTATTCTTTCCCATAAACATTTTTAATATTAGCTGAACACTAGGGTCCTTGCCCTTGAGAAATTCGTACAACATAACGTGCCGCAGATCTTCAAGTGGTAGATTTTCAATAGTTAGAATAAAGTAAAGTAAAATTCTAAAAAGCAAAGGCTGTAGCTCCTATGTCGAAAGTGAAGTTCCTTGTTTCCGCAAGAGTGAATGTTCACTTACCTATTTTCCACAAATCCCTCTCCCTTGTGTTTGTTTACACTTCTGGGATTTAATTTGAAAAAAAACGTGCGAAGTCATACCCACCAACCCAATAATTCATATCTTGGGCGTAAAGAACGAGAGAACAATGTGACCGACTTGAGCATTTTTTCTCTTTATTTTCCCAGATTTTTTGACAAATTCTATGTCCCAGTAAACTATTCTGTTATTTAAAAAACAGATCTCCAGGTGGCAAATTATCAATAGCCACAGCAAAGGTTGCCAAAATTGCGAAATAACAGAAAATGAGGAAGTCCGTTTCATTGTTTTTGGAAAAGTGTTCCGGACTTTATCAGTTTCACGCAACAGCCCCCACCTCCGTTTTGTTTACGAGTTTAGGAATCAATCGAAAAAATAGCAACATTTCATACCCACTGACCCAATACTTGGATGCTTGTGCCCATTCTAAACTATTCTAAAGTATAGCTGACCAGGGGTTTAACCTTAATATGCTTAATTGAAATGGCAATGGGATTTTAGAGCAGTTTTAATTTAGTCGGACAAAATAATTGTAAATTGCCATTGTGAACAAAGTGCTTGATATAATTGTGAGCCTATTATGAGCTTTAGCCTAGTCATTTCTTATCAAATATTGAATGATAAAGTATCGATTAGTAGACCTTGGAAAAGGCAAGTCTAGATTACTTAGATCCAACTACACTTTATCTTTGTGAATTTCTCATTGTCACGGAACCTTACCCTATTCAGGTACGGCTGGGATGGCCTACCAATCTCCAACATTCGCACCATGTATTATTGGGTCCCAACTTTATACGCTTCAGCAATGTGCTTTGTAAGTTCTCTTCCATAGACCAAACTAATCGCTTCCTTAGTTTGGTCTTATCGGACTGTTGCTTACACTTCGATCCCTCTATGTCATACTTCGATCTGAAGAAATACCGGGAGCACTGAAAGTCTATTTATTTGCTGGCGGTCTCATTTCGTTATTCAAAAATGGACAACTCTTTTATCAAGCGGAATGCGTGTACACGTTTGCGATGCGAGAGGATGTACGGCCGTCGGAAACATATAATAGGTTAGTGAACTAAAAGGAACGGTTAGTAAAAGTAAAGTTTTTTCCTGCGGCTATTGATGCCAAAATTGTGTTCTTTGTTTCAAACTTGATCCGAATGTGATTTGAAAATGTTCAAAACAAACGAAAACTTTACCAAAACAGGTTCGGTAGTAGAAAATGATTTTGAAGAGAAGAAAAATGACGAAAAATCGCCTTATAAAGGTAAAATTACTATAATCTGACAAATAAAAAGAATCGCTATTTACGAGAACAAAATGTCAACAAACGGTTTCAACAATCGAATTTGAAACACAATTCCTTCATTAATCATTGATCGAGTAGAAAATAGAAGTAAAAATGGGGTAGTTTTACAAACTAATGTCTTAAATAAATGTTTGCAACCCTTCCCTGCAACTAAATAGAACAAAAGAATTCCAGATTTAGCAAAACACTTTCAGATTTCACTGTATGAACACCGAAAACTACCCCTATTGCTGGTTTATGGTGAATCAAATCGTGATCGCGATCGGACTCGGACTGCCTTACACATATCATCTGATCAGCTTTGGAATGGGAATGAACAGGTTATTGAAAGTTCTAAAGCCATAACACTAAACATTTAGATTCTTTGCTTTTCACTTCAATGGAAAACTCTTGACTTGGGTTAACATTGCGACCGGGCCTTGGATCTTGCTTGCCTATCTTCTTGGACCCGCTTTGTATGTAACTCAAATCAATACAGGTGGCAAAACTTGAATAACTGATGTAAAATTCAAATAAATTCAGGACTTTCTGATTACGGAAATCGCTTTGGGTACTATGGATACTACTTTCATCCGATCACCTATGTGATTGCTGACTATTGGGCAAATGTTTGGTATCCGTACTGGGCACTGCATGGTTGGTGGATTTGAAGGCTTTGAATGAATTGAAGTCTTTTAAAAAGATCAACAGTCTATTAGGTTGGCAAGTTATAAACAATCGTTTTTTGGTAATGTGTTTTCTGAAAAAAACGGCTTATCCAATCAAAAAAACGGTTCTGAAAGTTTGGGAAACTATGTAATCGATGAAGCGTTTTATTTTAAAAAAGTAGGCAATCACCAAAAATATATTAACTCATGAATGCTAGAAACCAGGATTTTGAACTCTTGCATTAAAATGCCTGAAAAGGTTCTAAAATAAAACATTTTTCAAAAATTCAAAAAAGCCATTTTGTAGATTAAGGATAGAGCTTTTGAATCAAGCAAACCGTTTTTTGATTGGATAAGCCGTTTTTTCAGAAAACACATTACCAAAAAACGATCGTTTATAACTTGCCAACCTAATAATAGTTAGTTAAAATCTGCTCAAAAGAGCTTTCTAAAAGCTGCCTTAAAACTACCGTAATCTCAGTGTTCTTTATTTGACGAAACGATAAAGGTAAATTTTATTTTAACCACCGTAACCCTAAAGTTCTAACGCCCAGAGCTGGTATAAATTTTTGAGACAACCAGGTTACGGTAGCTTCTTACTAGGTGCATCTTTTATTGGGTTGAAGAAAATGAAATGGCGCCAAACTTTAAAGACACTTTTTGCACTCATTAAGCCTTCTTGAAAGACACATTTACTTTATCAAAAGGGTCCACTATTTCTTTACAAAATGATATTTGAGAGATGCCACAAAGCTTTTCTTTCGTGGGGTTCATGGACTCCCAAACACAGCTAGTCAAAATGGCAGTCTCCGACTCATCGTTTGAACAGCTTCTTCCACATAAACCACCTTTGGTGTCTACATAAAAAAAGATAGAGCACATTCAATTACATAAGTTGCCAAATTTTCAGGAAGATCCATCCAACCGTTTTCTCTAGATGGCAGCTTATAGATTTTGTGAGAAAAATGGCCTTTTTTGTGCTGATTTGTGTAAATCATGTTTGAGTTCTCTTTTAAATGGCATTTCGTAGAGAATTAGCTAACCTTTCTACTGACATCAAACGTGTATCATTTGACGAAGTCTGCTAGAAGTTTTAGAAATTTCTTTGATTTTCGGCGCTATTTCATTCTCCCCAACCCAATAGAAAGGCTCAAATCAAGAGTACTTTCAGCTTTCGACAAAGCAACATCCGTCTTGTGTGTCTGCATAGCAGTTGTCGAGATTCTAACGCTCTCCAAAATCAAGTCCTTGAAAAATTTTTCTTTCACTCAAAAGGCAAAAGATGTGCTACTCCAGCAAAAGGTTTTGGCTTATATTGATAAAAGAAACCGTTTATATCCAGATCATCACTTGCCACCTTTTGCTAGGATTCTCGTGGATTTGCCATTCATTGTTCGACTACAATTCAAACGCTTATCGTTATCGGGTGGCTCGTTTTGGAAATTTCTTCACGCAGAATCTCCCGGCTTTTGTCATCAGTATTGGAATTCCGTGAGTAACCCGACTAAAAAAAGGAGATCTTGATCAAATTCAAATCAATTTCAGTTTCACGGTAATTCTCTTCAACCTATCCGAGAGATGGCTGCCTAGTTGCTTAAAATTGGAAACGGTCAAGCTTCCCAAGCCTTTAACTTTCTCCAAAACAAAAGAAAGCTCCAATCAACCGACGCAAAGCGAATACACTTCAGCCGTTTTCAGCTCCGTAAACTCAAAAAGCGTGTACTGATTTATTTTAAAAACGATTTTTTTGTAAAAATAAATTTATTTGCATTGAAACTCTATCAATTAAGCATCCTAGAATTCCAGTCGTCCGGTGGTTCAGGCAAGATCCCGGGAGCGTTTATGGCATTGAAAATTTAGAAAGATTAAATGTTGTTTAGATTTTGATTACAAAACAACTAAACTTTTCAGCACTAACAATTATAAAGCGATTTGTTCAGTTGAATACAATCAAATGCTAATAACTCACTTGCACAACATTTTCCATAAAGTTTTCACGAGCTCTTTTCGATCATGGTTCGGTGTTTTTGGAAGTTCGATCTCTTTCATTTCTTGCCACATTCGATGTGTCGTACTCTAAAGATTTTGATTTTCAAATTAAAAGAATAGTATGCTTACCTTCGAAACCCTGAAATTGTAAGGGAGATAGTAATGCTGAAAAGTGAACAACTGGGTGTGGTTGAAGAAAGCAAACGGGGGATCGTCGTACCTGTTTTTGGGTAAACATTGGAATAAGTCAAATCTTCTGTTCAGTCAAGTCAATAAAATCAAACGCAACCTATTATATATAAAACAGAAGGGAGGTCTGTCCGTCCATCTGTCTGTTGCGCAGTCATTGGCAAAAAAATAAACTAATACTTGGTTTTTTGCTGTAAAAATAAAAAAGTACCATTATAAGGTAAGTCGAGAATGAAAATGAAAGCATGCTCCGCTCAAACAATGCAGCTAACTATTTAAAGCTATAGTAATCTTGCCTCGTTACAATGGGTAACTTATGTACTTTGACATCGATATCACATCGAATGGGGTGCTTATCAAATTAATCGATTCAACTGTCTGAACCAAATTCGGAAGCTGATCTTGACAAAAGTTTGGAGCCATTCCTTTGTAGGTGTCTTTGGAATAAACCATTCCTATACAATTCTATTAATTTCAAAATTCTTCAACCTACCAGTCACCATGGCTTTCCAGTTTTCCAAAGAGTTTTATCACTGTATTAAACGGACGCATTGACAATCATCATCGAAGTTGATAGATTTGCATAAAAGTTAGAGATTGTGTCAGAAATCTGGAACAATAAGGTTTGTGTTTTAAAACGTACTTGTTACCAAAATTTTTGAGTGAGAAAGTTGAGAGAAAGTGCCATCGATCATGAAGATGATATCGGCTTGAAAATTTTGAAAAGGCTCAGGCTTCGATTTTTTTGTGGTCGCACTTTTCCAAGATTTGGGTGAATTGTAGGAAGTGTCGTCGTACTTTCAATATTTCCAGTAGTTGTCGAAGGCCAAAGTCTGGTGGAGTTGTTGTAAATTCAATGGTTGTCGATTTAGTGCACTCAGATTCAGTTGAAGTTGTCAATGACTAGGTTTTTGTGAATAAAGGCTCTGTTCCGGTAGGCAATTCACTTCTACTTTCTATGGTAGTTGACACAGTTGTTGATTTCCTGGTTGTAATTGCTGCAGTGTCGGGTTTCGGTGTTTTTGTAATTTCTATACTAGTCAATTCCTCTGTTGATGATCTCGTGGTTGTTTCTGTAGTTGTCAATTCAGCTGTTGTTAGCTTTGTTTCTGTAGTAGTCGATTCAGCTGCTGTTAGCTTTGTTTCTGTAGCTTCTATCGTAGTTGACAATGTGGTTGTTTTCCAGGCTTCTGTTGTTAATCCAGTAGTTGTTGTTTCTGGTTCTGTTATTGATTCAGTTTCCGTTGTTGTTTTTAGAGTACTTTGTCTTGTTGTAATTTCAATTTCCTTTGTTTCAGTAAAGCTCTCTGTAGTGAATAGACTTGTCGTGATAACTGTCGATTTTTCAGTCATGCCTATTTTCTTTGCGCTTGACGCTAAAATTGCTGATGATGTAACGCCAACTTCCGTTCTTGGACTAGTTAAACTTTCTGAAGTTGAAACCGTCGGGCAAATGGTCGACAATTTTACAGCAATTGGTTTGAGTTGACTTTTTTGGTAAGCAGAATACTCTAAACGGTACTTCAAAAATTCTTAAAAGCCATCGTAGAGATCTTGATTAGAGCTTTCAGAAAATATATTACACTTATGGTCTACCTAAAAAGATTGAGAAGTTACGGCGTCACAAAAAGGCTCCCCGGCCGATTTCTTCATTTTCTTCGAATTCTTGTAATGCCATCGCTAAGGGCGACCGAAAGTCAAGACTTCGGATCCCACTTTTCACCTTTTCTTCACTTTGATCTTTTTGTGGGGAATTAGGCTCAAAAAATTCCCCTTATCTCCCAGCCTATCAACTTATCAAAAGAAAAGAAAGGAGAACAAAAGAAAATTCTTGGAAGAGCAATGTTTGTTGGTGCTTTAGAAAAGACTCTCTTCAAAGCTAAATCGCTGGATTTGCACAATGAAAGAGCTAGAGATCGAGTCTTATAAATTTCTTTATCGATCTAACCAAAAAATCGTCAAAATTTTCCGCTTTTTTACGTCTACCTTTACGATTCAGATTTTTTTACAATTCAAGTCATTTTAGAAACTACATTTTGTGATGAATATTTTCTTTTATGAAAGAGTTTTTATTTTACGTTTTATTTCCGTTATTCAAAGGTTTGACGTTAGTGTGAACATGAGGTGAGGCTTGAAACATAATCCAATATGTTTTTAGGCATCAATCCAAAACTTTCTACTTGAAATTGGATCCTTAAAATTATTGGCAGCTGGAATTTCAAATCCTAGTAGAAAGGCGTTTCTGATTAGGATTAATTGAATTGATTCCGGCAATGCCTCTATGAATTGACCTGCCGAATGAGATAGAAAATGATTGAATAAAGGAAACTAAATTTATCTTTTAGAAGAAAAGAATCTATGGAGAGCTATCGTTTCTGTGCAAACGCTTCGACGCTATCCATTTCCAAAGGGCCTCAATGTCCTTTCCGTTGACCACTGTTCCGGCAGAAATTCGAAGTTCCATTCTTCAATCGATTCGTCCCAAGGAATTCCTGAAATTGATTCGGCCAATCGGCAGATTCGACATCATTCCCTATCAAATGGACCATTTCCGAAAAAGCTCAACCTTAGCGAGGTTTCCGTCCAGAGCAGCACAGTCAAATGGTCAAATTGAACGGTTGAACGCTTCACCTATTTCTCATCGACTATTAATGATTCGCTGTCTCTTTACGAGACAAAAACATTTTTGAGATCAACTGACTGGCCGTTGTTCCGACTTGTTCGCACCTGCAAAACATTCATCACAAAATGTAGCTTTCTAAAATGACTTGAATTGTAAAAAAAGCTGAATCGTAAAGGTAGACGTAAAAAAGATAAAAGCGTAAAATTTTGACGATTTTTTGGTTAGATCGATAAAGAAATTTATAAGACTCGATCTCTAGCTCTTTCATTGTGCAAATCCAGCGATTTAGCTTTGAAGAGTCTTTTCTAAAGCACCAACAAACATTGCTCTTCCAAGAATTTTCTTTTGTTCTCCTTTCTTTTCTTTTGATAAGTTGATAGGCTGGGAGATAAGGGGAATTTTTTGAGCCTAATTCCCCACAAAAAGGTCAAAGTGAAGAAAAGGTGAAAAGTGAGATCCGAAGTCTTGACTTTCAGTCGCCCATAGCGATGGCAATACAAGAATTCGAAGAAAATAAAGAAATCGGCCGGGGAGCATTCGGCTTTGTTCAACTCATCGACAAACGACCGTGAGTTGAATTTCATAAATTTTTTGATGTTGTGACAACTATTTGGGCTTTGACTAGGGAAATTATTGCCATAAACTTAAAAGTCCTAGTCCAAAATGGATCTAAATATTTTGGTTTCTCTCTTTGACCATTGCCTAGATTAAATGGTGTGGCTGAGCTAAAATAGCCAGAATAACACCCACAGGAATGGGACCTCTCGAAAGAACGATACGCACACAATTTCAGACCAATAGCAGCGAAATGGATTTTGAGGAGCACGGTTGAAGAGGACGAAATGGCATTCGAAAGGGAATGGAAGGCGCTCGAGAAACTCCACCACCCAAATATCGTCTACTTTTATGGATTGGGGAAGGGGGAAAAAAACGGGAAGTGGCATTACATCATCAAGATGGAATACTGCGAGAAGCTATCGCTAAGGAATGGTCTGGATTTTGAAAGAGTTTTGAGACTTTTGACGAAAAACGAAAAAGACGAAAGACTTTTGCGTTTTCCGATGAGACCTATGTGTTTCCGAAGAATCGGCTAAGGTTTTACGAGAAATTGGTTGCCAAATACTAGGATAAATGGGCAAATATCAATAAAGGGCTTTTTAATGGAGAATATGTTCCGAAAAACTAGCACCCTGATGACAATGATTTAGTCATCAAGGATCCGACGATTGTCTACAATCCAAAGATGGTTTATTGTTGGGCAAATCAATTGTGTGATGTGCTACACTATCTTGCGGAGGAAAAGATAATTCATCGTGACTTGAAACCCGAAAAGTGAGCTATGCAAATTCACCCAAAAAAGATGATTCCAGTGTACTTGTCACAGACAAGTTTGTTCTAAAAGTGGCCGATTTTGGATTGGTTCGAAAATTGACTCGATCAACAATCCCCACGGTTTGTGGTACAACGATCTACATGAGTCCAGAGCTGCTTCGTGGCGCTAACTACCACGTGAAACAGGAAGGCCCAATGCCAGAGGTATCAAAAAAATGAGAGCACAAATTTCTTGGATCCACAATATTGTTCAGATATCGCCAAAAAGTGATCTCTACGCTGTTGGATTGATTCTTTGGGAGATCGTGGAAAGAGAGTGAGTCCGTTATCTTGTTTCAATTTGAAAAAAATGTTGAATTAGTAGAATTTTTTCTTTTGCTAATTTTATAAGTTCGCAACATGTAAGTTAGAGTTAAACAAAACAACAAAATTCTTTATTTCAACCATTCTTTATTTTTTTAAAAATGAAAATTTTAAGACTTTAATGGAAACTTTTTTAGCTTTTTGACTTTGGAACAAGATATTCTAAATTTTTAATTGAGAATAATTGAGAATATTGAATATTTTTTGTCAGATTCTACCTGGAGCCTCTTTTTCTTTCATCATAAACAACTGAATTTATTCTATGTAAATCTATTAGGTTGATGCAAAAGTCTTTTCATTTTTTTCGTACTTCTGTTAAAAAGTAACAAATTCACCAATTAATCTATAGTTTGCTCTATAAAAAAAGTGTTTTTTTGTTCAATTTCCATCTTTTTAAATCAATTTCGGTTCACTTTCAAGCAAATTCGAGAGTGAAAAACGCCTTTTTCGTAAAAATCTATAAAAAACTCTACGGAAAAATTGGCTGAATGAATTTCTCTGAAATTTTGGCGAAATATCAAACTTTTTTTTCTCTATCTTTTATCTATTGACACGAAGATAGGTTTTCTTTAGCTAAGGTGTCTAAACCGCACATCGAGTTAGCCCTTTTTGACTACCCGACTTCATACTCTCAAGAAAATCCAGACATAAAATATTTTTAAACCCGTTTTAATGTTATTTTGCAGAAAAATAATTGGTTTTTCTAATGAAATCAACCGTAGTTTAATTGGTGCATTTGTTGGCTTGAAACGGCAGACGAAAAAAAAAATGAAAAAGACTTTTGCATCAACCTAATATCATGCAAAGAAGCACTTTCAGAAAAGTATTCCGAGAGTATACAACCGACTATGAATTTTTCATGGCAATGTATCTGGAAGTGGTAAAACTCGGGCTACCAAGCTGTGACGTGGAATTGCGGGATATTATTATGAGGTTTGTGCTGTGTTTTTTCAGTTGTGAATCCGAATGTGAACAGAAAAGGATTGAGTGATTCGCTAAACAAGAGTTTCCAGTTGCGCTGAGTTCGATGCACAGAAGCGACCGTCTATTCAGGATCTCTATTCAAGGGTTGTTCAGCTTAACGAGGTCGGTCATTTCAAATAAAAGTTTTGTTATTAAAATTCATTCTTAGAGGTATCACGGTGGTGACATTGATCCTGAAATCAGAAAAGACGAGACGAAGCTTTTGAGGCCGTTTGGGGGAAAAGGTGACTATCCACCTGACTCTAGAGAACCAAGAGATTCGGGCAATTCGACGGATTCGGAGAAAACTGTGACTCCTAACAAATTTCTAAAAATAACTCCATACAAACGAATCGATACACCGATTCCTGGGCGGGTGAATGTTGCCGGTCAACATCAAGTGCTCAAAATTGTGAAAGAGATCGAAAATAAGATACATAAGCCAGTTGTGGTCAATTCGGTGGTCACCTGGGACAAGTACATCAATCATTTGACCAACTCGTGCAATTACATTCAACGAGCCGCTATTCTTGGTTACCCCTCTGGAGAAGTGTGGGCGCGAACTAGGGAAGAGAATCTCTTCAAGGCGACCAAGGCAGAATTGAAAGCATTGCTCTCGGGATTCAGCGATTCAGCCGAATTGACTACGCGCGGAGTTGATTTAGAGAAAGTTCACTACCTTGTAATCCGTGCCAACAATGAAATGATTTTCGGGAGAACTCGATTCAGCGGCTTCTTATTATTAAAGACACGGACGGTGGCGTTGGTGGCTGTCTACGAGGCAAGAGACTGGAGAGATACAGACATTTTGGTGTATGGCGTCCTCGAGCGGCTGACTCGCCACCTCGATACTGCTGGATATTGAATTGCTAATTTGAAAAGCTTTTCCACTTTATCACCGGCACTTGCACGATTTTCTTTGAATTGTTTTTTCACCCGAATGACAAGGATATGTCGAAGCTTGTAAAATTTTATGTAAAAGCAAGCACTCTCTGATGAAGGATTTCTTTTTCTTAGCTTTTGAAAATGGAAAAGAACTGATGTTCAATCAGAAAAAGTTAGTCCAAGTGACCCCCGTCCTAGTTTAATATCAAAAGTTAGTGTAAATCAGAAAACAAACTCCGATTTGCATTGACTTCTACCATTAATGTTTTTTAGCTTGTTTTCTCTTCTTATGGGACCAATAAATTTTTGCGATTGATCATCAAAAAACAAGACAGAAGAGCTTTATTCATAAACAATAACTCAACCACGATTATGAGCGAGATCTAGGAACTGTAAAAACTGTAAAAATCTGTAAAGTTTTCTTAAAGTTGCCACAATATATTATCTGAAAATTGGCAGGACGGCTGCTTTTTTTGTCTCGTTTGTTGCCAAGATTTGAATGTTGGTGAGGAAAATAGGCAATGCGACTATTTCTGTACAAAGCTTTATTTAGATAAAATTTAGACCCTTTTAGCTTCTATTTTCTATTTTCGGCATTACTATTTTTGGGCTTTTCTTTTAGATGCAAAAACGCCTTGAAAATAACTGTACAATGGCCGACAAAAAAATTCAATAAGCTTTACCTCTATTATAGTATATGCAAATTTTAAGGCTTATGCAAATTGGGTCGTAATAAAATGTTTATTGAAATTCATAGTGCAAAAGGTCGAATTTGCTCTTCAGAATCAATTACTCTTTCCCTATAGCTGCAATTGGTTAGCCGTAGCAGCCCAGAATTTGGTTGTTAGCACACGTGCATCTGTATCCATTGACATAGCACGGACTTGGGGCATACGCAACGTTGACCCCGATCACGGAAGCTGCAACAGCTCCCTTCACCACGGCTGAAATCATTTCCATTTTATTTAAATAAAAAAGTCAAATTTTTTGATTAATTTTGACACCATTTGACACCTTAATTTCGTACCTTTCCCTAGTTAGGAAACTTAAGAGAAATGAAAACCTCTTGTACTTTTAGTTGAGAAACATAAGGTATTTTGTAGCTCCTTCCTTTCCTCACCTTCACATATCCAATCCCTTGCCAGTTGATCAACTTTTATCATTGGTAACTGATAACTAGTGACTAAAACCCCGAGACCCATTTCGAAATCAAACCATTTTTCGGTATTTGGCGAAATCGAGGTCAAAAACCATTTAGTCTAAAAGAGCAATACGGCACAGTTTGTGTAAATCAGTAAAAATAAACCTGCTGAAGCTTCTCATCTTCCGTAATCGTTGGATCCGATGGCTGAGCCAAATCGACCATCATGATTACAGTTCTTTGATCTTTCACAAGTGAAACCCTTTACTGCCTTTGGGACAACAGCGGACTGAGCAAGCACCATTGAACAAGATTCTTTAATGTTATCAGAAAAACGGAAAGCTTATGAGAAAAGAGGTCACTCACGGAATAACTCTAACTCAAATCCAGCTTCGGTGAAAACTCGTTTCAAATGCGGCCGTTTCGGTTTTTCAGAGAAAAATAACAAACCATAACCAACCGTACTCGCTTCTATGGATCTAGAAATTTTTACATATTAAATAATCAGTTTTCTCTTACGATAAAAACAGTTGAATACTCGATCCCAAATAGATAAACTCGTTTTCTAGATTTGATTCAAAAAGTTCGCCGATCTAATCACAAAAAACGTTTTGCTAAACTTTTACCGTACTTTATTCATCGTTTCATTCAAGATTTGCAGTGTTTCTTCGTTTTCCAGGTCTCTATACTGCTCTTTCTAAGAAATGTGCAAATTTGTTCGAAAATTAAAAATTGTTTCAATTGTGGGGGGTGCTGCACATTCTTTGATCAAGGGGCAATCAGAAATTGGTTTCTCTGAAATTCCAAAATCATGGTACTGGAAAAACACAATTCTACTAAAAAAATTGTTGACAATACCTAGATGACATCCTTTTGACGTAGCTAATCCAATCATGATCACACCCAAAACCATCGTGGCAAAACCGATCAAAAAGACAACCGCAGGAGTCTAAAACTGCAATATCTTTCACGTGCTAGAAACGCAAAAAGACCCTCATTGGAATTGATTCAAAGTATTCCAAGTTAAATTTTAAACAACTGATTGTTAACCTTCTTAATTTGCCAAAAAGCAAAAAGCTTCGCGCAGGATGAGATTCGAACTCACGCTGGGAAACCCCATTTGATTAGCAGTCAAACGCCTGAACCACTCGGCCACCTGCTCACATTTTTAGGGACCTGAAACTCGGCTTATCCATCATGCCCCCAAAAAAATGAAAGTTGTATCGCTTACTCTTTTCGATTTCCAAATCCGATACCAAATCGTGTTCATTTTTCGTAGATTTTCCGGCGAATTGTGATATTCATTTCGAAGCATATTTTGGCCAAAAAAGTTTACATCGAAACAAAAGACGAAATGTATAAAAATGAATTCCAATCTTAAAACGAGAACCAAAACCAAAGCTACTTTAGTTTTTTTTGCTCTTTTCAGTTTGATAAAAGGATTGCATGTTCATGTTTCAAATTTTTTCGTAAAAACCATGTGGTGGTGTTATTGGAAGAATCGGCTTATTCTTACAGCATAAACCACATAATCAGAAGATACATTCGAAAATTGGACTCGATCAATTTGAGAAGTGACAAACAGTTGTTTTAAAATATAAATAATGGCAAAAGAAGGAGCTTTAGTATTTTATTGTACTTTTTTATAGAAAAAATGGTTAGAATTAGTATTTTATTGTACTTTTTCTGAGCAAAACCACAATTTCATAATTTTGACTTTTTATTCTGCGACTTGCGCCCTTTGCAAATCTTTGAAAGCAATCTTCCGACTTTCTGGTGTTTTTAAACCAGAACAAATTCTGCTTTTTCAAATCAATCCCACTTTTTCTGACATTTTTTCGAAAAAACTTTGCAATTGACCGGACCAATCGGCTAAACAAACAGCACTGGCCGTTTAAAAATTTTTACGCGAACTTTGATGAGGTTAGAATTAATTTTTGGACCCAGTCATAAAGTAATTTTTGGTGTTGAAATAATTGATAGACAAAGAAAAATGAATCATTCATCAAGAATTTAGTTTTAAAATGAATCAGTAAACTAAATATGAATCACAGTATTTCATAAAACCCAAGCTCAACATCGTTTTGTGTAAACTCTGCTGTAACTTGGCTTAAGGATATAGTAAAGTTAGCAATTCTTTGGAAAACACGATATTTTTTGACTAAGGTAGTGCATTTTAAAAAACACATTGCTTGAGATAAAAACATTCTAGTGGAAAATGAATTTGCGATTCTTCCAATAAAAAGCTTTCGCAATTCTCATTGCGTTGGCGTGAGCCAACAAATTATCATGCAAAAATCAAATTCAATGATATCATCTTTTAAATATTCATCTCGATTTTGAACCAACAGCGCATAAATAAGTGGGTAAGTAAACAAAAGTCAGTTTTTCAGACGATGATGGACCATTTTTTTCGTTGACCTTATGTGGGCGTCGTCTTTCTTTGCAAAACTTGTCCACAAAGTTTATTTAGCCGCTCATTTACATCCATTCAGCTCTTACATAAAACGAGATGGGAAACGGAATTGACATCAATTTTCGATTTCTTGACCACTTCACACAATAATGAACGCTAAATTAGCTTTTCTTTTGGTGGTTTGCATGAGCCAAGTAAGTTTTAAACATTTAAGACTATAGAATGAGCTAAAATTCAATTAAACTGACTTTCTGATTCGTCAATTGTAAAAAGTAAACAAAAAACAATATATTCTTACGCTTAAAAAACTAGTGAGCGGCCTATTGTAGGCTTAAAATCTTACTTGAGATAAAAACATTCTCTTTCAGTATCTTTCAGTTTGCTAGCAAGTTTGTTCTCCATTTTTAGTCCAAATACGCTAACAATGAGCTTTAAGTAAAATAAAATCTGTAGCAAAACTAGAATCTAAAACCTACCAAAACTCCATAATTCGATTTTTTTAGTATCCACTTCATATCATTTTAGACTTTGGCCGCCAATTGCCCGTCACAAGCTGTTCCCAGCACTTCTTATTCTCTCATTTATGGACGTAAGTCTACTTTAGAATATAACACGTTCGAAATATTACACAAATATTGTTCTTATAAAGAAAAGCTCATCTTTTAGCAGCCAATGATGAGACGAACGGCTCAAAGACGTGTCCACGAGGTTTTTGCCGTTACATCACGACAAGCCTTGGAAGCAGCAATGCGTGTCTAGATGTAGGCTCTAAACTAACAAAGCAAAGACAATTTCTAATCTTTTCATTTTTCTCAATCCGGTCTCTTTAGCAATCGCTCGTTTGCCCGCAAGCGACCGGCCCAATCCCCTCCACTACCATTGCTGGACGTGAGTCTTTGAAAAGCAAATTTCATCAATTTTCAAGAATCAAACTTGAAACTTAAATGATCTCAAAGATCTCTCAAATGATCTCAAAGTTTAGCTGCTGATTCAAATCTCAACTGTCCAGCCACGACGAAATGTGTTGGCGGAGAGACGAGCAGCAACGGAAAGACATACGTCGGAAATTTCTGTGTCATTGCTTAAAAATCTCAATTAAATAACCAATATTCTACCTGATAATAACAAAGCTAACACTTAATAATAAACCTTTTGTTTTGTTAACTTTTTGCTTGAATTCTCCTTTTTCGAAATCAATCACAGCCTGACTATCTTGCAGGATTTTACGCTTTCTACAAGGTGTTCAACAAATTACTCGGGTTCGGTATTTTAAGTGTAACTCAGCACTCAGATGTGCAATCATCTCACGCTTTGTTTTAATAGTTTTTTTTGTTTTTATATAATTTAAATATTTTTCCACGCTGGATTCTTGGGTTTTACGAAAAAACTTTTTCTGCCTTTTTTTATAAAACATCAAAGTTGGCTGTCAAGAGCTGACGCTTGTTTTTGGTACTTCATTTCCAGAAAACGCCAAAGATTGAGCATGTTTTAGAACGCTTTTGTTTTTGCAATACGTTTTAAACATTATCAAACGATTCGGAAGGTAATGTGACACTCAATTAGGCAAAGTTTTGCGATTTTGTGAATCTTGGTTCCACATGAGCCATTGGCTTGTCAAAAGATGACTCTGCAAAACGAAATTTTTCATTTTTTATTTTCTGTTAAATGTGAATCTTTAACCTTCAGATAAATGTAACCAAATAAAACTAAATTGAGAACAGTAATGGATCCTTGCGCAAGTCACGCCAATAAGAGTGTCCATCATCAGGCTCAGCCAGCTTGAACTTTTTCTCGTCTGTGTAGATGATCTGAAAACAATAAAATTTGTTTTCTAAGTTTAAATACCTGATTCCATGTTTGCGCGAGCAAAGAGCAACCTGTTCTGTTTGTGGATGGCAGTTAAGCGAGGTGCTAGCTTCATCACCTGATGTGTGAGATGTGGAGAAGAGTTGATGGTTCTGAGAACAGTCCAATTTGACACTGGAAGTTGCAAATCACGCTTGATTTCATTTGCTGACCTCGTAGAATTTGAGGCTTTGTTTCTGATATGGCGTTCGGCCGTTTGAAGAGCTTCTTGTGACGACCATGCGCACTTGAAGTACCATATTTGAGTGGGCCTTTGAGGTAACGGTTGATACAGTCTCTTGAGCGATTGATTCCACGGCTCATCTCGGAAATTGACAATCTAAGTTGAGCTGCTTTCGGGATTTTTTTTGAAGTTGAAGTAAGACAAAGTAGGCTCTTTAGGCCTCCTTATAAGGAACCTGAAGTGAAAGTGGCGTGTCTTATGTTTGGCAGAGGCAAATTTACCTTTTAAACTAAAAAAGTATGAAATGACCCGAAAATTTGGGGGGGGGGGGGTGGCTTATGTTTTTGCACCGGGTGAATTTTCGTTTTTCGGCTGTTACATTTTCCCAAAAAAAACGCTCATGATCACCAAGATTTTTGTTAAATCCTCCAAAAACAAGTGCCGTGTCCTGATTGCCAACTTTGAGTTTTTACAAAAAAGGTAGAAAAAGTTTTACCTAAGAAAACCTAAGAATCCACCATACAAAAATATTTAAATTTTTTATTTAGACAAACCGTGAGATGATTGCACATCTGAGTGCTGAGTTACACTTAATATACTGAGTTTGGGTAATTATTGAACACCCTGTAGTCAAATGCTTAGTAATGAAGTTGGTCGTTAGAGTATTCTCAATCCGAAATTTGTCATCTGCACCAAAAGATTCAATCATTCTGCAATTCATCTATTCTTTACCGTATCTCACAATCACCGCCTGCCATAGCAAAAACTGTCAAGCAGGATGAGATTCGAACTCACGTGGGGAAACTCCATTTGATTAGCAGTCAAACGCCTTAACCACTTGGCCACCTGCTCACACTTCTGGCTAGCCTAAATCAGGGTAACACTAATTTCTGCAACGGAATTTACTTGGATTTGCGATCAGATTGGTATCATTTGATGGGCCAAAAATGTATTATAGATCAGGTTTTTAGTTGTTGAAAAACTATTAAAACGTTACTTAAATACTTGAAAAATTATTTTATACAAAAATTAGGGCAAAGATTGACCTGATAGTCAGGTGCTCAAACAAGTGGTTCGTGTAGAAATCGCGGTTTTCCAGCAAAATATAATAAATGTGACCCGAGAAACGTCATTTGACAAGATTTTAGTCATAAATGTATTTGTACAGCTGCATGTCATTCCTCTATATTCAAGCCATATAAAATGTAAGTGAGGCTGAAGATTTCGGATCATCGGGATTTCAATATTTTCGGGTGTATGATGCAGAAGCTTGTCTTGATCGTTGGTGTGGTTTGCCTTGTGCAGGTATTTGTTTACAATTTCTAAAGATAATGTTTTATTTTGACTTGCGCAATCGACTCACCATCAGTGCTGATTCTAGTGTTAAACTGTGCTGTGATTTTCAAACTAAATTCAAAAGGCAAAGAAAAACACTTTCTACAACTTTCCATACCTTTTACCAAACCGCTATCTTCATTCAGCTTAACTTTTAATTTAGGCTGGTCCTATGGGCCCACCACCAGGAATGGGTCCTGGGCCAGGAGGTCCTGGTGGACCAGGTGGTCCAGGAGGACCAGGAGGTCCAAGAGGAGATGGTCCAGGAGGACCAGGAGGTCCAAGAGGAGATGGCCCAGGAGGACCAGGAGGACCAGGAGGCCCAGGAGGCCCAGGAGGACCTCCTCCACCACCACCTCCCCCACCTGGCCCCTTTGATCCAAATGGACCTCGACCACCTCCACCTCCCCCACCACCACCAGGCACCCGCCCACCACCTCCACCCCCATCCGGTCGCACTCGTCCTCCTCCACCACCATCCGGTGGCACCAATCGACCCACAACTGGCAGCCCATTCTTCACGACAACTGTATCATCAAGCACTTGCCCAGATCTGCCTAGCACAACAAATGGAGCCGATGTGGGACGTAAGTTGTTGCTCTAATTCAGTAAACGTTCCCCTATTTAGCGGCTATTGCTGGTCAATGCCCGAATGGTTTCTGTCGATTCAATGGAGTTGAAGATCGGTGTTATGATGTGAGTTGAACTTGTAGAAGTGTAGAATTTTAAAGTTCAGTGTGTTGTGGAAAGATGACAAAGCTTTAAACAAATTTTTCGTTTCAGCAAAGCCTCCTCTGCCCAAGCTCAACGGCGGCCATCGTTTCAACTACAGTGGCTGGACGTTGGTTTTACAACAACTATCCCTTTTGAACACTATTATTAGCTAGCACATTATTGTAACTTCAAAATTTAGCCGCTACCGCCGACTTGGTCTGCCCTGCAACCACTCACTGTGTCAATGGATACACCCAATCCTCATCGGGGCAAACCTTTTACGCAAACTTCTGCATCTACGACTGAAATAGATCTCGATTTGAAACAGTACAATAAAGTGTCCAATAAAGTATCCAAAACATTCAATCTAATCCAATAAATTCTGAATGCATGCATAGTAGTAAATCGTTTACAAGAAACAAGTTCAGACACAGAACTTAAGCCTTAGGTCAGTCTTTCTGGGTTTTGCCTTAATGTGGATTTCAGTCAACTTCAAGCAAATCTATTAGGTTGACAAGAAAGTTCAAGAAAAGTTTGCATGGTGATTTCTCAAAAATCAAGCCATGAATTCTTCCCAAGTCTTTTTGATAAACTTGACTATATTTATAAAAATTCTTGATAAAAAATCAGAGTGGGCTTCAGAAAAAAAAAGATTTCTTCAGCTAAAGTGACTTTTTTAGTGACCAGCATTTAGACAAGTTTTTAATAGATTAATGGATAGATCCCATTCAAAACCTAAAATAAAATACTAAAAACAGGGAAATTTGCGACTAAAGCAAATTTTATCTAATGCTTTGACTATTTGGAATGACGTATTTTAGCAAACACTCATTGACATCAAAAAGTTATTTTCTGAAGTACAGCCCCTCTGTAAAAAGCTTTTTAGCGAAAAATAGAAATTATAGAGAGTATTGCTCATTTATGTTAGGTTTGCCCCATAAGAAATCATTTTTTTGTGATGCAAAAGTGAGCTGAATAATACTTTTTCAAAAATCTCAAAAATTTTAAGGGAAAGCTGCACTTATTTTTTACGAGTAATTTCTTGGAGTCGACTTGTAAATAATAGAACAAAATGTTCTTGAATTAGTGGATTCGTTTTTAAGAAATTCCAACTCAAAACTGCGCAAAGACTTTCTTGCCAACTTAATATTAACCAATACTCAAGTATAAAGTAAAAATAAAAATCCAACTTTCAACAATAAATGGTTTTTATACGTGAGCAACACGTGTTACTTTCTTCTTTTCTTTACAAACTAGCTCATCATCTTTCGATTGATTTTTATTTCGCAATTAATTCTCGGTTCTTGATTCTCGGTTCCATTTTCTGTAAAAAATGCACATTGGTTTTCAACTTATAACATACATATCTACTTTTCAAGGTACATGAAAGGTTGGTCACACAGAAACTTTATTGACTTCTTTCTGAAACGAAGAACGTATCAATTGATAAGAGGAGTCTTACAGAGCACTTTCAAATCTCTTCGATTGATTTTTGTTTCTCAACTGATTCTCGGTTCTTGGTTTTCGGTCCCATAGCATTTAGTCTTTTCAGAAGAAATGAGCTACCGTATTTCTTCTACTAAATATTCAATTTGTCTTTTAAGTGAGTTCGGGGTTGAGCTGACGTGGGGAATATGCTTCTAGTGATCAGTGGTCTTATACTGAACTAGTACCTTATTCTTGTAAAGTTACAGTACCATTACAATAGAGTATGTCAAAATAAAAATACAGTCGAACTTCGATATAACAAAACGTTTGATATAACGAACACTATTTTTGGTCCCAACAAAGGGTTTTACCTTAACACTTCGATATAATGAACTTTTTCTTATAATGAATTCGATATAATCAACGTCTCTTGAGGTTCGTTATATCGAAGTTTGACTGTATGCATTGACTTCTTGACCTCAGCATTTTAGTTTTAGCAAAACTTCATTAGCGTTAGCAACCAAACGTTAGTTTAGAGCTTACCTCACTAGTCAGTAGTAAATTGATTCGATAATAACTTAACACCTTGCAAAGTTCCAGTACCACTACAGTATTCGAGTACTGATTTTGAGCTTTTGTTAGAGGATTTTAAAGAACTCGTCTCACCAGGCTAAATGCTTTCGTTTCAGCATGCTGTATCGATTCTAAGCCTAGAGCTCTAGAGCCAATTTTTAGAACCCTTTCTTGCTAGAGATTTCATTGGTGGTTTGGCTGAGCCTAAACCGAGATCGATCTAACTATTGATCATGAGCTCTTCTTGAATTTTGTGTTTTTGCCCATCTTGTTTTGCAACATAACAATCTTTTCAAAATTTACAGCAAAGAATGTGCCTCAACAACTCGGAAGATGAGATGAGAGCCTCGTATTTGAATCTGTTTGCAAGATTTTGCAAACTCAACTACAAGAAAAACTCCAACAAGATGAATTCGTTATTCAGTGACTCAACTTCAATGATCACTCATTCAGAAGACGGAATCTCTTTTCTCTTTTCTTATCGAATCTTTTCATGTTCTCTCGCGCCTCATGCAGGAGCAAGTCTCGTGTAGAGGCCTACGGCGTCGTGTAGAGGTTTGCAATGATTTCCCAATTACATTTTGAATGCCAACTTTTCAGCAATAGTTTTAACTGATCAAAGTAAAGCTTGCGAATTGATTTTTTTTATTTAGATCTCTATGTTAAGCATTTTAGCAATAAACAACTTGAGATAAAGCATCGGTAGTGTACTAACAAATACAAAACCTGCTCTTTTAATCGAAAAGAATCACATCTTCTTTTATGATGTTTGATAAAAATCTTTAAATGATCATTGACCCAAACAATAACCAATTGCAACTTTAGATTAACAGGAAACAAAAATGTGGCCTTTCGCGACATATTGGGGATTGTTGATCAACTTTATTAAAAAGGACATATCAATGGCTCCAACGGTAAGCAGCAAGTAACAAATGCATCTACTCGAAAAGCAAATTTAGTATACGTGGCGAGCATTTGAGAGTCATAAATGGGTATATGATCCAACGAAACTCACTTACGAAACGACTAAAGAGACGTTGACTGCAGTGAGTCGTATTTTGATTTCAATATTAATACCAATACCAGAGCCTGAGTTGAACTAAAATCGGGTTAGGGTTACTGGAGAACAAAAACTTTAGATAAACCAAATTCTAACAGATATTTTGTTCTCCTCGAGGGTTGGTTTGGTTCAGGGTTGTGTAAGGCTTAGGCAAAGTGCTTTATGTCGTTTATGCATAAGAGGTCATTCCGTTTTAACAGATAGAGCAGGTAAGTAAAGAAAATCAGTTGATAAAAGTTTAGTTCTTATAGTATTAGGTTGGCAAAAAAGAAATGAGCGTCGTGTTTGTTGATTTGTATTTTATTCACAGTAAAAGATTTTTTTAAATAGTTTATTCTATTGGAAAGAGCGTGTTCTTGCGCATCGTTTGATATATAATTTGTCTATGTTTACTTTGTTTTTTTGCAAGAAAGAGTGTTTAGAAAATGTCGGACCAAAAATTTCGTTTGCTGGCCTGCTCGTGGCATGAATTTAAGCAAGGCAAATCGGCTGCTGAAGCTCATGGCGCTCTATCTCAAGTGTTTGACGAAGATGCTCTATCCGAAAGTCAGTGTAAACGATGGTTCCAGCGCTTCCGAGACGGCGACGAAAGCTTGGAAGACCAAAAACACGGACGTCGACCTCAAATCATCGACAACGACGCATTGAAGGAAGCCATTGAATCGGATCCACGCCAAACCACTCGCTACCTGGCAGAACAGTTCGGCTGCACTCATGTCACCATTGAGAACCATCTGCATGGCATGGGCAAGACGAATAGATGCGGAAAATGGGTACCGCATAAGCTATCCGACGCAAACAAGGCGACACGCATCGCAATCGCCGGAATTCTCACTCACCGCGCCAAGAACAGTGGGTTTTTCGACTCCATTGTTATGTCGGATGAGAAGTGGATCCAATACGGCAACACAGCAAGAAAGCGGCAGTGGTTGGACCACGGTGAAGCTCCAAAACCGGACATCCACGGAAAAAAGGTGATGCTTTGTGTTGGGTGGAACAGTAAAGGCCTGGTATACTTTGAGGTTCGGGATTCGGGTCAAACAGTTACGGCGAACCTCTACCAAGGCCAATTGGACCGCGTGGACCAGGCGCTGCGACGTCAAGGTGTGGATACGGCGTCGACAAAATTCCTCCACAACAACGCTCGGCCGCATGTCGTAAAAATCACCCAGCAGAAAATTGAAGAAATGGGCTGGGAAGTCCTGCCTCATCCGCCATACAGCCCAGACTTGGCGCCTTCCGACTACCATCTGTTCCGATCAATGCACCACTCCTTGGCCGAGAAAAAGTTCAAGAACCGTGACGAGGTCCAAATTTGGGTGTCCAACTTCTTCGAGTCGCAGCCGGTCGAGTTCTTCAAGAAGGGCATCCATTCTCTGCGTGAACGTTGGCGACAAGTCATTGATGCAGATGGCGAATACCTTTTGGATTAATGTATTGTTTTCTTGTTTTTATAATAAAATAAACTTTTAACGAAAACGCGCATTTTTTTTTTGCCAACCTAATAGATTGTAGTTCTTTTTGATTTACATAAATCCTTCTACTTATAGATCATGGCGGCCTATGCACGACCTAAGGCGAAGCCTCTTTCCATCAGCGTTTGGAGCGAAAAGAAAAAGAGTCTCCGGTTTTCGGTTCCAAAACAACAGCTTATGGAATCTCCTCGAGTTTCGGCTTCTTTGGAAGAACTCTTTGGTTGTACGATCGTTCGATCAGAGGACTTCGATTACTACGCTGAGGTTAGTCCTGTAATGTTAAGCTTAAACTGAATCTTGTAATATGTATCTAGTATTAAAACGTTAATAAAAAATTAGCTCTTGGCCACAAAATCAATAGAGTGATCAATAATTTTAGGGAACGACGCACACATTTCGCAAAGTGCTGATCAGGTTGAATAAATCAAGTCAACTCGTGGTCATCGAGCACGTGAACGACACCAATGACATCGGAAGCGGTGAAAATCAAATCAACAATGACGACATTTCCAATTTTGTTTACGAAATCGAATGCGACTTATTACCTAAAATCCGTCGTTGCCTCAAAAGAAAGGAAATCGAAGCTATAGAATTCAATATTTGGAATGGTATCGTCGGGTTAGTTGCATTTAATTAATATGCTAGAATCCAGTGAGATTAAAGTCTTTTTTCGAATTTGAATTTGACCAGTAGAAAGCCAAAAATTATATAAAGGACAAATACAAGTTGCTCATAAAACTCATAAGTTATGTGGGATCAAAATACTAAATCAAAAAGCTTTAGTGACACGGCCAAAAGCATCACTCGCAATAGAGCACGACGCCAAGCTGGATACACTATAAGCTGGCAGAATGTAATTGCTCCTGTTTTGAATTTGGTTTTGCATAAAATTAATCCTTTGAATTTTGAATGTTTCTCCTGAAACATTTACTTCTATTACTCTTGCCTATTATGTACTATTATGTATTATGTACTATATTTTAGAAATTGTTATATTTAAACAAAATGAAAACTTCTAATTGCCCCTTGGTTGCTCACTTTTTAGGTACGAGGTTGTTTTTTTGTTACCGGTAATCTTTACCAGAATCTCTAGTCATCTTGCATTTCTCTGTGATTGACTCTATTTGGAAGTCGTTTTGTTTTCTAGAGCTGCTTTCTACGTCTTTCTTATTTTTGCTTACGGCTATTTGTCTTGAGTTTTCAAAATAAATATATGCATTCTCATACAACGTCTCATATAACGATTTTGAAATTCTAAAGCACGCTTTCGCTTTCTGCGTAGCTACCCAGGCAAACACGAGCGTTGGCCGTTCTGGGCAGTTATGCACAAAACTTGGGGCACGTTTTAAAATCATTGGATCGAAATTTTTGTTTCCAAGCGAATGGTTGAATCGAGTATTCATGAAAAAGTGGTACGGATAAATTTTTTATTTATAATTTTCTTATAATAATTTTTCTAGTACGATATTCAATTATCCGATTTTCTAGTACGATATTCAATCATTTTCTTATAATATTAAACACCAATAAATCTTTTTCGTCATTTTAATAAAACTGACTTGATCAAAACTTTTGTTCTACTCAAAACTTCTCGGAAAAATTTTTTTTTCAAAAGCCCGCCTAAATTTGTTATTTGTACAGGTGCGTTTTTGGATTTTTTTTGTTTAAAAGAATAAAATGACTCAATAAAATATGATATTCGTAGAAAATGGAATGACTGAAAACTAGAATGAAGTAAATACTAAGATTAGAATTGATCAAGTTTATAACACTTTGATTAAAGCTATATTTTAGTCAGTGAACTTTTCTCTGTGTATGTTGTCTAAAGTTGTATAACTACAAATCATATCAAAACCGTTTATTATGATTAAACAAAAGCCATTAAAAGTAGATTAGCATAGTTTGTACTCTTTTTATTAAGCGGTTTGGCAGTATCCGCAAGATTTTCGGCATTTCGCCATTCGTTGTGCGTCCGTGTAGTTGGGATCGGTGCAATAGCCGTTTCCCTTGTAAATCGGGCAACTAAATGAACAATTTATTAGGGAGAAAATTATCCACGGCACTTTGGATCCACATCATTGCAAGGAGGGTTTGGGCTTGTGCAATATCCACAAGTCGCACGACATTTCGCGATTTTTTGAGTCACCGTGTAGTTGGTGTCATCGCAGTAGCCATTCTTTGCATAGATTGCACAACTGAAATGAGTTATTAAACTTTTTGACTAAAATTTTTTGAACTCAAATGAGCCAGGACTTGATAAAACTTGATAGAAGCTTTGATCTAGTCAAAGCTGATTTCGAAACGACTATTGTCGTTATCATTTCAAACTCACTCACTTAACATCAACATCCACACATCCTCCACACATCTTACACGTTGCTGCGCAATAGTTCAACTTGAAATCGTAGGTGTAGAGAGGAGACGAGCACCATTTGTTCTCCAAGTAAAGCTGACAACTAAATTGGAGATCGATCAACTATTTTGGTTCAAATCAAATCAAATAACACCAAAATGCATCGATTTTGTTTTAATCGACAAATGTCTGACCAAGCTCATATCAAGAGGAGCTGCCTTGGAATTTAGAAATGAAAATTCAAAGCACTGTAAAGTAGACTTGCAACAAAATTATCTATCGGTCCCTTTTTTGCCTTTGACAATTTAAGCTTTTTCGTGTTTTTCTCAGCACCAACCCTTCGATTTCGACTATATTGACTATCATTCGATGTAGAATAAAATTGCGCGTCGAACTATCCCAAAATTAACTCAAAACATAATACCCACACAAAGCTGTTGGCTAAAAACCTAAACCCCGCTCATTATGGGTGGGACTTAAACTTTTGCCTCAAAATTTAGCGTCAATATTAGATTTTGAGACAATTTTGGTATCATTCGACGCGCAATTTTATTCTGCATTGAACGGTAGCTGAGAAAAACACGATAAACCTTAAATTGCCAACGGCAAGAAGGGACCGACAGATGTTTTCGTTACAAATCTACCGTAAAGTCCGATTTTCAGGATCAAACCCTTGCTGTTAAAAAATAGGCCAAGACTGCCAACCACTTATCTAAGTGTTTGAACAAAAACTGAATAACGATCTTTAAATGGAAATTAAGGATTTTGAGCAAATCAGCAAACCAAGTTTGAGATGGCTTTTGAGTTGGTAACTTTAAAATAAATTAAAAGCTATTCCATTTCCTATTGCCATTTTGATCAAAACTTACTTTCGGTCATAATCGATGCATGTTGTCTAAACATAAAAATCAGCTCAATCATAGAATTTACGACTCACCGGTGTGGCAGCAAAAGCTGTAGACACCAGAGCTGCCGAAATGATTAGAGAAAGCATCACTTTGGTCTATCAAATGATTTTGAAGGCCTATGACGAGGATTTTTCTCGAAAGTGACCAAAAGTTATCCAATTTCATATATAAAGTGTCTCACAAATTCCACTCACAGCTCGTTAAACAAAAGGTTTCGCGATTCTCGCCCGCTGACCTGTGGATTTTCGCGCCTTTGCAGTTTCACCTATTGACGCCCGCGCATTTTAAAGGTCTTGCAGATTTAGTAATTAAATTATTGACCAATGAAATTTCAGTGCCACTTTGTGTCCTCTGGATGACTTTTAGGCATTGGTCATTTGGAGAGAACTGAAGTTGAACTTAAAAAGAATTGCAAAAACTGACGTAAACTTTAAACTGCTGTGTGAATTTCGTTTTTGAGGCCAAATTCAAGCTAGCGCAGCACAAAAAGGTGGTAAAACTTCTATTAAAAGAAAGTTAAGAAACTTAAGCTGATGTTAAAAGAAAGAAGTTATTCATTTGGAAATCTTTAAAATCAAATAAAATCAAAGCTGTATTTCGGTCGGTTTAAGTGCTTTTGAACGATTTACCTGTTTATAAACAGATGATTACAAATTTAAAATTCTAAAACTCATCTGCCCAAACCATTCGATTCAACGATTCACTTACCGTAAATACTGTAATTGGACCCCACCCCTCTAATAGTACCCCCCCCTCTAATAGTACCCCACCCTAGAGGGGGGAGGGAAAAAATAATACCCCACCCCTCTAATAGTACCCCACCCCTCTAATAGTACCCCACCCCCACCTAACGCGTAATTACAAACAACGCTTTTAAAGCGGAAAATTTTCATGTATTTTCAGAAATCGTTTGTATTTTTAATTTTATCCCATAAATTTGTTGTTTTTAAATTTGGGCTGGCTACTTTGCGCCAAATTTTTTGCACAGCTTGCCATAACTTTCTTCTAAGTGGGCCAAGCTTTATGATTGTAGATCTCAACAAGTGCAATAAAGTAACACCAAAATCATAAAGATTGGCCCACTTAGCAGAAAGCTATGGCGAGTTGCGCAAAGAATTTGGCGCAGAGTAACCACCCCCGCCTTTTATTACTTTATTAATTTTATTTTTTCAGATATGAATCTCGATGGAAGATCGCTCGATGGATTTGAGGAATATCGGGCTCGTTGCGAATACGAAGAACACAGGGAATTCTTCAAAGAACCGCGTGATGAACGAGCCGAGCAAGATGCCAATGGGAGCTCGGTCAACGCTGAAGTTGAAGGATCTTCAAGTGAGTCGGATGAGCTACCTACAAAGAAAAAGAAAAAGGCGATTGATGTGAAAACGAAATTGGCTGTGGCAAAGATGGGCAATGATGTTTCGATCAAAGCAGCCGCTGCATTCTATAACATTGATCGAAAATGTGTTCGTTCCTACATCAAACAACAAATCGAGCTTGAGAACGTCCATGGAAGACGCAAGAGACTCAATGGAGCCGGACGCCACTTGAACTCGGACGAGATTGATATCGGTTTGGCTGAATGGATACGGGATCGTCGAGCCGAGAAGAAACGAGTGACACGCCGGATTATCTGGAATGAAGCGGCCAATCGATTCGAAAAAGCTGAAATCTCTTTCAAAAGAAGTCATGGCTGGATGGAGTCGTTCTTGAGGCGCCACCAACTTTCTTTGAGGGCACCAACAACAACTTGTCAAAAGCTGCCAAGCGAATTTGAGAAGGCCATCGTCGAGCACATTCTGAGGCTGAACAAGACAATCAAAGAAGGCGATTACAAGCACATTGTTGCTTGCGATGAGACGGCGGTTTGGCTGGATGCTTCGACGAGCAAGTGCATCGAAGCGATTGGAGCCAAAGAAGTTGGTGTTCTCACCCGCGGCTACGAGAAAATGAATATATCCGTGATGCTCACTGCTCGTTCCGATGGGAAAAAGTTGCGCCCTTTTGTCGTGATGCCTCGAAAAACGATGGACAAAAAAATCGAGACAAAGTTTCAATCAAAGTTATTGCTCTGTTGGAAAGAGAAAAAAAACAAGTGCTTCGATAATGGAATCACGGCGGAATACTTGCAACGCTCTTTCGGTAGACTTGGATTCTTCAATAAAAAGGAACGATCACTCCTTGTTTGGGATCAACACCCTGCCCACAAAAGTGAATCGACAAAGGAATGTCTAGAGAAGTTAAAGATGGATTGTGTCTATGTTCCCGGTGGCACGACAAAATATCTTCAGCCAGCCGACGTTTCATGGAATGCCCCATTCAAGGCCTACATTCGCCAGCAATACGAGGATTGGATCTTGATATCGGCTCCCGATTTGACGCGATCACGAAAAGACGGCACCGGCGGCGGGAACCCCAAGTCTCCATCAATGGAAATCTACTTGGGTTGGATCCTGGAAGCGTGGGGGCGAATTACCGAAGACATGATTCGAAAATCATTCAAGGCTTGTGGGATCGGCATTGCCTTAAATGGAGATGAAGATGATTTGATTAATTGTTTCAAGCCGGATGGACCGATTCCTTCAGGATTGCAGGTTCGATTTATTAATTTATTTATCTTTGTAATTATCGATTTAATCGATTCAATTATCTTTAATCTATTGTACTTACAGGCGATGAGAAATGCTCGGACAGAGACGGAAATCGAGGACCTCTTGGAGCCGCTCGCATCGACGGGATTTCAAGGACATCGAGGAATTGATGATCAAGAAAATGATGAATTCATTGATTCGGATGTTTCTATTGATTTTGCTTGTTAGTTGTTTTTGTTTTTTTGCTGTTAAATTTCCAAATGGTTAAAACCAATAAAAACTAAAGAAAAAGTTTGCTATTGAACAAATTATTTTAATGTATCCTGATTTGGTAACTTGAATAGTGGTGTAAAATAGTAACCCACCCTCTAATAGTGCCCCACCCTCTAATAGTACCCCACCCTAGAGGGGGAGGGAAAAAATAGTACCCCATGGGGTCCAATTACAGTATTTACGGTAGCTTAACCAGTCAAAAGATCGTTCCCCAACAGATCATGAAACCAAAACCATCAAACCATTTTCATTTTGCGCTGCTTTTCAAATTCAAAATTTAAAATCCATTCAGAAGCAATATTTATTTACAGCTTTCAAGATTTTGCTATCTTGATCCAAATTTATTCCCGACGATCCCGATCCTCATCTTCATCGCTATCCTCGTCACTGTCATAGTATTTATCATTACCTAAAACAAGTGTTGGCAATCTTTTAGTTAAACAACTCACCCATGACATCATATCCTTGATGTCTGTTCTTATAGTTATCTTCACCAAATCCACGTCCCATTCCTCCAAAACCATGTCTGTAATGATCCATAAAACCATAAGGTGGCATCATCATTGGAGGGTAGCCAGGATAACCGAATTCATGCATTCCAGGGTCTGAAAATGTTAATCAACCATTCTTGAAATTAGGTAAGCATTTGTCTACAGCTTGTTTTACCGTATAAGTTTAAAAAAAGAAGCTTTGCCATAAAGATGGCTTTAGAAAAGATGCTAACAATTTCCTGTAGCAAAAATGATCTCAAAAATCAAGTTGGATATTGCAAGAACAGAAATGATTCTGATTGCATCTAGTTTTTTTACAGGCTAAACGATGGTTTAATAGTTGACCAAAGTTTAGTTTTATGCTGTGTTCGATTTGGATTGAATTCAAATCGGACATCCGATTTGGATTGAAAGCGCTACAATAACGTGTTTTTATTGTTACCTTGAGTGTTTCTTAGTTTTTATAAAAAATTTTGCACAAGGAGAGAGTAGAATAGCATTAATGAACACTTATAGACCCTTTAATGAGCAAGTTATACCTAGTTTTCAAGATTTTCTGCGTATTTTGGAGCGGGGAAGCGCTTGAAATGATTCATTTTACTTTTTTGTGCTCCAGTTGGCCTATATGCCGTAAAAATCACGAAAAATGACAAAAAAAACTTAAATCAAAAGGATTCTAATGAAAATTTACGAACTGCCAAACTGACTAATGCCAAATCGGGCACAACATATATATTTTCCAATATTAAAAACTTACAACGCATCATGCCGTAATCTTCGTAATCGTCAAAGCGCCCGTGTCCGTGACCGTGACCGTGACCGAGATTTGTTTTTGCTTTGTGTGTTCGAGTTTGCCCAGCAGCGAGTGTTGTGACTTCAGCGCTGTCATCTGGCTTGGCGGTAGCTAAACAGGCAAAGTTTATGTGATTAAAAACTTTTAAATCCTTTGAACAATGAAAAGTCTTTGGCTTGATTTAACGTCTTTGACTAGAAAAGTTGGAAGTGGGTTGGAACTTACTTGTTGCTCCAATCTTCACGTCCGGCTCATCGAGATGTCCACCAATATTTTCCTCACTGCCTAAATTGGAGTTTGAACTTGTTTTAAAGTTTGTGAGCTTACCAATCAACCCTTGACCAGATTGTACGTTTGGACCTTTGTGACCATCTGAAATTTGATTATTTTGAATATATTATTATTCAAAACAAAGCCCATTTAAAAAAGCTATTTTACATTTTCTTTTTGTAGAGTAGTTTATATTTAAAAAATATCTTTCGAATTATTTTATTAAGCAATTTTCAAAGCTTGTTATGTGGCTTCATCAAAGAATTTTTGGCTCTAGGCTGAAAGTTGGGTATTTTGAATGAAAGCCTATTATTTAAAGGTTCATAACTTTGTCCAGATTATTCGTAACTATTTATATTGTTGTATAGAGGATACTTCAGGCTTTGGAATGATAGTAAATCCAGTTTGATTGGACGAATCAATCCAGAGAAAATCAAGAGGCATTCCAAAAGTCAAGTAATATCACTGTATAAAGTGACCGAGAGCTGTGCTTTTTGCGGCCGCGTAATCGCTCACGACCTGGCAAACCCCTTCGGTGTAAGGGGCTTTTATTTTGGAATCTGGAAAGCGTTAAACGACGGAACGGGTTTTTGAGAGTCACTATGCCCAAATTTTTGGAATTTTGGAATTTTTACCTCAAATTTGGCTGTATTTATAGACAAATTTCTTTCCCTGGTGGATTATTCTGTTGCTTCAAAAAGAGATAAACTGAAGTGAGAGATTGATCCAATACAATCAACCCTATTTGGTTCATTTGAAAACCTGAAGTGTCCTTGTTAAACTAGGCATATAAAAGTTAACAACAATATGATCTCTAGATAAATCTTTGAACTTTCGAAGCTTTCCTGGGATCAAAACGGAACAAAGTAGTAGTGGAACTAAGTTCATTGCTTATTTTATGTGCTTTTTTAAGCCTAAGACAAAACATTCAATTGAACTAACCCATCACACCCAATCCAGACGTTTCATCCTCACCCGATGCCGAGCCAAAGCTTTTGTGGTTATCTGAAAACCTCTAAAAATAGATACTTCAAAAATTTGCCTGCTACTAGTCAAATTCGAAGAGTGACTATTGAGAAAGGGCAAAAATGCCTTTTCTTTTCAGAGAAAACCGGTTTCCCGATCTCTCGTGAAAGGTCATTTTTATTTATCTCTCACAAAACACATGTCCCTTATTTAGAAATAAACACCTAACAATTAAAAATAATAGAGTTTTTTAAACGTTAGAGTTAAAAATTTACCCATGACTCCTCCACCAATTGGAGAAATCGTTGTTTGATCATTCGGAATGGCTTGTCTTTGCTCGATCCCACTTCTCACTAGACTTGCCGGTGGTTTATCTAAAAAGTTAGCCTATTTAGATAAAATTCTTGGGAAAATAGTTCTTAGTGTACTTGTAACCTCAAAGATTTACCACTAGCTTTTAAAAAATCACGTTTTACAAGGTTTTTGATAAATTATCAATGTCTCAAGCGTCTCAAAAAAAGTTGTTGTGCTTTTTCGTTTGCTTCAAAAAGAGTTGAAATGCTTAAATTTCATCTTAAAGAGCTAGATTTTATGTGAAATCGAAAAAATTAAAGAATTAAGTTTTAAAAGTAGCAAAATTCTCCCAAGACCTACCGTGCAAAGCCACTTCTTCAGCAAAAACCCCAGCGACGATCAAAAGAAAACTCAATGAAACAGTGAATGATTTCATATTTTGCGATTTTCTGGGAGTCTGGAATTTTGTGAAAGGAAACCCCTCTTTATAGAAAATCCGACTTGCACTATGGATTGTTGACAAGAGTTTCGAGACAGAGACACTCGCAAACAGTCTTGAAAAGAAGTTTATTGCATAGTGACTGTGGTAGACAATGTTTTTGTCTTGATGTGTGGAGGATTGTCATAGCCAAAAAATAGAGGTTTAAGAATACAAAAGTAGCAACTTGTTTGGAAAATGGTTTTGTTGTTTGATTGAAACCAAAATAACATCCAAAGAGGGGGAAAAGGGATCTTTTACTGAATATCTTTTATTGAAAAACTAACTGTAAAATTTGACATTGAAGAAGCATGATAAAAGTTTTGATTATGAACATTTGACAAACAATTTCAGACAGACATTACACTTTTTGGTAAGCACTTTTCAGCTTGAAAGTTAGACAGCTACGTATTTTGCACCGTTCACTGCGTTTTTATGAAACAGTTTTACTGTTTTGACTCAAGAATTCGATTCTATGAATTTTCATTGAAAACTTTGGTGCTATCCCATCCTATCCTCATCTCCACTAACAGTTTTTTCAGCGTGTCCCAAAAGTTCTTATACTTTTTCCGTAAACAGTCATTTTTTTTACTTGAAAAAGACGTTAATTTTGAAAAACTAACGCCGAATTCTAAAAATGCAGGACTTTTAACCCAAATATGTCCATTTTCATAAAAAGATTTCAACAATCAACAACTTTTTGACTAGGGTTTTTTATGGGGTCAATACACATGAAATGTCAGTATTTTTTCAAGAGGCGCATTTCAATCCAATTTAATAGTAAACCCTAGGAGCTTCAAAGATAAGAAAGCCCTATCTTTTTTCTACCTTTTGAACTAGATGTGAAAGCTCTTGTTTTCACACTTTTTCAAATGATCGAATTTAAGCAGTCAAAAATGGTCTGATGGAGAGTTGATCATTTAAAGATTTCCATCCAACAAACCTACTTTGACGTTCAAATAAAAAACGTTATTCGCTTTTCTATAAAATCCCAAATAACTAAAGTTTTTAGATAACATGGGAAATAGCTTTAAAATTCTTTTTGGCGAAGTTTGCCTTTTGTCTGAACTTAAGATCTAAAGTCCTTGATTGAGATCACTTTCAACCCAACACCCAACACCCAGCGTGACCTTGTGGAAAACAATGTTTGATCAACTCCAATTTTTGACAGCACCAAAAAGATTACAAAGTTTTTCAACCAAAAAAAAAGGATCTTATCTACATCAAAATGAGTCAACAAAGTGACACCAAAAAAGTGAAGAGACAATGCGGAAGAAATGAGAGGAGAACGGGAAAATGAGGGAGAAAACAGAAAATTTCACGGTTGATCTCACCCGGAGATGATCGAACGAGTGCGAAACATAGACCCGAAAGATTTTGGCATAAAAAGTTTTAAAAATTGGGAAAATGTCGGCAAAAAATGAGATCATATAGCGATCGATCATATAGCGAAAAAATGAGATCATATAGACAAGGGTTTTCCAGATTTTTTCGCTGTTTGACCCGTTTGGCGTTGAGGGAAGGGGTTACTTGGCAAAATTTGAGAAATTTTGAAATCGAATTACTCCAATTTCCACGGTTCCACGAAACTTTGTCAATTATGCCAGCAAAGATTCGGACAAGTTGCCAGAAAATCTGACCGAATCAACCTTATTTTGATATATTTATCCATGTTTTGATTGTTTTTACCTAAAAGAAATATATTTTGGAATTGCCTCGTGAATGAAAGTTATTAAAGGCTTTAATAATAACCTTTAATAACTTTCATTCACGAGGCAATTCCAAGGCCCCAGCCCGGCCATCGGAGTATCATCGGCTACGACAACTACACTTCTGCCTCAGTAAATGTGGAAGCAGGTTGTGATCTGCGCTAAGTGCGAAGACAGATCAAATCGTTATTTTTTTTTTTATTTTTATGAAAGTTATTCAGAGTTGAAGAATTTAAATTGCAAGTATTTAACTTTGGTCTCTTTAAAGCAGTTCTTTAGCTTTAGCATCAAAAATGTTCTATATAGAGCTGACGGTTCTTTTCCAGTGTCTTGAAATCTCTTTAACATTTAATCATTGTCCAAATAGCTGCATTAGTCGAAAAGATTTATAAAATCAAGATTAAACATTGTTTAATTAAGAAAAATGGACCTGTTTTACTGTAAATTAAAGTCTAAGTGTTCAAAAATGTGATTGAATTGATCAATTGACTTCAGATCGATTAACCCAGCTGAAGCCAGCCAAATTTGTCGAGTTTGTAGCGAAAATACAGGCCAAAAATTGTTTCGCACAACACCTAGTCAGTCATTTTTCATAGGAATCTTTCTTTTGTTCTTTAAATGATTTTCAAATGAGATTTAAAGTTAAAAATTTGTGCCCCGGGGTTTCCAGGGTCGTAGAACCTATTAGCGGAGTTTATTGTAACTCTTTGTCCCAAGAAAAGTCCTAAGAGAATCGAATTAACTTTTGAATTAATCGAATTAATCACATCCAAATGTATATGCTAGATTTTCACAATGAAAAGACCCGGATTTCGTCAAAAGAACCGGATTTCCGAGAAGAACAGTGATTTCTCTGTTAACTCAACAACTGTCTCTAGGGTCTCTAGTGGCTCCAAATCTTATCCATAGTTAAACTTTTAAAATTACTTTCTCTCTGAAAGAAATCCAGATTTCCCAAAAACCCAGACATCCAAATTGTTCCTTGTCTCTTGCTCGTTCTCGTAAAATTCCCACGCACAACCTTGTGTCCTATTTTTCTCGAAAAGCAAGCAAAGCACAAAATTTATCTACCAATTACTCTCTCCGAAATCGAACCGATTTTCTTAAAGTGCTCATTCTTGAAATGTATCGATCAATTTTCAGCCATTTCATATTCAAAAATGAAACCCTATCTGCTGGTGTTATTCTTTTCGATTTGGATTCATTCCTGCAACTCAGCTGACATTGTGCGAGCGCTCATGGCTGAAAATGAAGCGCTAAGGAAATTGATTCAAATCGCAAGTGAGGGAAAAGCGAATCACATTTTGTGGGATTGTGTGTCGAAATGTTTGAAAGATCAGAATTTTGACGATTTGGTGAATCTAACGAGCACGATTAGTCCAGAAACGACGACCGGAGGAATGGGTGAACTCCCGACAGAGGCTGAGGGTTTGTTTGGAAAAGAGATTCTATAGTTGAATATTTATTTTTATAATATGTGTCAAAGTGTAAAGATCAATCTTACCATTCATCCTCGACTTTAGGCACGACCCCGACCAGTGAAGAGGAAGCACCTGGTGAATCGATCACTACAAAATCGCGTGAACCGAATGCTCACGACAGAACGCCAAGACCGGGTTTGTGTAAATTGTGTTTCTGCCTAGTTAATAAGCTTTTTAAAAGCATCAAAACTACTGAACTTATTGCTGAAAGAAATTCTGGAAGATTAACAGTATTTGCAAGAACCCATAACTCCTAAATTTTACCAAGCCTTGAAAAAGTAAATGGATTAGTGTAACACTTAGGTTTTCAACAAATCTGATAGGAACTTACCGTAAAAAACTCTAATAGAAGCCCTTTAATAATAGGTTGATGCATAAGTCTTTTCGTTTTTTTCGTACTTCTGTTAAAAAGTAACAAATTCACCAATTAATCTATAGTTTGCTCTATAAAAAAAGTGTTTTTTTGTTCAATTTCCATCTTTTTAAATGAATTTCGGTTCACTTTCAAGCAAATTCGAGAGTGAAAAACGCCTTTTTCGTAAAAATCTATAAAAAACTCTACGGAAAAATTGGCTGAATGAATTTCTCTGAAATTTTTGGCGAAATATCAAACTTTTTTTCTCTATCTTTTATCTATTGACACGAAGATAGGTTTTCTTTAGCTAAGGTGTCTAAACCGCATCATCGAGTTAGCTCTTTTTGACTACCCGACTTCATACTCTCAAGAAAATCCAGGCATAAAATATTTTTAAACCCGCTTTAATGTTATTTTGCAGAAAAATAATTGGTTTTTCTAATGAAATCAACCGTAGTTTAATTGGTGCATTTGTTGGCTTGAAACGGCAGACGAAAAGGAACAAAAAGACTTATGCATCAACCTAATAGAATAGAATAATACTCTAGCAGAATCACAATAATTCCATGGAAAAGTCTTCTGTTTTGGAACGATCATATTACAAACTGTCGATAAACTTATTGAACCTTGGCCATAAATAGTCTTAATTTCCTCAAGAACTTCTTTGGCTGGAACTTTTTCTTGAAAAAAACAAATGACATGCCGAAGATGCTCCTCAAGCAGCTCCCAAAGAAATAAAAAAATAAAGCAAGAAAATTCATTTGGGTTTGTATGTAGTCAATCAATGAGGCTTGATGTAAACAAGATCACTTATCAGCGCCTGCGTCGCGTGTTCGAGGAATCTAAAACCAAAAGTTAAAAAAATTCCGAGGACTTTTTTTCCAACCTGATAAAAAGAACTTTTTTGGAGCAGCCAAGCTCCTAGACTCATTAAAACAAATAAAACTGTCAAATTTTTCCACACCCATAAACTGTCTGCCTTTCTATAACTTTTTGTAATTTTTGTTAATTGCTTATCCATAAAATACTTAAAATAATGGAATAGAATACCATAAAAAGTTGTTTTTAATTATCAAAAAGGTTTTATGAATATAAAAAGAAAACGGGAGGGGAATCGAACTAGGGCAAAAAAAACCTCGTACCGAGAGCAAAAATTTTTTTTTCGGGAAACTTTCGGGGGAACCGGGTAAGAAAATTATTTCACTTTTAAATGCGTTTTTTGTACGTTTTAGGTCAAGGACTATCACGTAAAGTGGCTTTATAAAAAAAATAAGTTTTCGATTTATGTGGGGGCCCTTACCTATTTTTCGACTGGCGATTTATGTGGGGACCTTTGGAAGGTTGGAAAATACAAGCCCATTGGCTTCTATGAGAGTTTTTACGGTCCTGGCAACTTGTTAGACTGGTGTTATTACGAATCAAATTTTGCCTTAGGCCCAAGTGAAACTCCGAGCAGCTCGGAATCAATCGGAACAGAGAGTTCAACGAGTCCTGACCAAACCACTACTGCGACAAAGGGCACCACTGAAGCCACTACAACTCCAACCCCAAGAAAACCGAATGCTCACGATAGAAATCCAAACAATGGTAGTTTATTTGAAATTCCGTTTGAAGGTAAAATTGTAGATCAAGAAGTTTCAACGAGCACTGAATCGACTATTGGAACAGAGCCAACAGGTGCAACAGGATCAACTGATGGTGAGAAATATTAATCGAATATTGTTGGGAAATAAAGTTTACATTTAGCACTCACAGAAAAGCCATTGATCCCCGATAGTGAACCACGCGCGAATGAGCAGGAACAGCCCATCACAACAGAGAGTCCGCTTGAAGGATCGACTACTGGAATTGATGGTAATTTATAGGCTAATCCGAAAATTAGAGCAAAATTTGACTTAAACTACTTAAGAAATGATGTTTAACAACTTTTTATGAGACAATAACAGTATGAAGCGGCCAACCAAAATTCTTTTGATGCAAAACTTTGATGAGCAAAATCAGTTAGATCATTGATTTGATGTCACCGACTTACGGCTATAGCTTAAAATGAATGCTTAAGTATAAATTATAATATGATTATCTTATAATTAAAAAATCTTTAGTTATAAATAAATTGTAATTATAGTCACGGGCTCGACCACAACAAAACAGCCATCAACAGAGCGTGATGGTTTCGGGCCAGCGGAAGAGCCTCAAATCGGGTCCGATGGACAAGTGATTCCCCACAAAGAGTCCCGAAGAAGGTTTTGAAGTAACTGAGGAACCCAAAAGTAAAGCAATTCAGAAATCTATCCTGAATTTATAAAAATTTAGCAACTCCGACAAGTTCAACCATAAGCGATGTTGAGCCGAGAACCGGGGAGCCGCCTGATCGAGTACCTGATAGTCAACCGGTGGCCACAAGTTCTACTGAAGGAAGCACAACAGGTATATAGGTAACAAGTATTTTAAGCAAATATGGTTTTAGATGAATCAACAACGAAAGGTTTAGCAGAGAAGCCCGGAGAGCCGAAAATTGGTCCAGATGGTAAAATGATACCAGAGATACCTGCCACTGAAACAACTATTGGACCAGATAGAACAGTGACTCCATCCGAGAAGCCTGGCGGGAGTTCGGAGAGTACATCAACCACAACAGGTTGCTTTTGCGTTGAGTTTCACGGCGTGCTTAACTCCTCAATAGTCGTCGCAAATGAAACTAATATTTTGGAGTTAATCCGACAAATCATCAAATCCTACAGCTTCTTCAACTGGAGGGCCATCGATTGGTGAAGAGACTTTTCGAAAAGGAGAACCCTTTTCACCAGATAAAACTCCGACAACCGTGAGCCCAAACGAAGCAACTGGGGAAACTAGTAACCTTTTTGCATCCTATTTATAAAGATTATTCATTTTCTAGGTACTTCAGCTTCTCATCAAAAAGTGATTCACAAAAACAAAAAGATCACTGGTCCAAATGGTGAAGATTTATTCGAGGAGTACACCGAATATGTGGATGTGGATGATGATGGGAAAAGAAAAGTGACAAGGAGGAAGAAAGTCCGCGGCAAAGATGGGGAGGATAAATGGGAGGAGTGGACAGAATATGAAGACGAGAGTCAATCAAAGGGAGAAACAAGTCAGTCGAGAGATAAGAATTTGGTTGAAAACTCATTTTTTTGCATAAATTTAGGCATTGCTTTCAGTAAAAGAAAGCATCTTTCGATTTTCAGAATCTTCTGGCAATACTCGTAAAAAGAAGGTGACTCATCGAAAGAAAACTCGAAATGAAAATGGGGAAGATAAATGGGAAGAATGGACTGAATATGTTGATGAGGATCAGATAAAAACTGGAACAACACAAGCTCCAGGTTGACACAACCAGTTACTTATAGAATTTCTCTTGCTGTACAGGGTGGATGAAAAGTTCTGTCCGCATTAATACAGGGTATCCCAAATTTACCCGAAACAATCAAACTCATGTTTTAAATACCTTTTCATCAAAAAAAAAAACAAAAATTAACATTAAGAAATTTATTCTCTAGATTGCTTACAACAATTTGTTTTATTTCTTCTCAAAAATATCTGAGCGGCTCAAGAGCGGCTGCACAAGCAGCGAGACGTTTTGAGGAGGCCATCGATGGTGACCAAAAGATACGCAGGATCGAGTTCAGCCCAAGATTTTTGGAGTAATTTTTTCAGTGAATCATTACTTGAATAAGCTTTTGAGCAGGCCTTCGCTTTGAGAACACTTCAGACTGAGTAATCCATCGGATTTAAATTGGGGCTTGATGGTGGCCACTGCTTAAAGTTGATCAGGGAAGTTTCGTTCACACCAATCTTGGATAATTCACCAATCTTTGTGGGCAGGCGCAGGTCGGCTTTTAATGAGTAAAGAACATTTTAGAAAGTCAAAATTTGCATAATAAACAAAAGGTAGCAAATACCAAAAGCGCATAACAGGAAAGCGCGGCAAACGGAGGTTGGTTCGGATAATTTTGGCGCACCCTGTAGACGTGTCTTTATAAGAAAACAGAACTTTTCAGCCACCGTGTAGATTGTTTAGCTTATTTGAACTTGTCTAATTTGAGTGTTTTAAAAAGATTTTAATATATAAAGGCTCAAGTTTATTAGTCCATCTTATAGGTGGAAGCTCGCACCACAGAAAAGTCATTCATCACTCCACTGGAACAAAGACACCCGGCCAAAACGAGGAATGGACTGAATACTATGATGAGACAAGTGCAACAAGTTTTATATACGTTTCCTTTTAAACTATTAAATTTCTAGATGGAACCAAAGGTACGAATAAACAAGTACACAAAGTAACACATCTTGGGAAAAATGGAGAGGATCAAATAGAAGAAACGGTAGAATATGTGGATGAGAATGGAAATGTGATCTCAAAGGGAACAACGGTGAAACCTGAACAGGAAACTGGTTAGTGAATTTTATAAGAACACGAGTCAAATTCTTCAGTTCAACTTTGTAACTGAAAACTTTGTCTTACTTTTCCTGTCGAGTTCTCTCAAATGAAGTCAAATATCTTGTCGTTCGACAATTTCAATCAAATCGGATGACAGTTCAAGACTTGAGTACCTGAGTTCTTCAGTTCAACGTTCAGAATCGACTACAACAAAGCAGCCATCAACTGAATTGACGGGAGAGCCTCAAATTGGGCCAAATGGAAAAGTGATCCCTACAGAACCACCTAAGGCCTCGGAAAGCTCAACAAGTTTGCTTAATTTTTTGGGAAAACTTTATTTTGATTGATTTTATTAGGTCCTACAACAGAAAATGAGTCGACAACACTGTCAACAACAGGTTTGATTTGACATTTCATTTAAAGCTTGAAAATTCTCAGGTGAAAGCGCCGCACCAACAAACCTCGAAGCAACAACAAGTTTGAGAATTTAAGGATTAAATAAAAATTTTACACGTTCTGGTGGAAAGACTTCGATAAGGCCGAATCGATTGACAACGACTGAACCAACGACGACAGAAGCTGGGAAGGAAAAGGAACCAGCTACAACTATAGGTAATTCAGTTATGAAAAAATTTCAACTTCAGCTATCTCAACAATAACTTAAGCCTAGCCTAGTATTCATACTAACAGTTTCGGAAGAAGTATTCAGCCGAGGCCTTTAGCCTTTGAACATCTTGGTTTTAACCGACGAGTTCGAAGCTATTGCAATATTTATTGTTAGTCTTGTTCGCTGGATGCAGTTGTTCCAGAATGTTGTAGTAAGACTGAGATTTTACAGTAGCTTTAAGTTTGAGGATGAAATGCTTAAGTAGCAGTTCTTTGGTAGCTTAAGTGCTTAAGTAGTTCAATTCCCCCTCGATCCCAAATTCTTTGCCATTAATTTCTTTACTTTATCACTAATGCCCGTGGTCTGGTTATCAAGTAGGGCGGGAGCTCCCGATTCCGAAGACGTTTTAACACAAGAACTTCGGGCACTATGTGAAAAATGATTTTCCCTCTCTTTCTTCTTCCTTGTCTTTCCTATTTCTTCTTGGGGATAGCTCAGTTGTAGAGCCTCTGTCTGATAAGAAGAAGGTCGAGGGATCAATTCCTCTTCGTTTCCAAAGTTTTTGCCATTAATTTCTTTGCCTTTTTAAGTATTTTCTAACAAAAATCAGCTTTGAATACACCTTTTCACTTCTCTGACCCTTCAGTCTCTTTTTCAGTACCTATTTGCGGGACTCATTGCAAAAGTTTAAGCTTTTAATTTTTTTTCAATTCAGGAGATGTTGTCACTTATGAAGAGTACGACGAATACGTAGATCCAGATGGAAAAGTCGTACACGGAAGAAATAAATCGGTAGAATCCACAACAATATCGTCAACACATAAACCAATCCCTCTACCACCTGGATTTTCAGCAGATAAGCCATTGAGTCAGTTGTTTTGGTTTGAAATTACAGCTTAATCTGGTGCTTTTCGAAGTTCAAAATTCATTTAGATCCCGGACAAGATGTGCCTCATTTAACAACTGATGTTGCAAAGGTGATTGAAAAGAAACCGGTAGATTTTCAGATGATATTTCAAAATATAAAAGTATGAGATAAACAAAAACGAGATGAATTAATTGAGCCAGAAATGTCTAAACCAAACTTTAGGGACCAATCAGATGCTAAAGTTTGGTTTGAGTTCGTAAAATGTCTCTGGACATACCAGAGCTCGAACCAGCGACATTTGGCAATAATCATAATAATTCGTCCCAACTGGGGCTACCAGTAATGAATCAAACCTACCGTGAAATCATCTCAGACTTGGTTTCTTTTTGCATCAACCAGAAAACTAGACTGAGCCATCCATACGTCATTCAAGTCTTTTAGGAACCTGGGTCAAACAAAGAAGGTGAAGGCTTATCGACTACAACACCAAGTAGTGAAAAAACAACTGGGAGTACTACTGGAGCCACAACAACAATTGGAGAAACGGTAAGGTTGTTAGATTTAAAAATTAAGCTATAATGACTTTGAAATTACTATCCGGACAGATCTAACTGATGTAATTTTAAACCAAACGTGGCTTTTTTTATAAGTCAAGAACTGTCTTTGTATTATAAGTTTAGAACAAATAAGCCAAGCTTTAATAGCTTACAATTTATTTTATTAGGCTGTTCAGAAAGCTTTTTCGTTTCTTTTCATACAAATTAAAGAATAATAAATTCACCAAATTGAAAAAATGAAAAATGACAAATTCGCCATTTAACCTATGGTTTGCTCTAAATAAAAAGTGTTTTTGGTTCAATTTCCCATCTTTTTAAATAAAATTTTCACTTTCAAGCAAATTCGAGAGTGTTTGCGATCAATAAAAATCTCTACGAAAAAATTGGCTGAATCGATTTCTCTGAAAATTTGGCTATTTGCTTAACTTTTTATGCTTTTATCTATTGATACCAAGATAGGTTTTCTGAACTAAAATGTCTAAATTGCATCATCGAACCGCATTTTTGACCACCCGACTTTACGCTCCCAAAAAATCCACACAAAAGACATTGTAAACCCGTTTTAATGTTATTTTGCAGAAAAATAAGTCACCTTTCTAATGAAACAAACCGTAGTTTAATTGGTGCATTTGTTGGTTTTAAACGGAAGTACGAAAAGGAACGAAAAACCTTCTGGACAGCCTAATAGAAGTACAATTACATAATATTTTTTAGAAATCCACTTTAATGACGCCAACTTCAAAAAGTTTACTTGGCTCCCAAACTGAAACAGCAACAGAAAGTTCGGAGACGTCAACATCAGAAGGATCAACATCCGAATCAACTACAACGAGTGACAAAGAAAAACCAACAACTGAAGCGACTCAATCCACCACTTCCCCTTCCACTGATCAACCAAAATCTAAAGAACCAACATCGACAAAATTTCTCGAAGTCTATAATCACATAGACGACTGTGTCCTCCCTTCGCTGGAAGTGGCGAAAGAGATCGATTACCCGGAATTTGTCGATGAATTCAAGAATAACAAGGATAGGACAATGGATCGGATGAAGAAATGGGTGGATGATAAGATTGAGGAGCATAAGGAAGATTTGAGGAACACGTCTGGGGGTGAGTTACTAGGTTGAGGAAAAAGCCCTGACTCAGCTGCGAAAAATCAATTTTTATGCGCACTAATAACAAAAATAACAACAATTATTCCTCAAAGTATAACCAATTATCTACGACTTTCCGCCATCGATCTGCAAGCTTTCGGATCTGGTCGAAGTACCACTCCTTCGGTTTGGAATCAAAGAACTCTTGGCAAGCTTCTTCAACTTCTTCAAATGTTTCCGTTTCCGGCAATAGCGGATCAAAACTCAAAGCCCTTTTTTCTCAAATTCATCTGGAATACAAAGATCAAGATTGGTACAAAACTATAACCAGCAAAACCAGCAAAAACCAGCAAAAATGTATAAAAATTGAATTTTTCGCAGCTGAGTCAGAACTTTTTCCTCAACCCAATATTTGAAGGGATTTATCAAATCAAACTGGTAACAGTAAGACCAGCTTTGGTTTGGACAACTAATCAAGGCCAATTTTCATCAGATCATTTTAATTTTGGCATATTGACTGAGTCTTCTGGTTCCTTTAAGGAGTGCTATCAAAATTGGGCCATTTAAATGAAAACTGGTAGTTTGATGACGGTAGTTTCCTTAAAATGGCTACCATTTAGACAATAATTATGATCTTGATAAATCCAAAGATCCAAAATCTATTTCAGATTGCAACACCCAGTCCGGCTTACTGAAAGCGAAGTCGATGAAAACGGCGATGAAATTGATCGAAGACTCTTACGTTTTAACACAAAAACTTCGGGCACCATGTGAAAAATGACTTTTTTTGTGTAATCATTTGAATTGCTTATTTGTAGATATAAATGTGGGCTAATCTTTTCATTGAAATGGGCAAAGAAACGAATAAGAAATAGAGCCTGAGCAAAATACAGTATTGGACTGTCCAGAAAGTCTTTTCGTTTCTTTCCGTACTTCCGTTTAACATCAACAGAGACACCAATTGAACTACGGTTTGTTTCATTATTTTTCTGCAAAATAAGATTAAAACGGGTTTAAAATGTCTTATGTCTGCATTTTTTGGGAGTGTGAAGTCGGGTAGTCAAAAAGGGCGACGACTCGATGATGCTCGATGAACAAGTCTGACCTCATTTAAGTTAGATCCAATAAAATAAATCAACCACAAGTTTCAAATCGGTCGCCGCTCGAACAGACCTTAAGGCGTTTGGGGAACGCATCGACCGCGGCGACCAAGTATGATGTTGACCATCCAGTTCATTCCAGAGAAGACTTTTCTTCAAACTTTCAACTGTTTTGTGAGGTTTTTGACCAGCTTTAGCTTCTAAGACGGACCACACTAAGACGGACCACTTAAGAGATTGCATCCTTCTCTAGTACAGGGGTCAAATTTATACATTATACATTATACAAATTTATACAAATATTTATTACCAATTTTGAATGTAATAGTTGAAATACAGTTGTGTTTCTTTGTTCTTGTCGACTTTGACGAGTTCAACTGGATCGATTGAAGTGATCTTTCGGAAAGGGCTCATTTTTCGACAATATTGCATGAAACTTTGTCTCCACTCATCCACCGACAGTAAACCAGTCAACATTAGACCGAGACACAAACTGAATTTGAATGGGCGAATACGTTATTCAGCCATGTTGGCATTAGTTAGTAGCCATGCTGACGAATAATGTTGACTTTTCGAAAAGCTATAGGCCTAGCTTTAGAAGATTGCGGATGAGATGGTCAGTCTCAGGGATGGAATCAAATTTTTACGAGAAATCACTATTTTTTGGTTCTGTTTTGTAATCTGATGCAAAGCAGCTTGAAAACTGAAAAGAAAACCTGAAAAAACTGAAAAAAACCTTAAGCTGAAAACAAAATCGAAATTTTCAAGAAAGTTTCATTAGCTACTGCACCTGATATGGGAGATTTCCATTGCCGTTGCAAATATTTGAGCCTCTAAAGATCCTTCGGCGCAAACAAATACTGTAATCAAGATCAATAGTCCGCCGAAGGTACTGGCAAATATCGAGAAGTATAAAAAGTTGCGGATGAACTGCACAGAAAATGTATTGAAATATAATATTACATATTCAAAATTTACACTATACAACAATATTATTCTAACAGAAGCGCCGACGCTTCCAGAGGGTACGGCATAAATCCTGACACCATTTTTGTAATCAACCAAAAGTAGTGCTATTGCTGTTTGTTTTGCTTTATTTGTTCTTTATTCTATCATTTTCTTTATTTACAGTTAAGAAAACATAAAAACTTGCTGATTTTTTGTTTTAGTTATGACTACGGACCTTGAGAAGAAGTGAAGTCGTAGATTTTTTGTGTGGTCCCCCACATAAAATTTTTCTCGAAAAACTGTTTTTTAATTTCTTCGAAAAAACACATTTTCAAAACTACTGCCAACGATTAAATATGACATTTTTAGTCCAAATCTACAGATTTGCATCAAAAGAATTTCAAAAACTCAATATTTCGAGGGGTCAGAGGGGGGCGCTTCTACTATTAGGGTGGTGCAAAAGAAACTGCCGATTTGACGGTAAATTCAAAAAAGATGGGATTCGATGGTGACATGATCACAATGAAATATTTTCGCAATATTTCGAGCAGATTGGCATGGATTGGTCTAAATAACGTCCCTCAGCTTGGCTTCGTTCACGACTTCTGGCCTCGAACCGTGCTCGTAATCTTCCAAAGCCTCGTCTCCCTCGCGGAATCGTTGAAACCAAGTCTGACACTGCCTGAGAGACCAACTGCCATCTCCGAAAGCAGCACAGAGAGAACGATGCGATTCGGCAGCAGACTTTCCAATTTTGAAGTTAAACAGTAATGCTGCTCGTAGCACAAACTTTTGCTCGACCATCATCTAAATAAGAAATATAAGCATTTTTAAATAAAATAAACAACAACCAAAAAATTCAAATGTCGAAATAAATAGCAAACAAATATTTAAACAAAACATAAAAAAGATAATGCCGTTAGCATCGCTCGTTTCTGATAAATGAGAGCTGATACCCATCGGCAGTTTCTTTTGCGCCACCCTAATAGGATAATTACGGTATAAAGGCTTCGAAATAATTTCTGGTCATTTTGACTACCTAATTTTGTCTCAAAAATCAAGCCTTCTATACTATTCTATCGTCATTCTTTCTATCGCCATTTTTTCGATTTCTATCCTTATTCTTCAGAATATTGACCCTTGTTTTCTCTTCTTTCCGTAACTAAAATAGAGCTTACAAATTGAAATAAAACCCTACATGAAACGCTCGAATATTCTCCGCTGCTTGATATCTGGCCGATAGTCCATAAACATCCGATCGATCAGTCAAATTCTCCAAAATCATTTTATTTTGGTGTTTCACTTTTCGGTAAAACTAAAAGTTATTTTGTTATCGAAGTTCAGTCTCTTTACCAATGTGTAGAGTAGGATTAAGATAAAAAAAGCGAAGAAGCCGCAGATTATGAGAAATGAATCAACATTCTTGGAGACTAAATGAGATAAAAATAGCCAACTTTGAATATCAAACCGATACTCGCGAATAATGCGAAAAAAGTGGAGAAAAGAAAAAGCGAGATCATAATCGTCGTCGAGATATGGGTTCGAGACTTTCTCTCGTAGTTCCACATGTGTTTGATAGAATACACTCTGTAATAAGCCTATCTATTGATTTTTGAACCAAAACAATTTTCACCCGAAAAAATATTTAGGGATATACTGATTTAGAGCTGTAAAGAGCTGGATAAAAAAAGCCCATTTCACTAGGTCAAAATTCAAAATTTGATCAACCAAATTAATTCTTACAACATAAGAGACTCTAAGTTCTCAGATAATGTCACATTTTAACGTTAATTTGAACGCTGCTCATTTTGCATTTATTCTAATTATCTCCACTAACCTTTCCGTTAGAATTATAGGCAATATTAAAAAAGCAATCATCGACACTTTGACTCTCATCAGACTGAGAATCACTAGAGGTAAGTCCGCAAGAAGAGAGCCTAAATCGTTTTTTGGATATTTAACAAGACAAAAAAAGATTATAAGAAGAAAGTTTATAATCTTTGAAGTTTTTATTCCAAATTTTTCCAAATTTCTCTTCAAAAATGAAAAAGAATTACTTAGCATTGATGATTTTTTGTATTTATCAAATACGAAGAATCGTTTGAGATCACTTTTTACAAAAAATTCACTATTCGAAACATTTTCGGTTTTTGGATTTCAGGCGGGGAATACTAGGAGATGGGAATATTCTAAATGGGAAGTTGCATATATGGGAAGTTGTATATGTCGTAGCCGATTATGAATGAGTGGATCCCGGACGCGTCCAACCATCAAGTATTTGGTATCATTCAACGCAGAATCATTAATAATTATGTTAAATTTTTTAAATTAGAAAGATTGGGTAAAAGGAAAATAAATTGTGGGGCTTCAAACTTTTCTCTTGAACAAACAGTTTTTTTGCTCTAATTTTTTTTCTTTTTTTCAAATCTTGCTAATTTTAAAAATTTAACATAATTATTAATGATTTTGCGTTCAATGAGACCAAATACTTGATGGTTGGACGCTTCTAGACCCACTCATTCATAATCGGCTGAAATTCATAATCGGCTACGGGGGTCCCGCCGATTTTGAATGAAACGTTGTAGCGCCGGCAATTTTTAATCTAAACTCACGAATTTGGTACCAATCGACGCAGAATTTAATTCGCTACAAAATGATATAATATTGTCCTCATACATTAAAGGGTTGCTCTACTAGAAAGATTTGCCAAAAAATTTCATTCATAATCGGCTACGACATATATAAAGAAGAACTAGGCGTAAATTTTCAAAATTACCAAAATTTCAAAGACTTTTATGTTGTTTTTTCTTTTTAAACTATGACCATATTTATATCACCAAAAGTTGTTTTAATTTTTAAAAAAGTATTTAGCAAGAAAGATTTTTGGCAGGAAGAGGAAGAAAAACACTCGGCATCAAAAATTTTTGAAACGAGCGTAACCACTTGGGCACCAATACTGTCGAAGAAACATAATCTGGCTTACAAAAAACAAATAGCCAACTTTGTATATCAAATACCTCGCGATTCCGCATCGTTTTGCAAAAACTGGAACCGGAATCGGTGTCAAAAACACTATTAGAGGTACTAGGTCTCATTAGGAAAGCCCGCTGTGGCCTAGTACCCTCCTTATTAGGAAAAGGCAAGAACTTCCTGTGAGCTTTGGTTTCCGAACCACATACACCTAAATTGAGTATGGAGATTCATAATTTGAAGTCAAAATCTGCCAAATACCAAGGACTTTTCCTGGATCGAAGTCCATACTTAATATATTTATTATAAATCTCCATACTTGATTCAGTAAGATGTATGTGGTCCGGAAACGAAAGCTCACGGGGAAGTTTGTGCCTTTTTCTGGTTAGTTATACAGACACAACCACATTGCTTTCTGGACCTGACAACTTTTATCCAACACTTACCGGTTGTCTTAATAATTCGAAAGTCATATAGAGATAACCCCAATTTGCACACGAGTATCATCATGGTGTGAACTTTTGTGAAAACGAGCACTCTTTTGAGATTCACGTGAAATTTGTTTGATTTTCCCACCACAATTACATAGGGAATATACAATATGAGCAATATGAAACTGATGACATCAAGGAAAAGATAGGCACAAAAAATGGTGATGCGAATAAGTGGATAGTCCTAAAATGTGATAAAATTATTTTACTTTTATTAGGTTGAGGAAAAAGTAATGTCGGTTTTGAATTCCCGTTGTTGGCAATTCTCCAGTTCTTTGCTTATGCGATTTTTTCAAATAGATATCAGCTAGACATTCTATACTTTCATATTATATTTAACTTTTACAAATTTTTACAAATTTAACAATATTTTCAGGTACAAAATGCAAGACGAAAAGTTTCGACTTTGTGGTGTAATTTTAAACAAGGGAAATCCGCGGCTGAATCGCATCGGACAATCATTGAATTTTGGGGGGAAGACAGCATTAGCGAAAGACAATGCCAAAGATGGTTTCAGCGGTTCAAAGATGGAAATGAAAGTCTCCAAGACGAGGAACGGTCTGGACGACCCCAGGAGATTTCAGATGAGAATTGGCTTGATGCTATTGAACTCAATTCAACCATTACCACTTGTGAGTTAGCGTACACATTTGGGATGAACCAAAAACAATCAACAACCACTTATATCAATTAGGAAAAACAATTCACTGCGGAATATGGGTTCCTCATGAACTGACTCAAGGCAACAAAAGAACTTGTGTTATCGTTAGCTCTATTCTGCTTCAAAAAGGCAAATCTCATGATTTTTGGGGAAGAATTCCAACATTTGATGAAACATGGATTCAATATGAGAATGTGAAGCGCAAAAATCAGTGGCTTTCTCTTGGTCAACCCCCACAACGAACTTCAAAACCCGGTATTCATGGAAAGAAACTTATGCTTTGCTGTTGGTGAAATACAAAAGGTTTAGAGTATTATGAGTTGTTGAATCCGGGTAAAACTGTCACCGCTGATCTTTATTCAAAACAGTTGATGAGAGTTAACCAGGCTTTAAAGAAAATGGGCGTTGAAACATCAAAAGTACTATTTTTGCATAATAATGCAAAACCTCACACTGCAAAAATCACTCACCAAAAAATCGACGAGCTTAGTTGGGAACTTCTGCCCCACGCGTCTTATATTTCGGACCTGGCTCTATCAGATTATTTTTTGTCTCGGTCTTTGAAGAGTTTTCTTATGGGAGAAAAGTTCAAGAATCATGCACAGATCAAAAAAAGCAGTCGACACTCATTTTGGTTCGAAAACTCCCCATTTTTTTGAGGATGGGATCAGGGACTTGCGACGAAGATGGGCACAAGTCACCAATAATAATGGAGAATATCTCATTGATTGATGTGCGTTTGTTTATGTTTTTAGCAATAAACAATTTTATGAGAAAAACCGACATTACTTTTTCCTCAACCTAATACTAGTCGCATCAATCAGCATTTAGAAGTAGGATATGAATTGTCGACCTACCTCCAGTGCGTCGAAATCGACGAATAGCCAGACGAGATATTGCAAATCGTAAGAACTGATGTTCATGTGATAAATCATAATTTGAAAATTGCAAATATTTTAAGCACTATAATATTTTAATCAAAAGAAATCAATGATGCAAGAAAAGAACGAATTTCATGTTTTCACCTGTTTTCCTATTAAAACATCAAGGAACCAAAATTTTGGGAAAAAGCAGTCAGAAAAATACCTTGACATTTGTGTAAAACAGTAGGTCTCTATTTTGTAAAATGCTCTGAAGATTGTTTTGTGTTATCATTGTGTTTGTGTGTCAAGTGTTAATATACAGGAACTCATTGTATTCAATCTATTAAGAACTTGCTCTTGGTCGTTATTTTCCTTCATAAATACACAAAAATTCAAATAAAGGATATCGGATACTCTCTCGTGTTGGATTTTCCAAAAGATTGACGTCATGAATGACAATTTTTTGTCTATTGAAATTTTACGGGAGAATGATTTCTTTGACAATTTCGGGAAAATGACAATTTCTTTTAGATTCAGTTTTAGCTTCTTTTCTTGCGTCGAATGGCTACTTAAACATAAAAATTTAACTTTAAATCGATCACCCATTTTAGCCTTATCAAATTCATAAGACGCTGGTCCAGAAAAGATATTTGGGCGTTATTGCTTTAGTTCTAAATCGGAGGTCCAGTTCCGAACTGGACGTAAAACTGAAATTATATATGACTCCGAACATATATAATTTCGTGGACAAATCGAAGCCTCTTTTCAATTTTTCCGGTTTCTCTTCACAACACCAATATCACTTTCAGAACGGATCTTAGCAACAATCCTCTTTGTTTTGCCAATATTTTTTTTCAATTTACTCTGTAACACAAATAACCTGTTTACTGATACTGAGAGCACTAGGAAAGATAAAGAAACTACAAAAATATGGCATAAAAAAAACCTGCAAATGACAGTCGCAAACAGATTTTATGGGCTGTATCCATATTCATTTCGGTGCGTTTCTTTCTATTAGCTTGTCCTATTATTATTTTCTATTAGGAAATATTAGGTTGTCCAGTTATAAATGCGCGTTTTTGAGGGCTTATTCCAAATATTTCTGCAAGTTCACGTGTAGTTTGTCGAGGATCAATTTCGATCGCCTGTTTAAGTACTGCCTTATCAATCGCAGGAGGCCGGTGGTCCTCACCTCCCAAAAAATTCATTCTTCTCGAAATCGTTGAAACCATCGCCGACACTGGCTCTTCAAAATAGCATCTTCCAAAATACTTTCCAAAGGCCTCGATGAGATTCAGCGATATTTTTGCCCAATTTGAAGTCCTACCAAAGACTAGCACGGAGACGAAACTTTGTGTCGTTCACAGAAATTAAATCAAAGATTGGTTTGACGTCAAAAACACCAAAAGTTGTAATAAAATAAGAAAAAGAAAAGTTGCAATAAAATAAGAAATCCTGAACAGCAAATAGAGAATTGGGTTTGATAAAATTGTAAAGCTCTAAGGAATGCTGTTCAAGTTGTTCAAGAGCAGGCGTGCATTCATAACTGGACAACCTAATACATTAAGAGAACCAAAGGAAGAAAGTCGCAAATGAAAACTGCTTCAAAGTGGAAAAGAATAAATCAAAATCAAGTAGATTTCGTGTTTCGATAATGATCGCTTCAAGGTTTTGAATCTTCCATATGAAAAGGAAAAGTCTTTTGGCTGATTTGATGTTTGGCACTGATTTACGTGTAACAAGTGCTTCAGATTAGGTGCTTATTGCAAAAGTTCCATCTTACAAAAAACAAACTTAAAAAGATTCAATAACGAGCCATGGGGAAAGATCCCACTCTTAATGAGAAAGATACAACTTCTCTCTCATTAATTCTTATATGCCATATAATTAATAGATTTTACACCAAGTCTTAATTCTTTGGAATTGATGAGTTGGAACGTTTATTTCACTCAACGCACAAATCAGATACGATAATGATCGTAAAGCTGTGACTGCTTTTTGAGAAGCGGCTCATCATCGTCTTTTGTCTTCATCACTTTCTCTTTAAGCTCAGAAAATAAAACATTCCTGGATTTCGCGAACAAATCGAATTCTGATAGAAAAATGCAAAAAACTATGAATGTCGTGAAAATAGAATAAATCCAAGACAAAAGAGCTAGCCAAAAGGAGAGGCCGTAACCGACGGAGACGTTTTCCACAAATCTCTCATGATCTGAAGAAGCTCTATTTGTTTTCAAAACTTAATAGGTAATGCTCTCCCACATGAAACAAAAAAAATTAGAATTTGTTTAAAACTATTTTAAACAATAGCCCTTTTCCTAAAACGTACAAAAAACATTTTCAATTAGGAAAATTTTCCAAAAAAATTCCTGTAGTCTCCGCATGGATTTTTTTCAAAGAAGTTTTTTAATTTTTTCGAAAATTATTAAATTTTCGAAACTCACGTGAAGTCACTCCTTCCCATTTCACTCATTGTTAATCTAATTGTCTTATCGTACTACTGTAAATAAAGGTACATATCTTTCGGGTCTATGCAACTGCAGTTCAGGTCGGTCATTACTCAGGGACTCCCCTTTAATACGTTGGAGGAGTTGAGTCGGGTTGTCGGAGTGTTAGGGATGGCAGGATATCAAAAGGGGTCCACCCTCTTTAGCTTAACCCCAATAGCAACCCCATCTAAAATAAATATAACCAAGCTTTGACTGTGGAATCGAAATTAGATAGTTAATGCTTTTCGACTGAGCCTAAGGCACCTGTAGGTAAAGACTTTATTACCCGACATCTGAAATACCATCACTTTTTCGCTATTTTTGAGGGGCGGTCAAGTTTTCTTAGGTCCTAGTGTCCGCCCGGCAGATTTAATTTGCGCCATCTTTCTTTCGATCATAATTTCCTACAATTCAAGTTTCCAAGTTTTAAACTTTTAAGCAAATTTTACCCAATTTTCGAAGATAATGTAAAAATCACTCTTCAAAGCTTAGACATTCTTTAAATTTTGTCAAAAGGTTTTCCTCTTGAAAGCAGTATCTAAATTTCAAAGCCTTACATATTCGCTTTACATTATACTTCTCTCGTGAAATCTTCTAGGAAAAAACAGTTTCCAATTTTACTGCCGTGGTCAGAATTTTACATATCTAGCCTAAATCAATAGGTTTGCGTAAAAGAGAGTTCCAAAAAGTCAATATTTCAATGAGTCAGTTGAGACTGTCCTTGGAGACTGTCCTCCTAATAGAAACTGCCCTTCTATTAGAACAAATACGGTGTTTTTAGGATACCTGTAATTTATCAACTTACAGGGCAACCCGTTGTTGTTGAATGTGTAAAACATGACAGAAACACCCAGGAAAACCGTACTCAACGCTGAGGTGACCATAAGAAGAAAGATGACAACCTGAAAGAAAGGTTTAATGCCAAAATATTTTACATTATTACTTTTTGTCGAAGAGAATGAAACCATGAAAAAATCGTCGATGCCAGAGACAAAAACAACCATCCAACGGCTGTCACTTGGAAGATGACCACCACTTTCTCCCAATCATTTTGATTCTAAAATGCTCACTTTCAGTTAGCCTAAACCAGCAAGAAACCAGCCTAACGGCGGGTTTTCTTTTCTTCTTTTTATTTTTAGAAAAATCTAGACGAAATGCTTGTTTTATTAAATAGTCAGTGAATCCGCACGCGCGTAAAACAAGAAGAGTGATTGGTTGCAGAAATGACTGGTTGCAGAGATGGATAAATGAACGAAATGAATTCTCCATGCGGGAAAACCCTCATGTACAAATCTCCTGCAAAAATACAAATTTTCACCCGTGGCGCAGCGGGTAGCGTGTTTGACTACGGTCATGCTCGAATTCGATCGAATTCGAATTCGGATTCGATCCCCGATGGCTCCACTCCACTTTTTGCTTTTTTTCTGAAATTGTTACGCGACACTTTAAGAACTTTAAGAAATTTTCTGAAAAGATATGTAAATCTCGACGAGATATTGCGTGACTACGGATGCACGGACACACAAACAGACAGACTCAATGAACGCTTCTATATAAAGAAGATATATCGGCGCAAAAAATCTGTTGGGTGCCTAACTTTGGAGCCCCATGTTGCGATCACACACAACAAGAGAACAAATTTTGCAACAAGCAAACAGCTTACATACATTTACATATTGTTGAATTTATATTTATCCATGTTTAACATAATCATTGCGATTTGTGTTATTCTCATTGTTCTCGTCTCAATTTCATCTACCGGTTGTTTTTGTTTTCCAGGTTTTCACGGTCCCCAAACGTAACGAGGATTTTGATGCGTTCCAGTGACGCAATTTCCAAACTTCTGATGATTTTATTTACCGTTTATGATAAAAAGAAAGAGCATATTCACTTAGCATATTCACTCACTCACTTGTTAGATTAGTACACAAAACTTCAGACTAATTTGTCTAACCGTTTTTTTGAAGCTATTTTTTTGAAAATTATGCAACAATAAGGGTTTTAAAGCAGGACGTTTTTTGAAAGAAATGAAAAACTTTTTGAGCATCATATTTCTACTCTCAACAGACCCGAACCCGGAGAGAGGGCAAGAGGACATTTGCTCCTGTGAAAGTTTAGAAACACGGTTGAAAACCTAAGTGATAAGACATTTACCCGTTGATCTTCAAGTATCGTAACCCAAAACATAATCTTGCTTCCACGAATTTCTTTCTGAGTACAGGTCTGTCTCTCACTCACCTGCCACCAATACTTTCCGCATTTGGAATAACGTGGTCCATCGCTAGATTCTGGAGCTTTGCAATTATATTTGAAAATCCCGCTTTGCCAGACGTCGCCATTTTGGAAAGTGTAGGTTCTCCAATCTGAATAAGGAAAAGTAGCCTCGATATTCTCGATTTACCCGCAGAAAACGTTGAGAATATCATAAGAAAAGCTGTTGTTAGCACGGAAAAGTTAAAAACGGCTACAAGAGTTTTCATTTTTGACAAAGTTTTGATAGAAAATGAATTCGGGTTCGTTCAAGCTCTTATTCTTATATCAGAGTTTATTTGAACGAGATGCTTTTGAAACCAACTGATAAGAAATAATGTGAAGAAAGAATACATTGTTTTGAAAATGGTTTAGTCAATTTCTTTGGAAAGGAATTGCAAAAGGTTTATGGGGAAAACATGAAAGGATTCCTCTATTTTAATTGCTTTGAAATGGTTTGTGTTCAAAATGTTCAACTTTACAACTTTAAAACTTTATAAATAATGAAAGCATTAGAGCTGGTTGCAGTTCTTGGAAAATTTGTCGACAACATCTTTCGAGCTTCCGTAACTTTTTTCATTGCATGAATCAAACATAAAGTGTAAAAACATATGCCGTAAAAGCTGTAATAGTACCCCCGCCTCCAAATTGGTATAGAAAAATTTGCATCTGCTTTTGGCTGAATATTTTGTACCTCTCCTTGAAATTGCAAAATATTCAGTCAAAAGGCGTGATTCATTCACTTTACGAAGTGTAAAGTGTAACGTTTAACAAATAACAAAAAAATGGGGTCAAAAACAACACCTCGTCCAAATAAATTCTGATAAAAAATAAGAGCTTGAAATAAGAGTCAGCTCAAAAAAGCTGACTAAACCATTCTCAAAACAAGTATTCTTTTTTCATATTACTTCTTATCAGTTGGTTTCAAAAACACCTCTTCCAAATAAATTCTGATATAAGAATAAGAGCTTGAACAGAACCGAACTCATTTTCTTTCAAAAATCTTTCAAAAATGAAAACTCTTGTAGCCGTTTTTAACTTTTCCGTGCTAACGACAGCTTTTCTTATGATATTCTCAACGTTTTCTGCGGGTAAATCGAGAATAGAATTAGGGCTACTTTTCCTTAATCAGATTGGAGAACCTACACTTTCTAAAATGGCGACGTCTGGCAAAGCGGGATTTTCAAATATAATTGCAAAGCTCCAAAATCTGGCCATGATTGATTGATTCTTGGTTAATTGGTTCAAATTTTAACCAATTAATCTGTTTAACCAAGAGGAGCTCACTCTAATAGCATGTGTTGGTCCATTTAAAACAATATCAAAGTTTATCAAAAGAAAAAGTTATCCAGTATTGAAATTGCTGTTAAAGTTGTTGATGACGATGCTTTGTAAGTTGCTGTTGGACGAAGTGGAGATAACGTTTACTGAGCTTGGGGAAATTCTACGGAGGATTGGGAATGGGTTGAAAGTTCGACTGAGATCCGAACTGCCCATTGCACCAGTCACCGACACAGCAATTGAAAAAAGACGGTGATGCCTGAAAAGAAGAGAGGTATTCGAGGCTCCTTGGACGAATCTAGCAATTCAACAATCAAATATTTTAACAAAATTTACAGAATGACCGAGTTTTGCAACTTTCTGAAAACTTGCCTTCTTAACACAAATATTATCTAATGAGTGCAAAGCAGGGGTTTGCGGATCCGAAATTTGGCTTCGGATCCGGATCCGTATCTTCCGGAGTTTGAAAATCGAGTTTGAATCCGGATCAGGGGTGGGACGGATAATTTTTGGCGGATAACGGATAATTATCTACGAAGGGGCGCAGAACTGGAAAACAAGAAAGTGAGTTGTGATATTTTTGAAGTTCTTCATCAGAATGGAGATTTTTTTTGACCTGGAACTTAAAAGTCATCCAACTCATCAATATTCAATCCAATTCAAAAATTTCTTGTACTATTTTGTAGAGGAGATTCAGGGCTTTCTAATAGTATACAACACTTATTGGATGCCGCTTGCAATCTTTTTATTTCTGGACAGATATGTGAGCGCTGCTTGGATTCCCATCACCCTAATATATAAGTTTACCTTTGGCCTTGGAGCATTGACACCAAAATGACACGTGAGAGCGGTGGTGATTGATAGGAGCCCGAAGAATGAGACGACACCGTTGTGTATTAGAGGCATGTATCCATATTACAAACATAAGTGGCATGAGTTCCAGGGAAGGGGGGTGCGAATGCCCGGATACCCAGAGCTTTTCCGGGTAATTTGCCAAGCTATAATATTTAAAGTATTCAAAATCTTTGGTAGATTATTGGCTGCAAAGAGTTGTTGAGGGGAAATACATGAGAAGAAAATTTAATTATTTTGAAGTAGTGAAAAACTGGCAAACATGTTCTCAGTACTCTCATTTGAAATTTCTCAAGTAGCACATGACATTTAAAGGGTTTTTTAATATTAACGCTTTAAGTTAAGATAATTTAAGTGGTAAATAAACACTACAAATGCTAAAAAATCTCTGATTTCAGTTTCAGGTGATTAATTAGCAAATATTTGAACTCACCAGATTCACCTGGACCAAAAATTCTATCTAGCAAGTACTAGAAGCTAGAAAGTTAAAATTATCAAGCACAAAAATCTTTCCAACAAAAACTTTGACACAAATAATTGTATCTGCGAAAAGGTTGCATACAAAGTTAGAGGTAAAATTTTATTATTCATTTAAGCAAATTCAAAAACGAGTCGATTGCATAGCGGAAATCGTTGGACCTCGTTTTTTTGAAGATTTGGGCAAAATCTTGAATTTACTGAGCAAAAACCTTTTGTATGGTTTGGTGAGGAGACAAATGCAAATCGAGGAAATCATCGCATGGAGGCTGCTCATGAGAAAGCCCAAATTTAAGATATCTAAATGAGCTGAATTGGCTGAATTATTTACTTCTCCGACCTTGTGAGATCCTCCATTCAGTTTCCACCACAATCGCGAATAGAGCCCACGGAATGGCGATCGTCAGAAAGGGAACGCATATCTGCAAGAAGGATTTTTTGAATAGCATACCCTTTGGACTGTTTGTTAAAAATTCTCTTCTTGACATTCATAGACACTTGACGAAAATAATCCAAAAGTATCAAATTTTCTATTTTAATAAACCCCAGTCAAAATTTCCAGATAGGCAAACTCTAGTTAAAATGATTTGAAAATGAAAATGTTAAAATGAAAAGGGCTTGACTGTCAGCTCCGAGCCCAACTGATATTTTAGTTACTATTGTTATTATTGAAAGACTTGTCTATTCTTATGCAAATGTGTTCTCCCCTGTGCTTATCCCTTTTATTGCCGAGAAGGGGCCTTAGGACCTTAGGATTGCCTAGGAGGGCAAATGAGACTCTCATTTGGAGTCCCCCCTTCCCCTTACACTCATTTCTAATCTATTCATCTTATTGTATTACTGTAAATAAAGATACGTATCTTCCGGGTCTATGCAACTGCAGTGCAACTACAGGTCGGTCATTTCACAGGGACTCCCCTCTAATACGTTGGAGGAGTTGAGTTGGGTTGTCGGCGTGTTAGAGATGGCGGGATATCAAAAGGGGTCCACTCTTTTAAACTTAACCCAAATTCTAGTCCACATCCGTTTATACCTAGGAACGTATATGACAAAAGAAAAAAACCTTGAAATTCTGCAAAAGCAATGAGTTTGCGCTTCAACTACTTTGACAAATGCTGGGTTTTGACATCCGTTCATATTGCATGAGAATGTTATGATGCTCAAAAAAGTTAGCCCAATTAAATCATGCTAGACTTTTGAGTTTAAAAATGACCATCTGATTAGTTAGTTAGATGCCTTTTTCTGCCGAATTTTCGACTTTCATTTTTACCTGCACAAACAACGCAAATAACATTTTCCTATGCAAAAACTTTGTCCTCTCACTCAAATCGCTTCGCTGGCCCAGAAGATAGAAGGCGTGCCAAAACAAGAGGCCGAACTGAAGGAGCTATTTTTTTTGAGCTACTACTAACAGAACGCACGATCAGATTGACTTCAAATGTCACAAAAAGAATCACAACAAAAATGGCGGCGTTTGATGAGATTTGAAACGGAGGAACCGGGTTCGAGTGAGCTATCAGAACATCGGGATCGTATTTCACCCAAATGTATTCGGGAAATTTCTAAATCAAGTGATTTGAGTGATAAATAAGGTAAATTGCTTTTGCAAAAATTTTGTTTCAAAAAATTAGTTTATGTTGCTTTAAAACCAGCTCTATATTCAATTTTGTGAATTTGTTAGCTTGAGTATTTTTTCTGACTCGATTTTCTCAAGATATTCAGCTACAAAACTGCCAAAAATAGGTTTCCCAAATTCAGATAGAGCCATAAAACTAGACTAATCAACCTCGAGCAAATCGGTGAGCCCCTTCGCTTGAGGAGAAGGCTCATAGTCGGTGAATTGGAAAAACACGACTCCCAGCGAGGGAATGCCGATGTAATGCAGAACGGCTATGCAAATTGCAATGTTCTTCCAAAATCTATAAATAACACTTGTCAAAGTTTAGTTTAAAAATAACCTATAATGTAATCGACTCTTGTGGCTGAGTAGCTGTTGATGTCGATAGAAAACACATTGAGTCGTTGAGTAGACCAAAAATCCGAGGGCGATTGTACCGATTTGCTAAATTTCCACTCATTCACTCGAAATGTTCTCTGAAGTTATTTAGCCAAATGACTGAATAACTTCAATGAAAGCGTCTCTCCGACCTACCGTACTTATTTAATCATTAGGTTGGGGGAAAGTCTTTGCCGATTTTTTGGGAGAGGGTCTTAAACTTGTCCGATCTGTCCGATCGGTTACAAGGGCCCATTTCTCATCTCTTCCTCATTTCTGTTATGAGGGCCTAAATTACCATGCATGCAAATTTACATTTAAAAGTGGCACCACAAAGAGAAACCAATGTAAGTTGAAATCATTTTCCTATCAAATCAATCAATCAAAAATCCTGGAATTTTGAGAAAAATAGCATATGTACAAAATTTGTATTTATGAGGGGCCTTCTATTGGAGAGAATACACTCATGGTTATTTTTTTCTCTTACCGATAAATCCAATGAAACGCCCTACTCAAAAATCCTACTTGCAAGATTTTGGCATTCAGCCCGAATACCGTGTAGGAGATCCCATAAAATTTCCCACAAAACGCCGGCAAATACAATTCGGGTATCATTGCGTGGAGAGACAAATCAAACATAATCGACCAAAACTGCAAGCTTTTATTAGCGTCCACAAATCAAAACTGAACCTGATACCAAAGAATGTGCTTTTTATATTCTTTCATATTCAACGTCGAAGCTTTCCAAATGATATAAAAAGTCAACAAATTGATCAATGTGCCAATCACAGCCGAAATGTCCATAAGGAGGATGTAAAGCGTCGGCTTTGGTGAAAAAATGATTTCACTGCTAACACTTATAATGGACATTGATAAAAAATAAATCTTTATGTAGGTTGAGGAAAAATAAACGAAAAGATTTCACTTTCTCGTAGAAAAGCCAGGTGAAATTTTCTTTTTCTCGCAGGATTTGACTGTGGATCGATAGTTTGAGTTAGCAAAATTCTCGAAGTTAGTGTATGGCATTTCTTTAACTGCTATTTGGTTATTCAACGACTTATAAAACTATTTTGTTGACGTCAGAAAGTTATATTAAAAGAAAAAATAAATTAATCAATCAAAACTCAAGCATTTCATCGTTGTTGATCGAATATCAAATGAATTGATCTATTTCACAAGGACTCTTGGGTTCGACCCCACTTGCTGCCAAATTCTTGCCTGCTGCACTAGAATAGGTTTCCGCACACTTTACAACAAGAAATCCAATTTTCAGTTCACAATCAACTGTGAATGTGGACAGCACTGTATGCATTTCCTCTCCTCAGCCAAGGTGAAATTTTTGTCGATATTCAACAAATAGTTAAGTTGTAATTTAAGAAAAATTAGATTTGCGTTTACAGAACATTTAGAGCTGTGGATGCTCGATTCTGAGTGGTGAAGTGCATGATTTTTGCGTGGTAAGTTAAATCCATGAATAGAATGTAAAAGAAATTGATCATGAAAATAGCTTATACATAAAATAGGGGTAACTAGGGGTAGAAATTTCCTCCGTTGTGTTGTAATCCATTATTCATGTCGAATAAATATACTTTTAAAATGTAGAAAATCGTAGCGGTGAGCACAAAGTTCTGCAACTTTTGCAAAATGAATTTTTAGACGCAAAAAACTCAATTCTTGATCAAAACTAGCATCAAATTTCGAAAATTCGCACGTTTTTACCCTAAGAAACATCTCTTACAGAACAATCTTTAGTTTTTTCTGGAAAATATGTTTCTGGCAATAGCCATGCCCGGGTTAGAAAATACTGCCAATTAAAGTTCTTTCAAAATAAAATAAAGGAAAAGAACTCCTTTTGTTTGTTCGTCTTCTAGAGCTAAGTCTTTGTTTTTCGAAAAGTCCCATTTTAGGCTAAAAACGGCTACTTTCAACTTTGGATTCTCATATCTCGATAGAATCTAAGCTGGTCCTTTGAATTTTGGTATAAATATTAAGTAATTTATATTCTTAATATACTGGAAAAATTTCAAGCGAAAAGATCAGAAAGTGAAAAGGCCAGAAAAATGGGAGCGATAGTTGCCAGCAGGCGCAGGTATCCAGGTTGAGACTCGACCTGCAGTTACTTTTTAACACCCAAGTCCCCAATAATCAAAAATGACGAAGAGCTCTAAAATTTTCTCAAAAAATTGACAATTCCCGGTGCAGGGGTGATCCCGCTCATATCTAATAAATTAGTATTTTTTTCTAAAAGCTTGGCTAACCAACGAACAAGCGCAAATTTAAGTATGTAAATGTACAGTTCTGAATGCACTTCGAAAGAAAAGAAAACATTTGCTGTTTTATAGGTGCCTTGCTTATTTGAGATACTCAGTTGTTTGACTGTTTTGGCGAATAATACTTGTTAACCTTGGTTAACAAATGTCTTGTTTGATTGATTCTTGGTTAATTGGTTCAAATTTTAACCAATTAATCTGTTTAACCAAGAGGAGCTCACTCTAATAGCATGTGTTGGTCAATTTAAAACAATATCAAAGTTTATTCAAAAGAAAAAGTTATCCAGTATTGAAATTGCTGTTAAAGTTGTTGATGACGATGTTTTGTAAGTTGCTGTTAGGCGAAATGGGGATAACGTTTACTGAGCTTGGGAGATTCTGCGGAGCATTGGGAATGGGTTGAAAGTTCGACTGAGATCCGAACTGCCCATTGCACCAGTCACCGACACAGCAATTGAAGAGAGACGGTGATTCCTGAAAAGAAGAGATGCATCGAAGACTCCTTAGACAAATCTAGCAAATCTACAATCAAATATTTTGACAAAATTTACAGAATGACCAAGTTTTGCAACTTCCTGCAAATTTAACACAAACACTTCTTAACACAAAATATTATCTAAGGGGTTAGTGCAGATCAGGGGTGTGCGAATTCTCAAATTTGGCTTCGGATCCGGATTTGGACCATCCGGAGTTTGAAAATTGAGGACGAAGCCGGATTCGGATCCTACATGTAATCACCCCTGGCGGCCACTACACTACTCCACATAATTATCGCTCCGCCTGTATTTTCTTTCAAAACTAAATTTTTTAAATGTATCGGCAAAAGTTGCCAAATAAAAAGGTGTCATTTATGATCATAAATGCAAGCTTGCATTTATGTAAGTGCAAGCTCACCAAGCATAAATGCAAGCTCGCCAAGCTTGCATAGTATAAATTTTGATAAAACTTTTCTTAACATTTTCAAAAAAATCGTTTAGGAAAATTCAAATAACTATAGCTCCACTTCACTTTTTTCCCTCAATTTCTACTACAATTGTTGTTTTTTGCCTCTTTAAATTGCTTTTGTTTAAAATTTTTGTTTTTTTTTTTTCAGGAAATGCCACGTGGAAAGCCGCTCACCGATTTTGAAAAGGGCCAAATCGAGGCGAAAGAAGCTCGAGGGCTATCAAATCGACAAATCGCTCGAGATCTGAATAGGAAACACAAGATGATCAACTCATTTGTCAACGATCCGACGGGAAACCGTGGTTGAGCTAAACTTTGACCCAAAACGTGTTTTGTAGACCTGTGGATTTTAACCAAGAAGACTATCAAACAAAACAGACAATTCAAAAAACACGAAGTTTGAAACAATTCTACGGAGGGGCGCAGATCTGGAAAATGAGACGATCTGGAAAACGTGGGTTGTGATATTTTTGAAGTTCTTCATCAGAATGAAGATTAAAAATTAAGGTTGTTCTGAAAGAGACGTTTCTTAGGCGGTAAAAACGTTTCCGGACGTTTTCTGGTAAAAACGTGCGAATTTTCGAAATTTGATGCTAGTTTTGATCAAGAATTGAGTTTTTTTTCCGTCTAAATATTTGTTTTGCAAAAATTGGAGAACTTTGTGCTCACGATGTATGCGATTTTCTACATTACATATGTATAAGTTATTTACATGATCATTTTTTGCATTCTATCCAGGGGTTTCGATTAACTTACCGTGCAAAAATCACGCACTCCACCACTCAGAATCGAGCATCCACAGGTCCAAATATTCTGTAAACGCATATCTAATTTTTTCTTAAATTACAACTCAACTATTTGTATTGCATTACTCAAAATTATCGTCAAAAATTTTACCTTGCCTGAGGAGAGGAAATGCGTACAGTGCTGTCCACATTCACAGTTGAGTGCGAACTGAAATTTGCACTTTCTTGTTGCATAGAACTAGGTTGCAAAGCGTGCAGAACCCTATTCTAGTGGAGCAGGCAAGAATTTGGCAGCAAGTGGGGTCGAACCCATGAGTCTTTGTGGAATGTTGGTTTTTGAAACAAGCGTGCTATTCTCTTGGCAGCGCCCCGCCCGAACTGCCGAATTCTTGTGTGTAATAGATCTATTAGATTGGCATTAGATTTATTAGATTTCAGTCTCACACTTGTCTCACGCACAAATCAAAATCGTATTGTCTATTGTCATATGAGACAGTTTGAGCACTTTGGGATATGGAGGGAGTGGTGCACTGGGAGTTGCTGGATAGGAAGACGACCCTTAATGTAATCAAATACAATGAACAGTTGGAAAAGGCGAATGAATCCCTAAAGAAGAATAGGCCCTTCAAGTCAAAGATTGTTCTCCTCTACGACAACGCGCGCCCTCATGTTGCAAAACTGACTCGCTCTAAAATAAACAGGCTTGATTGAAAACTTTTGGCACATTCCCCATACAGTCCGGACCTTGCCCCTTCTGATTATTATTTATTCCGGAACATGAGTAATGAGCTTGCGGGAGAACACTTCAAGTCGGAAGAAGCAGTCAAAAATTGGCTCGAAAAGTTTTTCGATTCAAAACCAAAATCCTACCACGAAAGAGGAATCCGCAAATTGCCTGCAAAATGGGCAGAAGTCGTCAATAATAATGGAAGTTATTTGGAATCAATTTATGGTTTTATATTGAATAAATTTTAGTTCAAAGACCCGCAGTTTTCAGTTCACCAACCCAATATTTTCGAGGATCCCTTAAAACCCGAAAAATAAGGTTTTCTCAAATCTTTCAGTATGTAAAGAAATCGACGATTTTAACAGTTTAAACTATAAATCGTTTGTGATCAATTGTAAGTAAGTATTAGATTGGCAACTTGAAAGTTGGTACACTTATTCATTGCACTTTTTAGAAATAACTAGTGCACCAATTAATCTACAGTTTTTACCAATAAAAAGGCCCATTTATTCTCTAAAACAGACTTTTGACAGATTTAGAAAAGCTTCGGTTTTGTAGATTTCTAAGGGGCAAGAAGTTGAGGAACCAAAAATGATGAACACTCGATGAAGCGATTCGAGCACTTTCTTTTACACAAGCCTATTTTAGTGTCAATGAAAAAGAGAGAGCATAACAAGTTAGATAAATGGCCAAATTTACAACTAGATTTAATCAATCATTTTTGTTATAGTTCCATTTGCAGAATTTTCAAAAAAAACTTGAATTTCTGCTCAAATTCGTTTCAAAGTTACCCAAACTTGCTTAAGTATGTCTTAAATTAGTTAATACATGACTTTTATTTAGAGAAGTCTAATTCAATTGGCATATTAAATAAGTTTTATGGAAAATATGAAAAGTGTACCAAATTTCAACTTGTCAATCCAAACATAGGCTCACCTCGGGTCGCTGAACTTCGAAACCTAAATGACAACTGAGAGCCGCAACGATTGATAGGAAAACGAGGAAGGAGATGACACCAAGAAGCTTCATTTCCTAAATCCTAATTATAAAGTTTAAAAGTCAAACCCGAAGTGCTAACAAAAGGGTTTGACTTTGACAAAAGGGTTTCAAAAAGGAAATGATTCTTTTTTCCTATCTCATCACGGATTCTGACATCGATCTTTTTTAGACAAAACATTGAAAGAAATTTGAAAAGAAAATTTCCAAATAAGGCGAAAATTTGAAGTCCAACTGTCCTTTACTGTTTCAAAAGTTTTAATTAAGATAAGTGATTCTATTCTTTGTTTTGTGATGCTTTTCGTTTATTTCCATCTCTTTATTCTGTTTCTTTTCAGCCTGTGTGTGTTTGATCAAACTTTTATTAAAATTTATTCAAAAACAAAAAGTTATCCACTATTGAAATTGGTGTTGACATTGCTGACAACGGTGTTTTGAAAGTTGTTGTTGGGGAAAGTGGGGAAGACAAAAGGTGGAAAGGATTGGGGAAAAGATTGTGAAGGATTGGGGAAATTCTGGGGAGAGCCTCCGAAACTTGGGGAAAAATTTGGGAAATTGTTGATCGTATTCGGGAAGTTGGCAGCAAAACCGGGGAACCCAAAGTTACGAGGGGCGGGTGGAGGCGCCGCTTCGAGTTCGCGTCCGAGCTGTCCATTACATCCATCACCAGCACAGCAAGCGAAACGGGGTGATGCACTCTGAAAAGAAGAACTTGGCAACTTGGAGAATTTGTATTGCGCCGGCAACTTGAAGTTGGTAACTCTTTTTCATTGATCCTTTTCTAAACAACTATTCCACCGACAGTTTGTTTCATTAAAAAACAGGAATCGATGATTTTTTATTATTTTCAAACAAACTTTGAACCAATTTTCTAAACAAATTCTAGTAAACTCTTGATTTTCAAAATTTCGTAAAAGAAGCAGAGAAAACAACTCCACAGATTATTCTGTAAAAATCGCTTAAGACTTATTTCTTCAAAAAATTTCAATGAAACAGACTGTGAGTCAATTGGTGGAATAGTTGTTTAGAAAAGGATCAATGAAAAAGTGTTTTCAACTCAATTTATCAGCCAAATATTCAAGGGTTTTTGAGAAGAACAGTCAGTCGGATAAGGCCGATTTTTGTGTAAAAACCCTGATTGTGACTTAACAATTTTGTAACGGCTAATTTCAGTAAGTTAAAACTGGAGCTGGATTCACTGGGTCCTCTGGATTGCTGCTACTATAAAAATGCAATAACTAACCGCACAGACATCGTGCTCTTGTCCATCACTCTCAATCGTACATCCACATGACCAAAAATTCTGAATTAGCTTTTCTTTAGATTTGTCTTCAACTGTTTGTAAAAAGAGCAAACGTACAGTAGTGGTGAAAAGTTTAGACCAACCCAAAAATTGGCATTGTTCAGTCATAAAAGCTCTCCAAAAAACTTCATGAATCCTTTTTAAAGTTCTATAAAATCATATTGAAATCAACAAAACTGAAAGCGGGCAGAGTGAAACTTGTGAAAAGTTAGAAAATGTGGTGGTCAAGAGTTTGGTCATCTGTGTTAAAAATCCGGGCTTTCAAAGGTATAGTTGCCTTACATTTTTTCAATGATTTGGTATCTCATGATAATTTCTATTAAAAAAGTAAAAAATCGCTCGATCTAGCACAATAATCAAGCATCATTTCCATGCCACTTTCATATCTCTACAACGGATGATCCTATCAACATGATCCACTTTGGACACTCCTCTAAATGATAATACTAAAATACCTTGAATAATATAATAAAGCAACTTAGGGATAGCTATATCTTGAAACGCCGGTTTTTTGACACATCCGACTTTTTCTCACGATTCTCCAATACAATCTACCCGATTCTAGTTACGTTGATTTTAATATGATTTTAAGAAAGATTTACGAAGTTTTTGGAAAGTAAATTGATTAGGCTCGTGCGTTTATAGCTGAAAAATTGTAATTTTTGGGATGAATCGAAACTTTCGCCCACTACTATCAGTTGACAAAAAACAAGTGCTCACCCCACTGGAGAAGAAATGAACACAGTGTTGCCCACATTTGCAGTCAATCATAAACTGAAATACGGGGTTTTCGTTCTCAAACAACCATACTCAGTTTCTGAACTTTTTAGGATCACATAGAAGAATCAGTTTTTACTGCAAAATCTATTAGGGTGATGGGAATGAAAGCAGCGCTCGCATAACTTTCCAAAAATACAAAGATTGCAAGCCGCATCCAATAAGTGTTGTGTACTATTAGAAAGCCCTGAATCTCCTCTACAAAATCGTACAACAAATTTTTGAATTGGATTGATTCTTGAAGACTTGGGTGTTAAAGCTCTTAGCTCTAGAAGACGAACAAACAAAAGGAGTTCTTTTCTTTTATGTTAGTTTGAAATAACTTTAATTGGCAGTATTTTCTAACCCGGGCATGGCTATTGCCAGAAACACATTTTCCAGAAAATGGCTATTGTTGACCTTTGAACTTAAAAGTCTTCAAGAATGAATCCAATTCAAAAAATTTTGTACTATTTTGTAGAGGAGATTCAGGGCTTTCTAATAGTATACAACACTTATTGGATGCCGCTTGCAATCTTTTTATTTCTGGACAGATATGTGAGCGCTGCTTGGATTCCCATCACCCTAATATATAAGTTTACCTTTGGCCTTGGAGCATTGACACCAAAATGACACGTGAGAGCGGTGGTGATTGATAGGAGTCCGAAGAATGAGACGACACTGATTAACGTCATTACCTAAACAATTAGAAAGTTAAACAAAAAGGTCTAACAAAAGGTTTATGATCAAAATGAAAATGAATTTTGGATTTTGGCTTCTTCCCTTTTCCATCATGATCGCTGACATTGATCTTTATAGACAAAACATAAATTCTCTAAAAGAAACAGAATGTGGTTTCAGGGACCAACAAGCTGGCTTGACATCGGAAAATATTAAAGCCTTCAAAAGATGTGGTCTCCAAATTCGAAAAATCCACAAATACTGTTTCTGGATTCTGGATTCAATTCTGAATTCTGAATTCAAAATCTAAAAAATTCCATCCTAAACCAATCAAACTGAACAGGAAAAAACCCGTCGAATTTGAAATCGGGACACTTTTTTGAAAAGTCACTTTACTCAAACTTCAGCATTCTGTTTGAAAATTTTTGTTTTTGTTTTGTTCTATCTTCATTTCAATAGAGTTTCTGTGAAGGGAAAAATTTGAGTACAGAAATTCTTTTTTCAATTTTCAGAGAATCAGAGAACAGAAAATTTTCAAAGAGCAAAAGATCAGCCTTTTTTGAGGAAAAACTTTGCTTGCGTGTGCCGATTTTTGCTGCCCTTTCCTGTGAAGAAAAAAACGTGAACCGGTATAAAACAAACTTACTTTTTGCAGATTTTATTTGAATTTGCGTTAACTTTTGAAATTTGAAAAATTTTAAACTTTAATGCTTTTTGGTTATTTAGGGTATTCGGAAAAAGCAAAATTTGCCCAATTTTCTTAAACTTTTCTCCTAGAGTCTTCAGATCCGTTTGACCCATCGATTTCTTCGTGATGCCTTTCATATCACTAGCTCTCACGGTTTGTTTACTTTTCCGAGTTTTTGATAAGGGTTTTTCAAGAAATTGCACAATCTTTTGTACATTTCGATGAAGTTTACATAGGGTTGAGCAATTTTTGACTATTTTACACGTTTTGATTAGTAGATTTTTAGTAGTAGCGTTTAGCATCATTTTCAGAATGTCAGAAATGATCGATTCGAAAGCCTATTTCTTCTATTCCAGTTTGCCAAATCACTTGCAGACTTCTATCAACAAAAATCTCAACTACGAGGAAATCTCAAAACTTTTGCAAGTCAACAAAAAGCTGAGGAAATATGTTTTGGAAAATGGTTTTTTATCACGAAAACTTTTGGAGGTGAGAATAATGTTCTCTTTGGATGGCTTTTCGCCATTTCGATGGCTTTTCGTCATCGAAATTGATCTCCCAGTTTTAAACTTTGTAAATCGTGTGAAAACATTGGAGCTGCTTCTTTCTTATGACTTTGAAGAAAACAAAGAGTCTGTGATGATAATCCGAGTGAGAGATGAGCCCTATCCTGCACCATTTAAAGCCACTCTCAGACTTGATCTTGACAAAAGCTATTCTCAAAATTTTCTTCAGCTCCTCTTCGGAAACATTGATTCCTGTAAAAGTTTGGAGATCAAACATCACATGAGTAAACCCGAGAAAAAACGTTATCAACTTGTTCCCGGATCAGACACTTTTCTTCCGAATCTCAAAATTGTGTCTCGATTCAAAGTGGAAACAAATGATCTTATGAATATACAAAAAGCTCTAGAAGGCTTTTGTACTACTGTCACTGATCAATTTGACATTTATATTCGCGAGAATCCTGAGCTTGGTCTGGATTCTTGTTTTTCTAATTTGTTGGTTCGACGAGAGTTCAAAAATTGCGGAATAATCACTCTGTTTGCACAGAGAGAACAGTGGAAAGCGCTTGTTGAAATGAGAAATCAGTTTACAGAAGAGAAACTAACTTGGATTACACTGAAAGAGAGCATCAAAAGAATGTTAGCTAAAGGATTTCCGGCAAGAGGTGGATGGCCTTTGTTGGCTTTTTCGACGAAAATTTATGTGCAGCGGTCAAAATCTACAAAATCTCTCTTTGATTCACCAATTCAAGAGATTTTTGAAGATCTGATGCAAGGAATTACAGTTTCTGGACTAGAAAAAGCAAATGAGAGCTCAAAGGCCGTGAAACTTTTCCAGAAATTTGTCGGTAAAAAAGACTTGACTGATCTCTCTCTTCAATCAACCACTTATGAACAATTCTTTATCAGAAGATTTGCTCCAAGGAAAGTTTTTGTTTTCCGAATCACTCTCAAAGAAAAGAAAACATTAGAAAATTCAAAAACGTTCTGGATTCATTTATTGATGAAATGTTGCTCAGAAGAATGGGATCTCAAATTGAAAGAAGTCCCCTATCCGACGGGCGGTTGGCTGAGAAGGATTCGGTCGCAGAGATATGGAAAGTATTGCTAACAGAACTACTGAAAATTTGTTTGTCTTTGTTTTTTTTGAATAAAACCTTTTATTATTAAGTTGAGTGCTAAGTCTTGCACCCAATTTCATTCTGTTACTAAATGAGTATAAAATCACAAATAACTTACAGACTGTACATAAAACTCTTTCGACTTGCCTGTTTTCAAAGCGATGCCTAGTTTTTCCAAGGAACTGATAATCATAAAGCGTTTGTTTACAATTTTAGTTTACATATTAACACTAATATGACACTAAGATGGCAGTAGAAAGAGTCAAATTTATGGAAAACTTTTTGTGTTGTTGATGGCTATATGGTGGTGACTATGGCGGTACCCTCAAATTCATGTATAGGGAAGGGATCGTGAAATCGAGAGAAACGGAAAAAATATGTCAAATTTATGACCACAAATGATTCATTTTGACATCACATTGACCACCAGAAGCCATCCGAAATTTTGAGAAAACTTGATTTGAAAATGGACTTTTTTATTTTTCACCCTGTACATATTAGCTCGAATGGAATCCATTTGTTGTGTGTTTTAGTCAATAGGATGATAGTCTAAAGCTAAATTCTTCTTGGTAAACAAGTCCTCAGTTATTTCTCCTCAAATAACTCCGTTTCTCAAAATAATCATTGATATGAGTTGCTTTGTGGGGGGAAAGTCCAGCTCGCTCTTATTTATGTACAAACACATCGGAAGTCTTTGTCAAGTTAATACATACTTGTTATGTTTCTGATCAAAGAAAAGCGTTTGTTTTTTGAGATTTATTGAAATTCGGCATCAAAGTAAAATAGAATAGAATCTTTAGTCAGTCTGATAAAAGAAGCTTGCATATTCTAGTTATGATCTTTCCTATGATTGGGGGATATTATCGGGAGGGGGGAGGTTGCGCAAGGTGGGAACCAATTTAGGAAAGTGCAGGGGTCCCCCCCCGCCGAGCCTGCCTAAAAAGAGAATAGTCAGAAGTGACCGTGAGATTTCGTGACGAAAATCAGGTGCAAACACAAGTTGCGTACGGCAAGTACGATAGCGCTTTTAGTTTTTGCGAATGGGTAATGGTTTTTGAGAAAAACGGATTGCAAATTTTGGCATCTACCTGGAAAACGGAGGGGTTAAAAGGGGCTTCTCACCCTTTTTTGAGGAGAAGTGAGGTGATGTAGTGGATATTGTTTTGAGCTATGAAATTAACGTCATCCTTTGCTCACGGTATCAAAAAGATAGCCCAGAATTTCAACTATTTTTTGATACCAAAGACGCATTTTTGAAAGTACGGGCGCTTTGAAAAAAATGAAATACGAAATAACTTTTGCGACTACGCGACTGTACAAGGGGGGTGGGGTACTATTACAGTATTTACGGTAGATTATTTGACAGGGCAATAATATCTTGCATTTGTCACACACTACAAAGATTTATTTGTGAGGACCGGTTATGTAATAGAAAAAGTAGGCAATGGCTATAATAAACTGCGCACAAAGAATAAATGAGCCAATACGTGTCAGATATTTGCAGATTTGATGTCGTAAATTCAATTCTTTCTTGGGCTCATTTTTGGAGTCACAAGCTGAAATCGTAGAAATTGAGAAATACGGGTAGCGGATTATGAAAACTGCTATGGCTAAAAGAAATCTGACTAATATGTATTTTGGATTTTGGCTATAACCCTAGTAGAATAAGGTAAAGATGCTTTTTTAAAAAGCTAAATACTATATGTACACTATATGTACCATATTGGAGTTATACATTTAGGAGATTCTAAACAATTTTTACATTGAAAAGCAAAAAACTGACCTTCCTTTTCCCTGGGCACATTCATTGGCAATAGAACTTTGAAGAAAAGTTTTTAACAATAGATTATTATCAGATTTGACGAAAAAAATCTCTTGGAAATAAAATATTCGGACAAAGGGAAGTATATGTTGAAATATAGGTTGAAATTCTGATTTCTTTCCGAGAAACACAGAGAACCTATTTTTGTTTCATTTTTCTGTTCTCTTTGCGAAAACGAGTTTGACAAAACGTCATTCATCACAATTCAAGGTTATTGGTTGTTATGAACGAACAATGGATCTGTTCTTTTCTGTTTTTGTATTCATTGGGTTTTTTTGGTTAGTTTTGGATCAAATTGTCGAATCTGGATATGCAAAAAGTTTTTTTAAAACCAAAGACCCATTAATATACTTTTGATTAAGTATATTAATGTTCTATATATCAAAAAACAAAAATGTTCTTTGTTTTTTGACATATTGTACACGCTGTCAGCTTTCCTGGCTTTCTGCTTTTACCTACATTAGCAAGATTATTTATTTATTTTACGGAGAAATCGTGTTTCAAACAAGAACTAGTATACAAAATACCATACAAAGGCGATAATGAATAATAAAAGAAGGATAAACGAACAGAACCACATCAAATAATGCGCGGCTCGATGCGGAGCGTTCAACGATCTCTCGGCCTCGTTTTTAGGGCCAGTTTCTGAAACAGATTATTATCAAAATCGTCAAAAGCTTCAGCAAAAAGCCTAAAAGACTAAAAACCCGAAAATAGCTGAGTTCGAACTCTATCAGGTCACAAACTCTGGTGCTTTCTTGTTATCATGTGGGTGAGATTTTTGGCATAACAGGAGAGTACCGTTTGTACTGCTTAGAATCTCAAAATCAGGCTTTTTTGATTCGATTTACCGTATTTCTTCGAATAGAAGACCGGGTAAAGAGCATCACCGCGTACTCCTGCGTAGCAGCCCTTTTAAAAATTTATTTTTTTGCATAAAAGCTTTCAATGAAGTGCTATAGAGCTGGAAAATGACTCGAAAATACCACATGAGCTAACAGATTTTTGAGCCATTTTCCAGCTCTATAGCACTTCATTGAAAGCTTTTATGCAGAAGAGAAATTTTAAAAAGGGCTGCTACGCAGGAGTACGCGATGATACTCTTTACCCTCTTTGATGAAAGTTTGATATTTTTCGGGAAAGGGGAATTTACTTGTTTTGGCTATTTCTTTCTCTCTTTTTGCTGCTCTTTGAAAAACAAGTTCGATTCGTCATTGTGTTTGTGACTAAAAAACCCAAAATAAATAAACAAATCAATATTACAGAATGTCCCAAAGACTAAAAACCCTAAAGTAGCTGAGCTCGGGCTCTATCATGTCACAAACTCTGGTGCTTCCTTGTTATCATGTTATGGAGATAAATTATGGAGCGAATCCTGTTTTGACAGATTTATTGTTTTATCTCGCTCTTTTTCTTACTTATGACTAAAATTCTTTTTGTATTGGCTTTTTCAGGATGAAGGCACAATTGGATTTGCGGGTCCAGGCATGGTTCGACTGTTACAGGATGGCAAATCAGTGATGGAGATCTCGCGGCTTTTGCACTTCAAACACTCGCGGCTTTTGCACTTGCACTTTTGCACTTTTGCACTAGACAGTTTCAAAAGCAATCCAGCATCATAAAGATACTGGGAAATTGGAAGATCGATCTGGAAGCGGCCGAAAGAAGATTGCCAACAATCCAATCAATCGTCGAAAGATCTTTCAACGAATCTAAAGAAACCCGAGATCACAGAAAAATTCCACCTGAAAGATGGCTGCTGCAATTGGAATCTCAAAGAACACAGTGCACCGAATTCTCAAAAAACACGGAATGAAGACACGAAAAGATGTAATCGGACATTACTTAAACGATCAGATGAAGCAAAAAAGAGTGAACCGTTGCATGAAGCTTTTGAAACGCTTTGGAGCGAATTGTCATTTGGAGAAAGCTTTGGACGACATTGGTATGGAGGTCATCAAAAAGGCCATGGATGACTTTCCGAAGTGATTACGACAATATATTCAAGCTAAAGGAGGTCACTTTAAAGGGTAATGGTATATTTTTGTTATGTTCAATGATTGTTAAATGATTTTTAAGGAATCTATAAAAATTTCTACAAAATTAACAAGAGATCAATGATCGATTTCCGCTTCATGATTTTGGGACGCATAGAAAGCCAAATCGCTAAGATACTATTTAATTATTAGTGCCTTTTGCAATTGCAATATCGATCAATAGCTCTATTTCACTTTTTTTAAAGCTTTCTTTTTCGATTCTCTCTTCGCCCGACTAAACTATTTTGAATATTTTTAAGCGGCCAACAAAGCGGCCATTTTTAGAAAAGGTTATTTTTCTATTTATGGCTTGCAAAAAGGTGTTATATTCGCACCGTATTATCTTTTTACAAAAAATATTTAAACTGGCATGCCCTTTCTTGTCTATGGATACCATTTAAGTCCAGCAGTTTGCTTTACTTATAATAATAATAAACTTTATTACTCTAGCAAAAGTTACATAATAAAAGCACCAAAAAGCCAATAAATAAGCAAATTTTAAAGCGCTTCTTTCCATTTGTAATTGGTCTAATTGTTCTTTGTTCAAATTGTTTTCCAATTCTTCTTGCGTAAATGCGAACAAAGCAAAAATCGGTTTGTGTAGCGGGTACCCATTGTAGCTATAAACTTTTACGAGTCTTATTTCTTCTTATTTTGAGCGTACAGTCACGTAGTCGTTAACTGTTTTACTGATAAGTTAGTGAATATTCAAAGATAAACTAAGCTATTAAAGTCATTCGAAAGCGCTGAATCTCCTCTTGATTTAGTTATTAGTGCAGCCCACCGGTGAGCCGTATTGTCGTGAATTGTTAAATGTTTTTACCTCAATCGCATCTGTTCCAACAAATAAGAATTTCTCGTTTTGAATAACTTCTGTAGTAAACTCTACTCTAAATATTTCAGTGTTTTATTTCATTGAAAACCCACGTTGGATCACAGGAATTATCTCGACAAGGAAATATAGTGAGATTTCCCATATTCAAGTCAACCACTTCCACAAGATATTCAACAGGAAAACTGTCTGAATGGGCAATTGTTAGGTTGGAAGTCATTTTGAAAAAGGCACTCGAACATGGGTTTTAAATTGGTTCAAAATTTTGTCAATTTTGTCAATTTTGAGTAACTTTTTGACAAAATGGCTTGACGGATTTTGTTGTAAATTTTACTGAATATGTAAAAGGATCTCTTCTTTCTTTTGCGCTCTTCTTTCTTTTAAGAATAGCTTCCAATCAAACAAGTGATCTAGCACCCGCTAGATCACTTGTTTTCTGAAAATGGCTATTTTGACTACTTGTCTTTGCGGCCTTCGAAAACCTCAAAAATAAAAGCTTTTCAAAATCGCTTACCGTATTCTCTCTAATACAGTACTGGACAATGAAATATCATATTTGAAAAACGATCGCCACTTTCGCGCGTCTGTAACGCCCTTGTCTTTGAGTTTAAACTATTAGTGCTATACATTTTCTGAAAGCTCTTTTCATTGGCTACACAATGGTAATATTAATATTTAGAAATACGGTAAAGACAAGGGAGTTACAGACGTGCGAAAGTGACGATCGTTTTTTAAATATAATATTTCATTGTCCAGTAGTGTATATGTGCCGCACACTGTTGTTGCAAAAGTCTTTACATTCCTTTTCCGGTTAAACCCAACAAATACACCAATTGAATCACGGTTTGTTCCATTAGAAAGGTTACTTATTTTTCTGCAAAATAACGTTGAAATAATCTTAAAATATCTTGGATTTATTCCATCAGTTAGTCAAAAAAGGCGATGATTCGACGATGTGGTTCATCTATTTGACCAAGAAAACCAATTTTGAGGTCAGAAGAAAAAAGACAGAGCGCAAAAAGTTAGGCATTTAGCCAAATTCTCAGAACGATCTATCCAGCCAATATCTTTGTAAAACTTTCTATTGGGTTTTCCGTAAAAAACGAGTTTTGCAATCGCATTTCCTTGGATATGGACTGAAATTGGATTTAAAATATAGCAAAGTGGCCCATAAACACTTTTTTTATAGCAAACCACATGTCAATTGGTGAATTTGTTATTTTTAAACGAAGGTAAATGAAGGTGCATAAACAAAAAGCTGAAAAAGCAAAAAAAAGTATGAGATAGTATGCAGCCAACCTAAATGTGATGAGTGGTTCTTTGGTTTTTGAAGGATTTCCTGGTAGAAGCTTGTATTCGCAAACTTGAGCGTTGTGATCCTGAAAGAAGACTGAATTTTAATCATCTATGTCTAGATTTACTGTGTACAATCGTTCCAAAAATTTGAAATTATAATCGATTTCCGGATTCCATATAAGTGTAAGCCAAGTTGGTTTTGTTGATGGTTTCTTTTTGTATCCAAACCATTGAAGCTGTGATCTATTGTGATAATCAAAAGGCATTGGTTGAAGTCGGTAATCATCGGTTTCTACACTAAGGATTGGATGGAAAATTAAGGCAAAAAACGAACCAGTCACAAGAGATTCGAGTAATCGAACGGTGAAAAAAGTCTTCTTTTGAATGTCTCTATATGTACTTGTCATTAAAAGCACCACCGAACTTTCAATGATCAATTGACATCGTTGAAAAGTTCGATTCAAAATCTGATCATTTATCTTTGTTTGTAGATACCTAAATGGGTAAATACTAGATCAAAAAAAGGACACAAAACTCTTCGGTGCAATTCTCTAACAGTGGATAGTCAGGATTGAGAATGTATGGAAACATTGGATTTGGTGAACATTTTTGTATAGGATTTTGAAGTGTCACCTATAATTTTTGATGTAAATTTTGTATGGAATTGCTTACAGAAGTAATTAGTGGACATTCGATTACAATATCAAACAAAAGTGAGCAGTTTTCACAAGAAGATTCGGCTGAAAGGCAGATAGGACCATTCTCGTCTCAAAGCAATTAGTTTTTAATCAAATTTCATTCAATTACCACCCATCGCAGAGCAAAGTGTTTCTTGATTGAGAGCAAATGGAGGATCATTCGTGCTCAACGTGAAATTTCTATTAGCACTGCAAGCGAGCCGCCAAGCGTCACCCAAGACGTTTATAATGCCCGGAGTGACCGTCAATAGAAAGCCGGCTGTTGTGTCGGAAGCAGAGTTTGGAGACCATTCAAGCTGTAAAGTTGTGAATTACATCGTACATTAAACAAGTATAACTACAGGGTGTTCAATATTCAGGTAGACCAGTAGATCACTAGGTTTAGAGCTCATTTTGTACAAGTTTAATGTTAAAAAGGAAACACACTTATCAATACGCCCAGCGTTAACAACTTTAAGTTAATTTTTTCCAAACTAATACCTTTTGCGCTGTTGCTTGCCTAGCAACACCTGTGGAAAGCGCCTACTCAGATAAATTGCGTTTTTGATGTAACTTTAATACATTCACGACAATCCCTCTGTGGGCCGCACTAATGACGATTATTTTTTGTATTAACTCAATTTTTTTGATGGACTTTTGTTATTTGTTTCGCAGAAAGTTCTCGGCAACTTTATACTACTTTTCAAGAGGAGATTCAGGGCTTTTAAATGACTTTAATAGTTTAGTTTATCTTTGAATTTTCACCAAATTTCACAGTCCAGAAATGTCCGGTCAAACTGACAAATTTTAAATGAATGTGGATTGAAAAAAATGAATCCTGACCACAGATATGGTTAACCAAAAAACCAAGTCAAACCACCAGGAATCAGAATCAGAGAAATCCAGACCAGAAACCAGTTAAGCACCTTGCTTCTGACTTGTTGGATAGAGTAGAAGCTGACTTTGTACCATTGTTCAATAGATTACTAGATTTAGAGCTCATTTTGCACAAGTTTAATGCTAAAAAGGAAACATACTTATTAATACGCTCAACGCTAACAAATTTAAGTTACTTTTTTCAAAAATTATTGCCTTTTACGCTTTTACTCAACCTAATGAAAGGATTTGGCTTAGCTTCAATGTTCCAAAGCTTGCCTGCCACGCCTTGCCACTGTTGCTTGCCACGCCTGTGATAAATCGGACAAATTGAGTTTGTCACGGAATTATGTTAAGCTTTCTTGAAAGAATCAAAACTAAAATGTTATTCTAACATTTTTAATGTTCCGTAGATTCGAAAATTGTTAAATAGTGAACTTTTTTATTGTTAAACAAGAACAACTGGGGTCACCAAATTTCACCAAAAGGAGTCATCCTTTTGGTGAAATTTGGTGATCGAGTTTCGATGAGTCGATTTTTGAAATATCAAATTTAGTAAACTGTAAAAATAATCTAATAAGCCGAGTTTGTTCTAACTCCTATGCAGTGCTTTCTTCACGATTTTTTTTCACAAACCAATTTTGAGAGCCCTAAACGACCTGCGAGCTCAAAAGAGCCCATAAATGAACACCCTGTACAGAACAAATCAATTCTCACCCTGATACATCCCTTTGTGATATTGAATTTGTAATGCTCGCAATCCGAAGTTAAACTAAAATAATCATTCATAAACAGAGGCGGTTCTTTCCGAGTAATGCGTTTTCTAAAAGACACCATTTTTAGAAAACTATCGTAAACAAACCGCCAGTTTTCATTCGATCAGCCCTATTTTGGTGTCATTGATTGAGTCGTGTGATTCCTTATCGAATGATATCAAAATCAGGCTGATTGGATTTAAACTAACGGTTTCACTACGGTAGTTTTCTCAAATAGCTACCCTTTAGAAAACAGATTACTTGAGGAATACACTCTAACTATAAAACAACTTGGTGAGCTCTTACATTCACCTACCAGCCGAAAAACCCGGGTTTTTCTGACTAGTTTTTGCGACACGTCTATTTTCGTCACCGTGGCACAGTCGGGGGCGAGTTTGTCTACGATCCACACGGCCCAGGTTCGATTCCCGGGTGTTTCACCCAACTTTTATTTTTTTAAAATTTTGTTTTAACTGGCATAACTACAATTTATTCTAAGATTTTCTAAAGAACTTTTAACTTTATTGTGATGTAGATTCTTAAAGTAAGGCTACATTGAACATTTGTTTTTCAAAGCTAGGAGAAAGAGGGCGAGGAACAACTTCAGTTGAACTCGGTCGCTGTTTTCACATTTGAGAATTGCCCTGAATTTGTTCCTCGCCCTCTTTCTCCTACTTTCAAAATTGTTTTAGATGGCTTTACTTTAAGAAACTACATCAAATTGGCTACAAAATGAGCTATTTTGCAAGTTTTTTGGCTGAGTAGAAAATTTTTTATAGCCATTTTAGGGCATTTTGAACCTCAACTTTGGGGACTCAAAAAAAATTTTCTACTTAACCAAATGAGCTAATTTCAAAAATTTATTATAAAATATATGTATTATGAACATTTTTATGTGGGTGACTTTTTGATTGGATACCCGGAAATACCCTCATTCGTTAGCGGCTGAATTTCGTAAACGGCTACGACATATATTTTGTTTTTTTTTAGATTTTTGTTACTCGCTTAGTCTAGCTTCTTATTTGCCTTCTTTCTCAAAAATCAAACATACTTGACCATTTCCAAAGGATCGGGCCTTCCGCATCCAAAATCACTTTTATCAGCAGAACTATATGTGTAAAGCTTCTTGACCGTGAGATTTCCACCTTTCATCGAGATAATTTCCACTTCACTTTGCATCACATTGTACATCATCTGAAATAATTTTCAGAGAAAATTAGTCAATAAACAGCTAACATACATTTTTATAGGTTGCGAGTATTATTAGACTTCTTTTCACTTCATCATCAACTCCTTTAAAAGAAGGATATCCATAACTTTGCACGACATTTTTGAGCTTCGTTCCATCGCCAAGTTGCATCTCAAAGAACGTTGTTTGGCCTGGCCCTAAAAATGAAATGATATTCTTAAATTAAATAAAGGGAAAACAATTTTGGGTCGAGGAGAATGCCAAACAAAAACTGCAATTATCCCTTGACGAAATTGAGACAACATTGCTTCGAGCTTGAATGCTTCTGGTATCGCTGTTGGGTGAGTGGCTGAATCGAGAAATATTTTGAATAATCAAGGTATTATTGAATACCCAACAATGAATGATTGACCGTCTTTTTTCTTTAGTCCAAGCATTGGTCCGAAGTTCATTGAATAAGTGCTTTCTTTCGTGCAAGTAAAATCAATCTAGATTAGAGTGTTTTTCTTGCGAGTAAGTAATTAGGTGGTGGCTACTTTGCGCCAACTTGTTTGTGCAGCTCGTCATAACTTTCTTCAAAGTGGACGAATCTTTATAATTTCGATGTCATTTTGTAGATCTCAACAAGTACAACAAAATGACACCAAAATCATAAAGATTGGCTGAGTTAGAAGAAAGTTATGGCTAGTTGCGCAAACGACCTAGCGGAAATTAGCCTACTTTGCGCAACTAGCCATAACTTTCTTCTAAGTCGACCAATCTTTATAATTTCGATGTCATTTTGTTGCACTTATTGAGATCTACAAAATGACACCAAAATCATAAAGATTGGCACAATTAGAAGATAGTTATGGAGAGTTGCGCAAAAAAAATTGGCGCAAAAGTAGTCACCCCCAGTAATTACTCGAGCAAAATTTGCATACGTAATTTTTGACTCAATTAATCAACGTTTTTGGTCGAGCGACTACGCGTAATTCTCTTTACACGGCAAGTAAATTGAATATCTTTACGTTTGAAGGGAATTTGCCACCAAATCAGTTAAACGGTTGAATATTTTTAAAAAGATATAAGGCGTATATAAGGCGGCGCTCCGGATTTTTTTGGCTCCAATTTTTTTACAATAATTTTCGCTAAAGTACGGTAATTTTTTTCAAGTTTGCGTTAAAAAAAGGCATTAATCGCGAGGAACACACTCTCATCTTGATCAAATGCTGTCTCGACTTTCGCCTCAACCCATAATGGAGGACAACCAACAACGCAAAACCGAAGGCTCAATAACACCATCTACCAACCTGATATAACTCGCATATATGATCTTGATTGCTCTGTACGGACCCTGGATGTAAACGTGACGCTTCAACTGTCGGAGCAAATTGAAAAAATGGGCCTTGAGAATCTCTGAAATTGACTGATTAACTGAAGAGTGTCCACAGAGATTATTTGTTCAACTTCTCACTTGTAACTCCTTGGATCCATGACCATTTGTGCAACAGTGTTCCCATCAATTAGAACATTGTAGAAGAAATCATTGATCGCAAACATTGGAATCGGTAACGCTTTTTTTGAAGCTAATTATTTCATAAAGCTTTTGTTAATAATGCATTACCGTCAGTCCATTTGCGTACTCGGACTGAAATGGCAAAATCATAGTTGATAACATTTTTCCCAATTTCGATAGTTATCGGAGACGAAATATTGAGCGAGCAAATGATAAGGGAATGTTTGAATTCCCAATCATATGGTCTAAACAAGTTGTTTATTAATATGTCAAATGCGTGACTTACAAAGTCTCGGTGCACATTCCACTATTCAATGTGTTTTCATTGATAGTAAAGGGAATCGGATCAAAACAAACCGAAAACAGGCTTGACTCCTAAACTTCACTATGGTAAACTTGGTTCAACTTTTTCCACCGATAAATAATTGTCAGCATTATCCAAGCAATCAATTTTGGAGAAATCAAGAATGAGTGTCGTAGAGATGTCATCTTTCACATTGATTTCCACCTGATTGCTTTTGTTTAAAACTTTTTCAGCTCTTGTAACTAAAAGGCAGCTTTTGAACTTAAAAGGTGATCTTTGGACTTACTAGGGAACTGTTTCAACGTACCACCGATTTGCGAAACCAGACCTAGCTACAAAATGCTCCCGTAGAATTCTAAGAAAAACGTATTGATCATTTTTTCCCCATGAAACCTGATTTTCGAGAAAAACGTTTCCAAAGTTTTGACAATTTTTGGCAAACCGAGACCTACCTTATAAGACATCGCCACGCCAAAAGGCAGTAAAAGTAGCGGTGGCCTAGGGATAATGTGCTAGACTCCGAAACCTATGCCTTTGCTCTCGGGTTCAATTCCACTTGCCGCCAAATTTTTTGCTTTTTTTTGGAAAACTTCCAAAAAAACACTTCTTTCTAATTATTTAAGTGTTTTTAAAGCAGTAATTAGCTATTTATGAAAGTTTTTCCATAGCTTTCAGAGACATTTACAGGTGCTTTACTTATAAACACCTTTGGCAACAATAAAAACAGATAGACTTAGTCCCTTAAAGCAACCTAAAGTAACTTAAAGATAGCTTTTGAAATTAAAAGGTCATCTTTGGATTTAAAGGCGGTTTTTGAATGAATAGTCAAGCTTTAAAGGTCCATAACTTTGTTTGGAGATAATATTTTATGTTAACTTTTATATTCTTTTAAAGAGGACACGTCAGCTTTGAGAATTTTATAAAATAGAGCTTACTTGAGTCATTTGATTTCACGAAAATCAAAAAAACAAGGAGTCTATCTTTTTTGACTAAGTTCGCTTTGATTTCCACGTAATTGAATAATTCAATCAAGCAACATTTAGTATAATTCGAAAGGCTTATTTGCCCTCTTTGAAACAATATAAAAAGTTAACAATAATATTGTCCCTAAACAAAGTTATGGCTCTTTAAACCTTGGCTACTCATTCAAAAGCCGCCTTCAAGTTCAAAGGCCACCTTTAAGTTCAAAAACCGCCTTTAGATTCAAAAGCCACTTTTTTCCAATAATAATTTCAAATTTACTTTCTCTTGTCCAATCGACCATCCATGAATGGCAAATGACGGATTTTCCTCGTCTAGTTCGTAAATTTTCCCCTTCGCAAAACTCAACGAAAACAGAATCAAAAGAATTTCTTTCATTGTTTGATTTCGAAAAACTCTCCGTTTTTCTGCAACTGAGACTTCAAAACAGCGTGGTATCAGAACAAAAAACCGACTTAGTACCTCAAGTTTTTCTTCGAATCATTTCCCTTTTGATAAAAAAATCTTAACCATGGTTTGACGTTGTTTGAAAAAGCTTAGAGAATTCCCGGAAGAAAATTCAAAGATATATTGGGTTGGTGAATTGAAAACTGCGGGCTATTGTCATATGTGAGAGTTTGAGCACTTTCTTCAAAAGAAACCCATTTTGGTGTCAATGGAAAAGTTGTAGAGAATCAAAAATCAAGCTTATATCCAAATTTTCAGAACGATTCAAAAACTGGCTTTCAAGAAATGCCAAATTTACAAATTTTCACAAAACTTGCAACAAAACTTGCATTTTAAGCGATACTACTAAGTGTATCTTTTTGGAAATTTGGCTATAAGCCTAATTTTTGATTCTCTACAACTTTTCCATTAACACCAAAATGGGTTTCTTTTGAAAAAAGTGCTCAAACTAGGACATCTCCAGTCCTCCATTTTTGAGTCTCACATTTGTCTCACACACAAACCAAAATCCTACTACGAAAGAGGAATCCGTAAATTGCCTGTAAAATGGGCAGAAGTCATCAATAATAATGGAAATTATTTGGAATGAATTTATGGTTTTATGTTGGATAAATTTTAGTTCAAAGTCCCGCAGTTTTCAATTCACCAACCTAATAGATTAAATAATAGAGAATCATGCAAAGTTTTTCGTTATTTGCTTTGCAGAAAAAAGTTCCGTCTTGGGTTTTTTGGAGCCGTCTTGAAGTAGAGCCGTCTTAGACAATTTAATACCCAAAGTTTTTCTGATAATAAAATTCCTGTGCATCATAATGCTTGGCTTTTATTTTGTGCATGTTTATGACACATGGAAATGATGGATTCATTAAAAAAAACATGTGTAAAGTAAAAAAAATGTATACCAGTTAACATCGCACACATAATCATGAGCCACGAAATTATTGTTTCCAATTCTATTAGTAACTTTAAAGAGCTAATCGATTTTAGGGCTTTATCTTGTTTTCAACATTGTTCACTTTGTACAAATTTTAACACTCCAATCATGGTTAAAGCTAAAACCAGCTTCATAATTTACCAATCTGTACTTGTACTGTACTGTTTAACTGCCGGACAAAACTATAGGAGCTTTACATTGGAAATTTATAAAGACTGGACTATAAAATTAGTTTAACAGAAGATATTCCACTGAAACCAAGTTTTTCAGGTGTAAAAAACTTCAAAGATAATTTCCAAAATTTACAAAAACTTTCATGTCTCCTCCTTGAAAAATTGTAGACCTAAGAGTAAAAAACTCTGCTGTTAAACTACTTTTATATTCCAGTTTTTCTAAATTTCCAATGTCCTATAGTTTTGTTCGGCAAAGTTTGTTAGGAAAAATTTATTGTGAAGAAATCTGTGCTCTTTGAATGATATTACTTTAAATTTATGAAAAACCCAGCGAAAAAGGCTCACTATCATTCTTAACGTTTGGTTCATACGTCAAAACGCCAATCAAATAGCCAATTCTCACCAGATCATCCCAACTTTGGTACATTGGCTGGATTTTGTGATTCCTTATCGAATAATAATTCGAAGGTTTGATTACGGTAGTTTTCTTAAAATGGGTGCCTTTTCGACGACAATTATGATCTTGATAAATCCAAAGGCAAATCTGTTTCAGGTTGCAACACTCAATCCGGTTTACTGAAAGCAAAGTCGATGCAAACGGTTATCGGACATTTGATACGCGCCCGTCTTTGCCATTGGCAATCTAACTTTGAGCTTAAATATCTTGGTGTTGGGGTGTCCAATTTAAATTTTCTTGGTACCATTGGATGCGCCAAGTCTTTCTCTGTCGATTGGTACAAAAACTATTGGAGTTGGACAGCCCAACACCAGGAAATTTGGGTTTTCAGTTGGATCGCCAATGGCAAAGGGACTCGTATCAAATCTCCCACAATCAATGAAAATGAAACTGATCAAAGACTTCTACATTTTGACGCAAAAACTTCGGGTGTTCTTTGAAAAATGATTTTTTTGTGTAATCATTTGAATTGTTTATTTGTTGATATAAATGTGAGCTAATCTTTTATTGAAATGGGCAAAGACACGAATGAAATTGAGAGCAAAAAGTGAGATCATCTATGATTGGCAATAGGGAAAAGGCGAAGTGAAAGATCTAGCGAAAACTCCAATTCAGAAACAACTGTTGAAATGACAAAATTCTGTAAAAAAAGAAAATGTAAAATAAAACTTTTCGAGTTAGCTGGTAATGGAAAGCTTACGTTTCAAGAAGTGCTGAGAAATTCGGCGGCTTCGATGCTTTGCAGAGTCTCCTGCACAGCTGAGATGTCGGCCGTTCTGTAAAAACAAAATTTAGTACAAGCTGCCTTTTTTCTGAATTGGAGTTTAAGTTTTTATTGGAAGTTTAACTTCAAATTTAACCTAAAATTTAACTTAAAGTTCCAATTTTAAGTTGAGAGTACAAAAATAAGAGATTTACACTATTTTGACTCAAATTTTATATTTCTAAGTGAGTTTTATATTGTTATACTTGTTGTTGTTGTTTATATTGTTTTATACTTGGTGGCCCTGATGGGTTCTTTGCATTCAATGCAACGAAAAAGCATTAAACGAATAGATTTTTGTTGAAAGATTAGAATCCAATATAATCAGTGATGACGAATTGTCTATCTGGTTTAAAGAAATGGACCGAAAAAGCCAAAAAAGCTAGCTCCGCTTATTCTCGTAAAACTCATAGCTGACAACCAAATTGGCTCATAATCTTTAAAAAAAATGAAACTTGCTTCTCAAAGCATTTAAACCACTCATTTTTGTCCTCAAAATTTTGCTCAAAAAATTTTCGGTTCATTTCTTTGCGCCAAACATAGAGTGAAACAAGGAAATACGTCATCAATGATTCGCTTTTCAATATTTCAACGAGAAAAAGATTCACGTGTCCACGAAAAATGAAGCTTTTTCGATTTCAAAATCAAAAATCAAATGGCCACAAAGTCAAATTTCTTTTTCTGTTTCTTTTTTCTTTGATGTTTATGTATTCTTCGATTGAATCGATCTGGAAAAAAAGAAGAAAAAGGAAGTTTTTTTGAAATGTTCAACGTCTAGCAACTGTTTCTACGTTTTTTGCACATTCAAATGATCACTAGAACTCTGAGCCTTTCATCTTTTTTCTTTCTTTAAAACGTTCAGTTTGTTTTCAAATTTCTCACTTTGTTTTCTTGAATTTGATCCTGAGCACGGGTAAACAGTTCCCATTTTGAAGGTTTTTTTTGTTAAAGCCCTCTTCCTCATACTCTATAAAACCACACGAACTTTAAAGATTAGAAACCGTTTAATTGTTCGATTTTTTTGGTAAAGACTTGGACTTGGATAAAGACTAGATTTCTCGAGAATAAGGCTCGGCTCTTTATGGGTTATCTGAGATTTTGCATGAATGATTAGAAGGAAATAGCTGAATTTTTGCCAACGACAAGTCGAAAGCGGTCTTGTTGGTAGAACTAGCTCGACTCTTAACTCAATCTACTCATCAATTCATCTCTATTCTTTTTAAAGCTCAAATAACCTCTAGATCCAAACGACTCAAGACTCAAGCCCCATAATCAAATTCCAAATAAACTAGAGTTAATAAGGAGATTCTTTTGTTTTGATTGATTGTTTTGTTTGTTTTGTTTTGATTGATTGTTTTGTTTGTTTGTTTTGTTTGTTTGTTTTGTTTGTTTGTTTTGTTTGTTTGTTTGTTTGTTTGTTTGTTTGTTTGTTTGTTTGAAAGATTGTTTTGACACCAAATAACGCAATTCTAAATGGCCTGGCAAATTTACGGAAAAAATTTTAATCCAGAATTAGCATTCCGAAAAATTCTGTGGTAAATTCTCAATGCTCTGACTTTTTTATTGCTTTTAATTCAGAAATTCCAAAAGGCCAAAAGGTTGCAATCAGCAAAAATATTAGAATGTTTTAATCCATTAAGAGTTTTCCCAAAAGAACTCTTTTTGAAAAGTTTCGTGTATTATTTTTCATTCCAACTCTCTCAACTCCTTCCCCAATAATTGACCTCTATCTAAACGATGCTCCGAGCAAAGGTTTCCCGCTAAATAATTCACACCCAAACATGTTATTTCAAAAGGAAATCTATTTCTCGAATTCTCCATTGATAAATGATTTCTTTTGCAAGCAATTGGGTAATTGGACCTCTCAACGGATTTTTGTTTATCCCTCCAAAATTTCTCCCACACCACCCGCATGTTCAAAATTGCCCCTTTTTCTATTTCTTTTTTTCTTGGGAAAATTATTTTTCCAAGTGTCCCCAGGGATCAATTTTCTTAAGTAAACATGAAAATAACAAGAATCATATGGAAATTCCCCCCTTTCTCCCCCATTATCCATTCAATCAAAAACCTCAAAAATCCCGGAAAAGCCTTTTGTCTGGAGGAATTCTCAGCTCTGGAAAACAAAGTAATTTGTTTTCCAGACAATTATGGAGTTGGAAACCAAAAATCCAGCATTTTTCTGGAGGTGACACTTTTTAAAGTTTAAAGAGAAAGCTTTTTTTGGAAAAGATCGAGTTTTTAGAAACTCAACGACCAAATCTATTCAGAATCATTTCGGAATCGAAGGGAGTGTCACTACAAAATTGCAAAGAATCGAAAAATCTATAAGAAATGGGTTGGGCAAAATCACTCGGACAAGAGTTCGTCGTAGTAACTTTGCAACCAGCCAACTTAACCTCATAATTTTATCCATAGTATAAATTGATTAATTCCTTAACCTATTACTGAAATTACTGAAAAGAAAAATCCCTTGACCGGCTTTTCTTTCGAACCACAAAGAATCGAGTAAACTTGATCCTGACTTCAAATGATAAGACTTTAGCTGAATTCAATTCTGAACTCATTTCCCATACCCATTAAATAACCGAATAGCTGATAAAAGTTTTG